AGAGAGGAGAGGCAAAATAATTGAAAAAAAAAAAAATAGATTTGAAAAAAGGAAGTAATGTCGCCAGAGTTAAAAAAAAAATAAAAAAAATAAAATAAAGTACATACGGGCGCGGACGGATTACGAAGTACGTGTTCACGCCTCCCTTCCCGTATTGCGCTGTCACAGTATGTATAGACAGTACGGGAGGGCCCCGTACCATTGCCTAGCCAAATTGGTAAACTCCCACGCGAAAGAGACGACCAGCGCCGGGAGCCGTGGAGCCGAAAAGCCCCCCTCTAGGGAAACATGTTTGAGTTTAAGGATTTCATCAGCCTGTCTCCGGTCGATCAACTTTTAATAGAGAAAATAATATTCTTTTCCCTTTTCTATCTTCTCTTCTATTTTAATGCACGTGTATTATTTAAATACTCGATTTTTAAATAAATTGAATAAAGTAAAAATAAAACGTCATTCACGAACGCGTCTGGTGAGCACTTGCCGCACGGGCGAATCCCCGGTTGTGGCCCCCCCACAAGGGAAATAAAGTACACAAGAAGAAAGAGAGAGGGCAGAAGGAGGGAAGTGCGAGATACCTAAGGAAGAAAGAGCCGGGCTAGGCCGCGCTTTACACCCCTCCCCCGAATTGACCGCCTGGAAATCATCAGTGCTCGAGGTTGGCTCAGGTGCGCGCTCTGATTTTTAGCGCAAACGCCCGAGTCTGGTCCGTCTTAATTTCTGTTCTCCCTCCCGTCCTGCCCCGTCTCCTGCAACATCCCTCTCCAGCGGCTTCGCGCCAGAGCGCCATCACCCAGGTTCTATCCTTCCAAGAAAAAAAAAAGTTCCATTTTCTTTTTTTTCCCTTTCCTCTCTTCTTCCTAACCTATTCTACCTACTAGTTTTCCCTTCCCACTAAGAAGCCCCCCCCTCCACTCCGACCGAAACTTACACAACTAAAAAATTTCCCATCCACCCGCACCGAACATCCACCGCCTCCCGTCTTCTCCGTCTACACAAATAACTCTTCCATCACTCTATCATCTTCTGCCGGACCTGCATTCGGAGTGTCGCCTTATTGTCCGGAATAGTATCATCATCTATTCTCTCACTTGCGATACATCTTTGGTCTAATACTCATCATGACGTCTGTCGTCCGCGGCACGTCGCTCAGAGCCGGCGGCGCTTGTGTGCGTTGTCGCAAGGGAAAAACGAAGTGTGTCTACGAGAATGGTCGCGCACCATGCAGGAACTGTGCCAAGGGGATGCACGAATGTTATCTACCTTCGGAGAGTATGGCTCATCACCATGGTCAATCACCAGCAAGACCTCCTCGCCCGCGTGAGAGTCTACCTGGCGAGCGAAGCGTGTCGGCAACCAGCGACCGCCAGCCTGTAGCATCCGGCGCTGTTTTGCCGCGCAGTATGCAGACCAATAGCGAGAAGTGAGTTATCTTTTATTTCCTCTTTCTCTTTCTTTTCTATCGACGTCATCATAATTTATCTTACTATTTGTCCTCTTTTCTTTTTCCCTTCCCCGAGATACTTCTACTTCCTTATGGCCTCTAGCCATTATTACGGGAGGGGGGAGGCATCCTGGTGTTTCGGTCTTGACCCAAATTGGTGGCAGCTACACGCTCCGAATAGATTCTGGTACTTGGTGATCCGTGCTCCCTGGCGTCGTCGGTCAAGGCAGAGTGCAGCCGGCCAAATCATCCCCCAACATTCAACCACTAGTCTGATTCTGGGTGGCTGTGAATGGGATGGATGCCGGTTGCCTCGTTTCTCGCCTCGGCATCTCCAGCGTCTCTTTCCTAGGCCCCCAATCCTGCCCATCCTGCCCAGCCCATCTGCTCGTCTGCCTCCATACTCCGTTTGTCCCTGCAACCCCCAACACGCGCTCCTATTTCAATCCAAGCACCCTTGTCCTCCCCCAAACTTCGTTCGCGTTGATCGGATCCACTAACACGTATTTTCGTCCGTCCCCACAGACTCAATCCGGAACTGGTGACGGAATGTGAGAGGGTAATCAGCAAGACTATTCCGTCTTGTGTCGCCTTTCACAAACCTTCCTTCCTACAGAAGCTTAAGAACGGCACCCTCGAGGCTAGCATTGTTAACGGTCTTCTGACTTGTGCTGCACGGTAAGCAAACATTTCATTTTTTCGTACTGTCTCCCCGTTTATTGAACATAATTCCCCGGAACCCGCCTTATCCACTTCTGAAAGGATTCCGGGCGAATGGTTCATTCATCTCCGGAGTTGCATTCGCGTTTCGCCTAATCCACCAATGATTTTACCTTTCCGTAAATCCTTGCCACCACCTGGCTTCCCGATCGCCTATGAAAATACCTTGTTACATCTATTTAAGTCAACCGGGCTTACCTAACCATTTGTCTCGCGTTATAGGAGCTCTCCCGCTTTGATTCGTCGTTATGGCGGCCAGGGAGGTGCTTCGGCTGCGGCCGAGCATTTTGCCGTCAAGGCTATCAATATAATCATGCAGAATCTCGACAATCCGAGCTTGGCGGATATTCAGGCTCTTTGCCTCTTGATCATCCACGAATGGGGTAACCGCAATGCTGTCCGCGCGTACATTTACCTTGGCCAAGCCGCTCGTATGGCTCAGATGTATCGGATAATTGCGGTTCACCAGAACCGAGACGATCCGGATCAGTTCATTAAGGAGGAATCATTTCGCCGTACCTTGTGGCTTATCTATGTGTTGGATTGCTTCCTCACAAGTAGCCCCGGTCGCCAGCCGGCCGTGTCCCACCATGACATCAAGGATGTTCCACTTCCGTGCCTCGACATGAGCTACAACTTCGGTACGCCCGTATATGTTCGTACCCTCGCCGGTGGTCCGCCCCCGGCGCTTCCCACGCCATCCACCCCAATCTCTGAGGTTGGCGAGTTTGGCCACATCGTGATGGCAACCCAGGCCTGGCGTAACGTCGTCGAAATGCTCACTACCGTGACGAGTGCTACTTTCTCCGAAGAGGACTGCGCTTCTCTTGAGGCAGGTATTGAAGCAGTCCGCAATTCGTTACCACCACACTTCATGGATAATAAAACCAGGCAAATCAATCTACACATTACGATGGGTAGTGGATTTACATACGCTATGTTGCATTGTCTCCTTCACTGCGCTACCATCATGGTAAACCGTCGTAGGCTGCTTCACCTTGTTACCACTGACGGATTCAATCACGAGACCTGGCGTATGGTGCCTCATGTTCACTTGCAGACAGTTGATCGTGTATTTGCAGCTGCTGACAGCGTGGTATCTCTCCTACTAGCCTTGGAATCTAACGCGGACAAGGATGCTGTCCTCAACTTCCCTTTGGTAATGTTGTTTTCGTGCTTTACAGCCTGTTCTACTGTGGCTTGGTTTAGCCTAAAGGGATTGACACCCGGCGATTTGAACGAAACGGCCGAATCGATTGTTCGTGATGGTATGCGCTTTCTTCAAGATGGGGCTAACATTTGGATTTTGGCTGTTCCCTGGTACCGCCATCTATCTGTTATGAATAAGGTCCTACGGAACGGTGATAGGACACTTCAGAGAACACAACCCGAGACGATTGTGCCCTTGATCAAAGAGGACACAGCAAGCCAACCGGACAACCCTGATAGCATGGATTACGAGCGCCCGCAGTCGGCGAACGCTCAAGAGCAGACGGATAGTCGAGGTAGCGAGCCACCACGAAAGTCCGGATTCACCACTATCAATGGAGGATCGGTTGGTGTGTCGCCGCCAGCCACCGCGAGCCCCCCGCCGGGCCAATCGAAGGCAGAGTCCCCAGCACCTTCCTCGTCTGGACAGCCGGCCGAATCCGCGCCGGCTGCTGGCAACGATATGACTGCAGCCGAACTTTGCGTGGCGTTCGAGCGCCAGCTGCTAGAGTTAGACGATCTCGCTGCCTTCATGGGCGGAGGTGTGTGAAGACCCGAGCATCAATCCCCACGCCCTCTAAACCTTGTACTACTTGCACTTACGCATTATCCAAGTGCCGTTTCATGATAACCCGGCGTATCTTCCTACGAGGCTGTGTTAATAAGGGAAACATGGACTGGCGTTTGTTGGTGTTCTCGGATTGCCTTTCAGGGGCTTTGTTTTGGAAGTTATTCGTGGAGTTTCATGCCGCTCGAGCGAAATCTTTTCAGCCCTCGCAATACGCCGCGATATGCCAATATCCGGACGGGTCGAATGGCTATAATCTCGCTGAATGCCACGATATTTATAAGGAGGCGCAACTCCTTTAGCATGGTGGAATCTTTGGGCGGCGCTTTATGTTTACAGATTTGGCTGTTTTTCCCCCCTCATGACTCGGCTAGACACATTTTACCATAGCTACTGATTGTTGCACATGGAGAGGTCACGAGGGAAGGGTTGAGGAAACAGCCGAAGAAAAAAAATTAAGGGGGGATAAGTGGATTTTTATGCGTACTGCAGAAAGATGTTGCCTTAGGTAATGATGGCCTGGTAGCTACAGTTGAAGCCGACTTGTAGCTTCGAGCAAACTTGTACTATTATTATTAGGCATTTGATTTGCGATTGCTAGTTAATTCGATTATGGTCTACCATAGCTTAATGGATTTGTACTTGACATGTTGACTCCTATCTATATATTTTCTATATATTTGAGTGACAATATTCTAAGATTGTTAAATCTAGTGATGGCCTTGAAATGATACGTCGGTAGCCGTAGACTACCTCCTAAGACATGTGGATAGCCCGATAAGGTGTAAGAGGTAAGTATCACGTGCCTTGTATCTAATTAATATCAGGTAATTATCAATTATCATTATGGAATTTTGCTTTTGTTTATCAACATCTAACTGATTCATTCCCTAGCCTTGCCCAGTAACGACACCTCATATCTACGTCTCGGTACCCGTTCTCCAGATGCATGCGAGGCGAGTAATTTCATGCGGTAACCGTATAATTGTCGTTTCTCCGGTCACAGCGTAAAGTCAAGCACCACTATCAGCATGCACTGGCTTTTTAAGACACGGAAAGGAGATGGATACGTCGGGCCAGGACAATGGCCCTAAGCGTGGAACAAAACGCAAATTGACTAATAAAGATGGACTTGAACTCGGAAAAGGTTTCAATAATTCATCTACTATCCTAGACCAGGAGACCTCTTCGTCACCGGCAACTGAATGCTCGGTTACCAATAACGACCGTTCTTCGGGGCCAGTGCTACTTAGAGAACTACGGGGTGACTATTACTACAAAACGCTGTACACGGAGGAGCTGAACTTTCGCCTGCTCGGACAGCACGACCCAGAATTTGAAGCCGTGTTGGAGCGCGGTTCGCATCTTGACTTTAATAATCCTAAGTCAGTCATGCAACTGACCAAGACCCTCCTCAAGCGGGATTTTGGTTTGACAGTCGATTTGCCCACGGACCGACTTTGCCCTCCGGTACCTAATCGGCATAACTATATACTTTGGCTGAAAGATCTTCTTGACTCATCCTCAATTCCATACCTGGACTCTAACGAACCAACTCGGCGGGTAACTGGGTTAGACATTGGCACCGGCGCCAGTCTCATCTACCCGCTTCTTGGTTGTGTTCAGCGACCGTCATGGACATTCATTGCAACCGACGTTAATACAAAGTCATTATCTTACGCGCGTAAAAACGTTCAGTTAAACAATTTACAATCTAGAATCCGTGTGGTCGGTCGCACTATCACGGACTGTCTTATCCCTCTGGATGAACTAGGCCTAGAAACCATTAACTTCACCATGGTTAACCCTCCCTTCTACACGTCCGAGGCCGAACTCACAGATCTGGCTAAGCAAAAATCCCGGCCCCCAAATACCGCATGTACGGGCGCGCCAGTCGAGATGGTGTGCACTGGGGGCGAGATCGGGTTTATCCAGCGGATGATTGATGAGTCCCTAGTCTTACGAGAGAGGGTGCAGTGGTACACGTGCATGCTTGGCAAACAGTCAAGTCTGGAAGTACTCGTGGGCATCTTGAAGGAGTATGGAGTGACTAATTATGCTATTACAGCATTCGTTCAAGGGAATAAGACGCGTAGGTGGGCTATTGGGTGGAGTTTCGGGAACAGGAGGCCGAATCTGTCGGCTAGTAGGGGCTGTGAGCCCTCGGCTGGGAAAAAGATCCTACCGGAACCCACAGAGGTAATAGTTGTTATGAGATCTAGCTCGCAAGTCGAACTGGGACAGCTTGAGCGCGCTGTTAGCGATACGATGGAGGGTATCGACCTGGATTCGTGGAGCTGGAGTAAGCAGTTGTCAAAGGGCGTAGGCTTTTCTAATGGCAATGTTTGGAGTCGAGCTTATCGTAGGAAAAAGGTTAGAGAAAGGGGAAATACCATCGAAGATGAGTCTTCATCGTTTCGTCAAAAGAAGCCCAAGCAAATGGCGGAGCAGGACACGACACATAGTACATTTGGCTTCTTATTAACAATACAGACTTCAGGAGATAAGGATGATAAGGATCAAGTAGCGATCGTGGCCCGCTGGCTCCAGGGGAATGATCATACGATTTTCGAGAGTTTCACGGGATTCCTCCGAAAGGCTATCCTCGCGTCAACCCAGGAGTAATGAGGTATGATATTAAGTCCTAATGTTAATTTGAGAGCGCTATGCACCAATCACAAGCACACCCAATAAATTATTAGAACTCGAAGTTATTAAATTGCTGTCCCTACTATACCGTACCGCCCCATCCCGTTTTCGTATGATGAATGGCCCCTGGTAATGCAATACTGACCTTCATGTAATAAACAAAATGAAAATATACATCCTTGATGATACTGTGAACCCTATAACCTTCCAAGACCCATCGCATACTTGATATCGTCTAATCCTCGATACGAACGAAAAAGTTCGTCTCCCCTTCTTTCGGGACAACAGCAGCGCGCTTGACAAATTCATCGCCAACAGCTAGGCGCAGCTTTTCCGCTGTTGCTGGGGCGTCAAGAACCAATGGTTCCGTCACGCCGTTCATCTCTCTCGCAGCTTTGACCGCTTCCCTAAGGGCGAAGAATACCGTCGAACCTAAGAAGAGCGGCGGTTCCCCGATGCCCTTGCTACTCTGGATAGAGCGGAGATGCTTCCAGCTTATAGCATTTCCTTCTGAGTCGTGCCTCAACATGGACACGTTGAAGATTTGAGGGATATCCGAGAAACCTTACGCTCATGTCAATATACGTCACTCTGCTGGAATAAAAATTCGTTGACACGTACCTGGTATCTTATAAGTCCCAGGTCCCTTCGTGAATATTTCACCTTCTCGCGTCCACAACGATTCTTCCATGGTAAATAGACCCTGTCCTTGAACGAAGGCCCCTTCAATTTGCCCATAGTCGATTGAAGGGTTGATAGAACGACCGACATCCTAGTTTGACTATTAGACAGAATTTATTATCTCGCTCTAATAGATACTTACCATCATTATGTCCGTCCTTAGAACGGTATGATCACCTGTAAGAAGATCTAATTCGGCCTCCGTGATAGCTACACCTTGAGTGAAATAGTAGTACATCGGAAGGGGGTCTTCATAATTTCCCCATTTATATCCTATCTTAGGCATCTTCCAAAATCCATTGGCCGCAAGGTTAACTCGATCTCGGTATGCGGCATGGGCGATTTTTGACATTGGAGCATCCCGTCCGAATTGTTCCCTGTAGGGCGCTAGGCGTTCATTAAGCTGGTCGCAAGCATTCTTGACAGCCATGCCATTAAGATCACTACCCGACGATGCGGCGGTTGGGGATGGGTTGGCGACTTGGTCGGTCTGGGAGTCTTTATTAAATATTTGGTCCACGCTCACGCCGAGCTCTTCAGCTGCAACTTGGCACATCTTGGTGTACAGACCCTGTCCCATCTCTGTGCCTCCGTGGTGAAGGAGGATCGAACCATCTTCGTAGATTCTTACGTATGCGCCAGCTTGGTTCAGATGTAGAGCAGTGGCAAAGCTATGATATAATATTAACTCAATTTATTACACGAATGACCATGGAATGGCTTACCTGAGTCCGAATTTGGTAGGTATCATACATATCCCTCTCTTCCTATAGCGGTTCCTGGAGTTGAATAATTGGACTTCCTTCTTCCTGTTCTCATAATCGGCGTTGGCGCTGAGCTGTTCCAGCATGGTTGGGATATGGAAGTCGGCATCGATGGATTGTAAAAAGGGGGTCAAATCACCCTGTTTATATAGATTTTTGAGCCGAAGTTCATCAATATCTATATTGAGCCGCTCGGAAATGACACTCATGTATGACTCGGCCAAGTACATCGCTTGTGGCCCGCCAAAGCCTCGGAACGCAGTATTCGATACTGTATTTGTCTTGCACACCCATCCGCGTATCCAGGCGTGTGGTATATTGTAGCAATTATCAATGTGAGTACAGGCCCGATCCATAACGGCGCCAGACATGTCTAGGGAGTACCCGGCGTTGCAATAGATATCCGCATCGAAGCACTGGATTATTCCGTTCGCATCCGTGCCAATTTTCCATTTGCATTGCATTGGATTTCTCTGCCCACTAGATGACATATCTTCGTCGCGATTTAGCATTATCCTCATGGGACGCCGCTCCTTTTTAGCCGCAAGAGCAACAAGGCATGCTGCTGGTGTGACTCTCGACTCCTTTCCACCGTAAGCACCCCCGAGACGTCGGACTCTCATATTTACGCGACTCATTGGTACGCCAAGTACTTGAGCAACGAAAATCTGGTTCTCTGCTAGGTTCTGAGTAGAGGCATAGACTTCCATGGAACCGTCCTCGACATGCGGAATCGCTAATGCGGAAATAGTCTCCAAGTAGAAGTGCTCTTGACCGCCTAGCTTCGTAGACCCTTCGAAGATGTGCTCGCATTTAGCGAATTCGTCATCTAGAGGCCCTTGAATAGCTGCCCCTTTTTTCAACTGCTTTCCATGCTCAAAATAACTCTCGGCTTTTATGGCTTGGCTAATGGTGATTATAGCTGGCAATACCTCGTATGTTACCTTGACTTTGGCGGCGGCAGCTTGAGCTTGCAATGCCGTCTCGGCGTAGACTAGACCTATTGTCTGGCCATGTGAATGAACTTTGTCTGCCGCAAATAGGGGCTCATCTACTCGGATTGGACCCCACGTATTGTTTTCTCTCGATACACTGTCCTTGTCAAGATAACCCACAACTCCTGGCATTTCAAGCGCAGGGCTCCAATCAATGGCGGTTATCTTTGCATGTGCCTTTGTTGATAAAACGAGAGCGCAATGCAACTCATTATTTTGCCGGGGCATGTCGTCGATGTATTCTGCCTCGCCGGTGCAGTGCTTCAAGGCCGAAAGATGCGGTATTTCTTTACCTACTACATTGGTACCCGGAGTAACAACGTGATCGCGAGTCCCAGAAGATACTCCCCGATGTATCTCCTGAATAGCATCACTTTCGATTTCAGCAAGGCCTAATTCTGTGAGACTTTCCTGCCAGAAACGGAAAAATAGGGACAAGGTGAGAACTGTTAGAGTTGTTAGCAAATAGGGGTTACGGAACTAGGTTTATGAGACCTACCCTTCCTATACTGAGCCATTCCACCTGGTACACCAAAAGCCAAATCAAAGTCCTGTAAAAGAGCCTGAAGAGCTTCTTCACGCGTACTACTCTCTGCCCATTGCTTTCCTATCACAGCCTTCTGGGTCACGGCCGCGACTGTGGTAATAGGTGCCATGCCACCATACGCGAATGTCGCCTGTTCGACAGTTCCTTTCTGACTTATACGTATTCGGAAACCAGCAGTCACAATCGCAATGTCATCATCTTTTCTCTTTGCTTGCTTATATGCCTTCGTTACCTCTAACGTCTCTGGTGGTGATAGTGGAATCTTGATATGTGTGATTATACCGTTGGGAGGCAACTGGGTTGTCCGATACTTAATGAAGAACGTTGAAAGTGGTATATCATAGGGGCCCTTTCCCTTAGATCTTATAGTGATTGTAGATCCTGCTGCTAGTAGTGCCGGGGCAGCATCTGAGATGGGACTTGCAGTCGCCAAGTTCCCAGCCAGGCTGGCAACGTTTCGAATTTGACGGCCTGCGAAGTATCGAAGCTGCTTTCGAAGTGCCTCAAGTGCGCTTGCTCTAGCACCAAGCTTTATAAATAATGTGGCACATAGGTCTTCTACCTTGGTTAGCGGCATATTACCTGGGATAGATACTTCCGAAAGGCTCTTGAGATCAGCATCACTACTAGGTTCCTTGAAGCTGTTAAGATCTTTGATGTCCGACGCGTAGACGCATACCCGATATTCGGACTTCTTGAAGCGAACCTCGATCTATTTCCACGTAAGAAACGTTTGGAACAGTAGGATATGAACATATATGACCTTACCTGTGTCTCGCTAGCGCCCCCTACGATTTTAGCAGAGGGCCAAGCATCTTTCAATTCTATCAATTGCTCTAGAGTTGTAGGTTTAAACCAAATCTTTCTCCCATCTCCATAACAGATAGGCCGTTCTTCATATTTCCAAAGAGCTGGCGGGAATATGATTTCTGCTGTAGGGTTGTATGGTATAAACGAGAAAGGCGATGTCGTAGGTTTGCCTGAATCTACGGAGGTTGCTCGTGTATTGGAGGATTCCTGAGAGGATGTCCTGTGGGTACTGCTCCCGGATGAAGACGTCGACGGGTCGCGGCAGCAGCCCCCCGGACGTCCACAAGAACCGCTGGAGGAGGAACCGCATCCACTTCGATTTGGTGGCGTTTGCAGAAGACCATCGTCATCCTCATGAGCACTTAAAGGGGTGGGATTATTATCTTCTATCAATTCGCCCTTTAAATCCTCTAAAATAAACGTCTTGGCAGCCTCAAGAATTGGTTTGTAACCTGTCTGAATAAATTGAGCACGAGACTTGAGTACGAGTCCAGAAGCAGATACATACGCATCTACAAAGATTGCCGTCTAAATGGCCTTGCAGTTCAACATCAGAGGCCGAAAGCCGAAACTTCCCGTCTTGATACGAGTTTCTAACGAGTGCATACAGACTCATTACTATTCCAGGGGTGCAAAATCCGCACTGAGAACCACTAGCAACAGCCCTGGTATTAGAATAGTGGTGTATAGGTCGAAGCTATACGACAGGCTAATAACTTACTGCATCTTTGCTACCCGTTCTTGTAAAGGATGCGGGCTATCAACGGTGCCCAAGCCCTCGATAGTAATTAGACTTTTTCCATCGACGCCGACCAAGGGGAAAAGGCAAGCATTCACAGCATTGTGCCTTAACCGCCTGCCCTCTTCAACGGTCTGAAGGACAACAGTACAGGCGCCACATCCACCTTCGCCACATCCAAGCTTGGTTCCTTTTAAGTTGCCCTGGGCTCTGATCCAGTCGAGGAGAACCCAATCAGGGTTAGGATTCGGAATTGTAACTCGACGGCCGTTGACGAAAAAACATAACTCGGAGGTGGTATATGTTGACTGTATTAGAGGCGTGAGAGCTTCGGCAGCAGACGGGGCGCGAACATCTTGTGGTACGAATGGCAACCCGGTTATAGGCGGTTTTGGAAGTATATCAGCTGCTGCCATAGTTTCACGAGAGCTAATAGAAGGCGAGGGTATTGGTAGATGGTGATAACATGAATCTTGAAGTTTATTATCTTGTTCTGGCTACCCTAGGTATTCATCTAATTCGGAGTAGCTATGCACAGACATGGCTGATAGCTATCTCTAAGTTTGTTTAAAGCTATCGTACAAGGTAGAAGTAGTTACCTAAACATATCTAAGGTTTGATATGTCATTCATTGCCATCCCCCACTCTGATCGGGCATAAGGTTCGGGCATAAAGATCCCAGATAGTGAGCTCCGGTGTGTGCTTTAGGGGCAAATGTAAGCATAATCCAATCGCCCTATAAACATGAATGATTTAATGGGGGGTTTTTAAAAAAAAAAAAATGCACCGTATGATCTACCAACACGTTGGATATATAAATTGCCTACTTTACATACTCACATGTATTTTATGTGCCTATTATTTTACGTATATATCTATACTCTTTCATATACGTGGCGACCACCCCTGACTCCCCCATTCATACACAACATAAATATACCTACCCCACCAAGAATCATACCCCGAGTATTACTAACCCCACTGTTGCCCGACATCAAGCTCCCGTGAAGTTATCCCCACTTACGACTAGGCGTTGAATGGTGGATTATATTGGTTTGGGCCGTTATTGTAGATAGTTAGTTTGCGCTCTAAAGGATGACTGGGAACAATATCATGCAATTATCAACCTCTGTATATTCTCACATTTCTCGGTCTATTGCTGCGTAAAAGATCTTAGAAAGTCATACTTGACGAGCTCCTTCAAAGCACACATCTCCTGAGAATCACTAACAATCGTTGAAAATCTACGTACGAGAATACTAGAATGTCCCAAAAATATGCACCGTTGAAGGACACAAAGTTGTTCACCCCTATCAAGTTGGGAAATTATGAACTTCACCATCGTATCGCCATGGCACCATGTACTCGCATGCGAGGGATCAAGGAGAGCGATGGTATATTCGTTCCCGGTGATCTAATGGCGGAATACTACGGGCAGCGGGCTACAAAGGGTGGGCTGCTGATTTCTGAAGCTACCGATATCTCCCACTATGCTGGGGGGTACCCAGGCATCCCCGGCATCTTTACTTCTTCTCAGATTGAGGGTTGGAAGAAAGTTACGAACGCTGTCCACGCTAAGGGAGGGTATATTTTCTTACAGATCTGGCATACGGGCCGGGCCTCACCCCCTGCGTTTCTTGGTGGGAAGGCGCCAGCGAGCTCCAGCAATCATCCCATGGAGGGCTCTTGGTTGGAAGGGACATCCTGTGCTTCTATTCCTCCCAAGCCTCTGACGGTAGATGAGATTCGGACTATTGTTCAAGATTTTGCAGGGGCCGCAAAGCGAGCTATAGAAGCAGGTTTCGACGGTGTGGAAATTCATGGTACGTGGAAGGGAGACAGAATTTCTGATAGTTTTTGGCCCTTGATTAACCGAGTTGTCGTGGACTATAGGTGCTAACGGCTATCTGTTGGAACAATTTCTTCACGACAACATCAACGATAGGACCGATGAATACGGTGGATCCATTGAGAAGCGATGCAAATTTCCTCTGGATGTCTTGAAAGCTGTTTGCGACGCAATAGGCTCTGATAAGGTGGGAATACGTCTAAGCCCTTGGAACTACTTCCAATCTACCAGGGACAATAATAGATTAGAGCATTGGTCTTATCTATGCGAGCAAATCGCAAATTTACCTGCAAGCCAAAGACCGGTTTACGTTCATATGTAAGAGAAAAAGGACAATGCCATTATATACATCTCTCGAGTGGCTTACTGATATTTATCGCAGGGTCGAGCCTCGGTTCGATGAGGTTTTGGACGAGCAGCAAAAGGTTGAATCTCTTGCTCAGAACGACAAAGAATCTACCGTCTCGTTGTTACCATTCAGGAACATCCTTCAACAGGGCGGGATTACGTTTTTAAGCACAGGATGCTTCAACTGGGAAAACTCCGTCCCGAAGCTGGAGTCCGGAGCCGCCGATATCATTTGCTTCGGAAGGTGGTTTATTGGGAATCCTGACCTGCCGCAAAGGCTTGCGGATGGAATCCCACTAACTAAGTATGACCGATCGACCTTCTACTTTACGGTGCCCCCGGAGAAGGGATACACGGATTACCCCATTTATGCGGCAGAGAAGGCTTAATGTTTTAAATGCCTTGTGACATTAATAGGTAGCCACCTACTCCGAATTTTGGAAAATGTTCATTTAGACATAGGGCATCTAGGTAGCCGATAGAAAATTTATATTTTCTTGCATTCTAGTACTGTTAAAGGTGACGAGGAGGCGTCCCACTATGCTATCACCCCCATTTTAGATTTCACACTAATCTACTAAAATCCCTCTTGGGATTGAGTTTGAAGGTTTGGGAAGATGAATAGGAGAAACAAAATTCTAAGAAGGCTAACTTAAAAGGTTAGATTTATGATAGTAATAATATCAAGTAAGTCATAGTAGTGGGCGCGCCTGGTTCTCTGTCCGTGTCTGATCCCATTTACGCTCCACAGCCGTCTCTATATCATACGGTAAAAGCCAGCCTCCTACGCCATAATACCTCCAAGGTAACGGATCATCCCCCGATTCTGATCGTGGCTGTGTGATAACTTCTGGATTTTTGAATAATTCTTCATCAATCTGCCCGAACATTTCGAGTCTCCTGTCTCTTTCCTTCTGTTCTTCGCCATCGTGGAGATGATACATGTACTGTTGGAAATTGCCCCTTTCAACTACCCTTTCGGTCCTCTCTTTTCGGCACTCTTCATACACTTTAAGTGCGTATAACTTTTGCTCGCGGGACTTGTTAGTTAGCTTTGCAAGACAGAGACCCAAGGCCGCTCCATCTTCCAGTGCCATACCGCAACCGCCTGGCGGGTCATTAGTAAATGAGTGAAGTATATCTGAACATGGAGACTGCATAGTATGAAAATCGGGGCATATCATAAGACGTAACTCACTAGCGAGGTATGGCAGTGTTGCGTGGACAGCATCCCCTAACAATGTAAATGTCCCGGATTCATGTGTCCATTGTTCTAAAGTAGGTCGTATGCAAAGCTTCCACTTCTGAACAGATTGACACAGACTTAAGATCTTGCCTATTACGGGGTCCCAGTCTTTGTATAATGCTTGCATCTCTTCTACGTTCCCATCCACAGTCATGGCAGCTGCAGGCATATCGTCCGGGACTAATAATACCATGTTGAATAACTCCCCGCCTCTCAGAACATAGTTTACCGCGTGTGCGTCGGGGCCTATCCAGTAGTTGACCTGGGGATTTTGAATAAAGTGTCGTAACTCAGGATCTGCCAGCATATCTTTGGTATTGATGAGGAGTCTATAGGCAAGGTCACCTGTTGGTAAAGGGGGGTCTGGTTTGCCGAGGAGAACCTCGCGCAGCCGAGATGATATGCCATCTGCGCCGACGATGAGATCTGCGGACATAATCCTACCGTCGCTCAGCACAGCGCTTGCCGTTAATCCATCCGCGGGATATTCGATCGTCTGGACTCTCGATCTCACACGAATCTCAGCTCCAAGCTCGACAGCCCGATCGAGGAGGCAACGGTGTAAGTTAGCTCTATGGAAATCCCAGAAAGGGGTGCCCAGAGCCTTCTCATAAGCATGGAGATCCATTCTTGATAGTTTATTACCCTTCCAACCGATCATGTTCGCGTACCGAGGCTTCGTCGCATGCTTAACAAGCTCATCTTCGAGTCCCCAAGAAATTAATATCCTTGACGAATTAGGCAAAACCTGAATACCAGCACCTATTTCGCCAATCTCAGATGCGCTTTCAAGTACGGTCACGCGATGTCCTGCTAGAAGTATAGAAATAGCTGCGCCAAGTCCACCGAGCCCGGCACCTACGATTATAATCTGTAGTGAAGCTCAATAAATTGAACGGGTTTATAAGTTCGTGATCCACTTACATGAAGTTGGCTCGACGCATCTCTCTTAACTTTTTGCCATACCTTTGGGTGAAATTTGGAAGCCATTTTCAAATCCGGTATTACTATGACGGTAAATTTGACCTTATTACCTCAAGTTTAAAGGGGGAATAACAGGTCAATAAATGACGGCATAATATATCTTTCGTACGACTACTTATCATAGATAAAAATGAAGAGGCTCCATAACAATCCTGTAAGATATGACCGGTATGTATATAGGGGGATCGTGACATTCCGCCCTTGGGGTGTATCCATGTGTCACTTCTTCGGTGATCCGGATTGTAATGTAATGTTTACGTCGTCTTGCCGCCAAGTCATGGTTATCATATATGCACACGTACGCTATTGCATATGTAGGTACAAGGTGGTAACATACCTCGGTTACATATCTGAGAAGGATGTATTATGAATTAGGTAAAGCAAGCTTATACTCCTTATCCTTACATATTTTTTGCTTTAAATATCTCTATTGGACAATTATATGCACCTTAGATATTTCCGACCGAAGTATCTATGTCTAAGGTTCGTAAAGTTGCATACACTACCTCTAGGCTTACATACCTAAGTACGGAACACCCGTTGGCTTATCTCCAGCCAACACCGTAAAATGGTTCTGCTTATGGGCAACCCCACTCTTGATAGTAATATATCACCTTTAGGAGATAGCAAAGGTGGGGGAATATGTAGGTACGCTGAGAATGAGGCAGTTATTTTCGGCATTGATTTGAACAAGGGACAAGGGACAAGGGGTACATTCAGCATTCAGCTTGCTTACCATCGTACGAACATAGCTGAAGTACGGATTTGATGATTGCACAGCTCTTGGCGGAAATATTGTGTGTTCACTCTACTCTATGTCAGCAAGAGCCTCAATCCGTGAATAATTAATACTGGTGCCATTAAAACATATACACTCCTCTCCCCTCTTTTCTTTCCGTCTCTCCTCCCTCCTCTAAAATCTAATGGGAGGATAAGAATGGGGGTTTTCCGTCTTCCGAGACGATCTACATGACAAGATTCTTTGAAAGTGGTGAATGACAATTAGTTGAGTTTGCTAGTTTATTGTAAGGCTGGGCAGTATGCAGCGAGCTAAGCGTAATAGAACTCGGGAGGGTGACGGTAACACCAGGCGATCGTTTACTTGCACCTATGATGGTTGCGGTAAATCTTTCTCGCGGTCTGAGCACCTACATCGTCATCAAAAGAACCATACCGATGGGGATGCTACTTGTCCGCGGTGCCGCGCCCACTTCAAGCGCCAGGACCTTCTAGGTAAGAACCCCATCGCTGTCTTAGATATACGGGGGTTGACACGACCGTGTAGAAAGGCATATGAACCGGCATAAACAGAAGGATGAAGAAGCTGGAGGCGCAGGCGTCGGAACCTTGAATACACGCAAGCGTATGTGGAAAGACCATGATGGACACATCGTCCAAAAGAAGCCAGTAGAACAGAACACATCCCGTGGTAGCAGTAGCAGTAGTAATGTGGGAGCGCCGTTCGTATCCCAGGTAGAAGGTCCCATTTCACCTCCTGTATCGACTCATAACTCGGACCACCAAAGCGATAACGATCCCGCATCACATACGGCTTTCACCCATAGCCATAGTCATAGCCTTTTACCAGATTATGCGCTTACGACGGGGCAGTTCGATTCACATGGTAATAGCGGGTATTGGGTTGCTCCCGAGACATCCCAGCCTCCCTTCTTCGATATAAACTACGATGAAGTGTTCCAGCCGGACACAGCAAGTTCGTTTAACATGCCTTATACGACACAAGTAAACTATGATTGGCTTTTTAGTCTAGATAACAATGTCTCGAGCGCTACCGTCTCGAATACCCCGTATGTTCCTACTACTTCCCTGGCTATGTACTCCGGCGTTCAACATCATGCACCTGTGAGCTCAAGTCAAGACAACTTCTCCCCGGGTATTAGGGCATATGAAGGGGGGATGACCGGGACCTCATTAACACCCATGGAATCTCTTGACTGTATGCCTTCTGGAGGGAGTACTCAAAATTCAATAAGTCCTGGTTCTTCAGATAGAACTGCTGTTAGCCTCTCGCCCGTACCGAAGCAAGCCCATCGGGGACTCGGTGGCTTTGGTGAAGCAGAATTCGAGCGACCCCTGGCTACTCTTCAACCGCCAAACCGTCTACCGTATATAGACGACTATACGTATAGCCAGATTTTAGAGACGGTTAAAGCCTCAAGACCGTTAGCACCCAGTGGCTCCCTTCTCGACATCAACCATCCGCTGATGTCACAGCTTTCGTTGCAAACCTACTTAGATCTATACTTTAACAGGTTCAATACCGCATATCCGTTGATACACCTGGCCACCTTTGAGCCAAGCCAAAATAAGACATTATTACTTCTGTCCATGATTCTACTCGGGGCTACTTGTGAGTAGTTTCTGCGTCCTTCTTACTTTAATGGTGGGGCATTGCTAATTCTTGCCATTAGACTCCGAGAAAGAGGCACATCAATTTGCCGTCTGCATACACGATGTGATCCGCCCGGCGAGTAAGTATCTTTATGAACCCTCACTATATTTGCTGAATAGTGATTTCTTTCCTAAATCTGCCAAGAGGCCACGCTCTCATAACTCTGACCTTAAATAGTATTTTCTCACGCGAGCTTTAACCCCAAACCTGACCTTTGGATGCTACAGACGATTCTGTTAGTCGAATGCTTCGGGAAGAGTAGAGCAGGTCAGAAACAACACGACATGAGCCATTTATTCCACGGGATGTTGATCAACCTGATCAGGCGGTCTGACTGCCAGTCTGTCCGGCCAGTTCGCCCACACGAAGATAATGATAAGGGCAACTTGGTCGATGACTGTAGCTGGAGACAATGGGTAGAGGCCGAGGAGAAGAAAAGGTTAATAATATCTTGCAAACCCCAGTATTTATTCATGATGATTATTAACATAAAAACATCCAGGCTGGCTCTTCTATGCTTCATGTGGGATACCCAACACGCCGTCCTATTCTGCCAATCTCTATGCATGTCAGCCTTCGAGCTCCGGGTCCCTCTACCCTGCAACCAAGCATTATGGGAGGCATCCACAGCCGCCGAATGGTCGCGCCTCTCGCTCTCCACAGCCCCTGAGCCGATGTACCTCCTCGCACTGAAGTCTTACATCACGCGCGACACGCACCGTTGTCCTCGACTCAACGGCCTATCGAGAATATTCATCTTTCACGGTTTAATGTCCATTTTCTGGGACATGCGGCGGCGGGACCAGACCAGTCTTGGCGTCATCTCCGCGCAGGGCGGTCGATGGCAGAGCCGTCTTGGAAACGCTTACCATGAGTGGAAAATAGACTTCGATAACTTCTGCCTACGCCTGTCCGATATCACATCTGTGGAGATGAGGAAGGGTACCGTCCCCGAAAATGCAAAAGTTGAACTCGATGTCTGGCGTACCGCGTACGTGGCCGTGTACCATGCAGCTCATACACTTCTACACTCGGAATTCCTCGACATACAAATATTTGCTGGCGCACGACATATCCTCGGGCGGTCTGTTCAACGGAACGACTTTATCCGCTCAGAGAAGGTCGTGAAACGATGGGCTATGAGCCGTACGATCCCAGGATCTGACAATACTGACGGATCTGGGAGCGCGGTAGCGGCGGTTTGGCACGCAGCCCAATTGCTCCAAAGCGCATCACACACGTTCGTCGATTTCGACTCTATGGGCCTATTTCATGTACCATGGTGTCTCTACTTAGCCACGTTGACGGTATGGACATTTCACCACACCGGCGCCAAGGGGTTTGGTTCCGTCCCCGAAGATGATAGTGAACTGGTGTGGGATGCTCAAGCAGAAATGCGGATGCTTCTAGACTCGATGGTAGAAGCGGGGATTCATGGTTTACCTGAAATACAGGGGCTGAAGCGAACTAGCGGTTTGGTGTGGGTTATGGCAGAGGTATTGAGTAAAGTTCGCTGGGGAATTGTGCATGCTGGCGTCACCGTGCTTAAAGGCTTGATCCCGTGGAGGTTAATAGGGCAGTTTGATGATACTACTGTCTGAGTGCACGTATTTCGATACGGACGTACGATATAAAGAAAATAAAAAAAGAGGCTAAAGCTGTTCGTCGTGAGACAAGGGTCTACTCAGACGTCAAAATTCTACGGCGAGAGTATCTACACTATGATGAGTAGTTCGAAACACAATCAAGGGGGCCTCGTGAGGACGACTACCTACTTAAGGAAAAGGGATGTGTGAATTAAGAGTGCATGTAACCCGTGAATGCCACCAATGTGAAGTATACCGTACAACTTGCCGAAATGCTGAAAAATGAACCAATAGACATTGTTACGCAGGCATTTTGCTCCTTAACCCCCCTCCTTATTATGCTCGTAGATTACTTAACATTACCTCGCTTTCTCGTCAGGAACCTTAAGGAATCCGTCGTAATAGGAATTGAGCCAATCGGCAGCTGTTGAACCAGCGTTAACACCCAGCGAATCCCATCTACTAATCGATCCAACGTAGCCATCCGGTCGTAGGATCACGATGGAAACTTCATCTTTCTGTAGAGTTCCTACCCACTTGCTCGTACACGTCTGTCTGCGCGTGTCTAGGTATGGCACATTGTCTAGGTAGAATGACCATGCGCTTCGAGCGAAGAGGGGGGGCAGATCTTGGATCTCAACTCTGGCCTTCTCCATAGTCGCTACATTAGAGGTTAGCTTATTTGAATTCACATTGTAAAAAATACGTAGGCATCAGGGTTTCCATACTAATAAGTGCAAACGTTGTAAGCTCGCTCACGCTTGTGTATCTCTCTGAACGTATATAAACGTCCTCGGAGGTGGGTGTTCGTGGCTTTTCCAAATAGCTGGCCGCGGCGGCTTGACTCAGTTTCCTAAACAATGAGTCCTGCCTTGTCAATCCATTGCAGAAAGTCTGGAGGAACGGCATGCTATTGTGGATATCTGGCACAAAGAAGTACACCCTAAATTGGCCCAACATGGGAATGTCAAGCTGGACATCGATCGGATTCGCATCGATATATCGTGTTACCTTAGCAGGCGGAACGAGGCATCCCGGCCTCAGCTCGCCTCCACTGCGCTTGGACGGATGGTTAAGTACGTTGTGGTCGTACTCGACGCCGACTCCTGAGATAAATCGCACGTTTGTGCGGAAGTTCTCGGCTAAGGCCTTGGCGTCACCACCGGCCATCTTATTAGCGTGCTCATAATCGAAGTTGATGAGGTCGTGAGCAATCTTTCTACGCTCCATCTCGTATGATTCGAGTAGAACCGGCTTAGCTAAACCCCTCGAACTGAGGTTCAATTTCCACGCAAGGTTCCAGCTATCGTGCATACTGGTGTTCATACCCTGTGCAGCCTTGGGTGAATGCGTATGACTTGCATCTCCGGCAATAAAAGCCTGCAGATGCGGATCGGTGAATTTGTTTGCTATTCGCTGTCCGATCTGATAATTGCCGAACCATTCCACGGTACGCCATTCAACCGAGTACGGCGCCAAGATTTGCTTGGCACGTTTCATGACGAACTCTTGTCCGAGTTCTCGTAAGTTGCCGGTCTCGGTATCCGGTTTGATCTCGACGTAGAATCGAGTAGTGCCCCGTTCCCGCGGGACAATGAGTATGGAACCGTGTACCTCACTATAGACGACCGTCTTAGACCAGAGGTCCGGGAAGTCTGAAATGAGTTCTCCATCGAGCACAGCCCACACAGATTCATGAGATTTGCCTACTGAATATGTGTCTGGTATGCAGGTTCGCACCTTAGATCGGGCGCCATCGCCTAATAAGGTCAGCTAAGGGGGGTGTCTGAAATGTGTAGACTCATTTGTAACTTACATCCGACTATATATTTGGATAATGTCGTCTCCTTTTCCCCGGTGCTTGTGGCCTTGCACTCAATCTCTAACAAGCCTGCATCATCCTCTTGTCTTTTAAAAGATTGGAATTGATGACTGCGCTTCACTTGGACACCCCGCTTTACGAGATCCTCTATGAAGACCCCTTCCACAACCCCCTGATGAACTAGGAGGATATAGTCATCGAGAAGATCAACAACTAGTGCCGGATAATGGATCTCACGGCCTAGACGTCTTAATCGGCGGTTTGCAGTGGCTTCCCAGAAGCATATGTCATACACCTTAGCGCCTCTCATTAGTAGGCCATCTGCGAGTCTGAGTTGACGCAGGGTCTCTATCGTCTTGGGTTGTAACCCATCAGCACGACCAGCTTGAGTCTGATCGGGTCTCTCATCTATGACTTCGACACTGATGCCGAATCTAGCTAGTAAAGTACTGCATGGATTGGATGTAAGCGTGGGCGTTAGGGAGGGTATTTTTAGGGATGAAGACGATCAAGATGGCGACCACCAACGGTCTTACTCTCTTTTTTCTCTCTTTTCATTCTATAACTATAGACTACGGATGGAAAAGAAGAAGAAGAAGAAAATGAAGAAATACGGGAATAAAATGCAACTTACGCCAACATCAAGCCGGCAGGTCCAGCTCCGACGACGCAGACTTCGGAGCTGTGTCGTGAGCCGTTGGTTTCACGGCGCTTGGCTGGACCATGGCCATTAAGTTCGCCATTGGTGCTGCCGTTGGTGTCGCCGTTCTGTCGCACACCGTTTACCTCATCTACGAGCATGGCGCCGGTTTCAATTCCCTAGACAAGATTTATTTCATGCGAGTACGTTAAAGGCTTCTACCAGAGCACAATAAATAGCAAGGTGGCTTGCTCTGAGGTAGCAAAGAGTAACGAGGCGGCGTTTGGGGGAAGTGGTGGTGGTGGGTCGTTGACGGTTGGTCCGATCAGTAAGATGGATTGTATTTCATCGGTTGATTGATTTGATGAATGGGGGATGGGTGAGTCGAGTTTGAGTCTCAAGTCTCAATGGAGACTGTGTATGTATTACCGGCGAACAGCGTTCCGTCTGGTGACTTTTTTTGAAAGCCAAGGTAAGATCTAGTAGGTCTGGTAGGCCAAAGGAACGAATGAGAACGAATGAGCTCACACTTCAGTCCTTCACTTGAGTAGATAAAGTTATAAAATAATTAATTCACACTGTGCTCAGACCATTGTCAGGTGGTTTGGTGCCATTCTCGAACCACTCCGGGTCCCCTAGATCGGGCTGGTCGGGCTAGTTCAAACTGGGGGGACAAGGGGGAGTAGTGTATTGTATCCTGTGTATGGAAAAGAAAAAACAGAAACATATGGGGGCTTAAGAGGCAAAAGCGACATGTAACTGGATATTAAAATAGTGGGTTGTTTCGACTTGTTCCGACTTGTTCTAGAACTGTTGCCATTTTTGTTAATTATCAACCTTGGACCTGCCTCGAAATTGTTTGAATAATGAGATGATTATCCATAATAACCCCTCCACCCCTCCACCCCTTCCCATTCGGGTGCTCTTCGTCCTCTAGGAGACCCCTGAAACGTTTTTTCTGCATTTGCCCCTCCCCCATTCTTTCCCTATTCTTTACCCTATTATCTATCCAGGTACCGGCATTAGGCATTAGGATACATTTTTGTCTGACAACCCTCCCACTCCTTACTGCTACACTTACATATGCTGCTGAATATCCCTGTCTAAAATGTCAAATATCACACCACTTTATGTACATACACAATAAGTATGTAGTAGAGAGCACGGATAAGATAGGCTGCATGTTACGCAGTATGTATTGATATCTGCCAAGACATCATCTCCAGCCTTAGGTATCTCTTGCAGACTTCTCAAATAGTGATATCGGCAGCACGTCGCTTATCAAGCCGACGTGTTGGGCACTTGGAGATATACCCCTCATAGCCAGCCTTACACAGTACGTTAATGAGAAATAAGTTAAGCTACATTACCATATATCTCCATTCTAGTGAATTCGACGTCTTGGTAAATAAAAGATCATCTCACAATGGCTGAAATCTCAGGTGGATGGCAAGAGAAGGTCCGCTTGAAGCGCGAAGCTCAAAAGCGAGCACTGGCCATTTCAGACAATATCAAACATGTAAGAAGCTATTTGAGGAGTAAAACGAGTTTACTTTAACTGTTACGCTTGCTGAAATAAATTGGAATGATAGAATAGCCCGGACTGGGTATTTATTGAGGATATTTCGGCGTTGGTCCGTCGCTTTGCTTCTGGCGAGCTAAGTTCTGTAGCTGTGACGGAAGCATATATTGAAAGGTTCCGTAGAGACATAATACATGCATCAAGTCGAAATTTAGTGTTCATCTTTGAAAGTTACTAATTTTGTTTCATCTCGCCAGGGCTACTATTGCACATGGTTTGGTAGGTTTTCTCTCGGATATTGTTGCTGTGTTGTAAATTATATACTGATTGCATCTCTCGAGAATATTAGACGAATTGGTTTGTTGCCTATTCATCATGGGATTTCGATCGGTAGCTGGTTAACATTGACGATAGTCTTACCGAAATTCTCTTCGAAGAAGCCTTGGTGCGGGCTCGTGAGCTGGATGATTATCAAAAAGAACATGGGGATGTCATCGGTCCGCTACATGGTGTTCCCGTTACCCTTAAAGATCAATTTAATGTTAAAGGCTATGATAGCACTCTGGGCTATGTTGGCCGCGCATTCAATCCCGCGACTGAAGACGCGGTTCTTGTCACGCTGCTAAAGAAACTCGGTGCTGTTGTGCTGGCCAAAACGAATCTCCCTCAGAGTATAATGGTGAGCTCAGATTCACTCTTGGCGCTACAAGATAGTTAGTATCTGACCATGAATTATAGTGGTGTGAAACTGAGAATCCGCTTTGGGGCCTTACTACACATTTTTTCTCTAAGGACTACACTCTCGGCGGCTCGACAGGCGGCGAGGCAGCGCTACTAAGCCTTCGCGGGAGTCTTCTCGGTTGGGGAACAGATATCGGTGGTAGTATTCGGATACCCGCCCATATGACAGGTTTATACGGGTTCAAGCCGAGTGTAAGATATCTCTTATTCTAAAAACTGCCCGAACGCAACCCCTGAACTAATATTGATTTGCCTTAGAGCTCCCGTCTCCCATATCAGGGAGTACCTGTGTCAACCGAAGGGCAAGACCATGTCCCTTCGTCGGTAGGGCCACTAATGCGAAATCTACCGTCGCTGACGCTAGTGATGAAAGAGCTGATCCAGTTAGAACCCTGGAAACATGACGCTCGTTGTGTACCTATACCATGGAGGGAGGAAATCTTTGAGAATTTCGGGTCTAAGCCGCTGACAATTGGCTTACTTATTGACGACGGAGTAGTCCGACCGCATCCGCCTATTACACGAGTACTTCTCTCATTGGTAGAAAAGCTCGAAGCCGCCGGTCATGATATCGTTGAATGGAATTCCAACCTCCACGCCGAATGCATCCAGGTTATGGTTAGATAGCATCTTTCATGACCATCTGCCTATATTTTCTAATTTTTGTGGTCTTTAGGATGAATTCTATACGGCTGACGGTGGCGAAGATATCCGCCGCGATGTCCAAGCCGGTGGAGAACCCTTTATTCCCCACGTAGAAGCTTTGGTCAACAAGGGCCAGCCTATTTCTGTCTACGATTACTGGCAGTTGAACAAGCGTAAAACAGCGCTCCAACAAGCGTATCTTGAGAAATGGAATGAAATTAGGTCACCAAAGACGGGAAAGCAGGTCGACGTTGTGTTAATGCCACCCATGCCACATACAGCTGTCCCCCATCGTGCTTGTCGATGGGTAGGATATACTAAGATATGGAACGTCTTAGACTATTCAGCTCTAGTTATCCCCGCAGGTAAAGTATCTTCTATCGATAGCCACGTACCATGGAACCACACGCCGAGGAATGCAATAGATGAGTGGAATAATGCTCTATGGACTCGAGAAAAGGAGAAGATGATCAAGCTCGAACTTTCTGTTGGGGTGCAAATAGTTGGAAGGAAGCTCGAAGAAGAGAAAGTCCTTGCAACTGGTACTATTATTGATAAATTTGTGCGAGAAGTTAGGTAACTATGGTGCAAAGAGTCTTAATAGTTCACCTTATTAGGTATGATTGCACTCTAGTGTCCGACCGTCTAAATTCATCATCCCAATTACTCATCCTACTTCTTAAGGATCTCCCCAGGAGGAGCGGGCATCATAGCTCCCTCAGGTGGCTTGTTCTTACTTTTGAAGTAGTCGCACATCTTCAGCGGTTAGCAATGCGAAATAGATAGACTCAAATTCATAAAACAATGCTTACTTCGGCAAATGTCATCCATTCTACCCCCTCGTGCTTGTTGATATGCTCGATCAACCTTTCGTGCATTAAGAGGACATGCGGCCGGCCCGATACGTCGGGGTGAATCGTCATAGGGAAGATGAACTCGTCATACTCGCGATAAAAATAATCAAAATGGTCACGCCATATGTCTTCAACATCCCTAGACTGGTAATTAGACCCGAGATATAATCATATTCTAAGTCTCTTACGAACCTCGGATTAACCCAGCCGTGCGAATTGGCCGAGTTTTTCATGAACATCATAGGAGGAAGATCATCGATATACCATGAGCCTGGGATTTCCACCATGCCCGTGGGTTGCCCCTTGATGAGGGGCTTCATCCACTCTTCGGCTTTTTTCTTATAGTCGATCCTGGTATGACTTAGCACTATGCTCATATATATCTCAGGTTCGGTGTCAATGAATATCCGCAACTTTCTAATCACCGACTCTCTATCGGTCAAAGCGATTGTAAATTAAGGGAATGACTACGACATACTATGTTGAGGTTAGCTGGCATTCGGAAACATGCAATTCATTACCAGATACAATATTAGGTAAATCGTAAACGACCTTGTCGCACATACCTTTGTCCATGAGTCCCCGGTGCGCAACCAATACATCTGGCAGTCTTCGTGGGACATAGAATGATCGTATTCGATACCATAAGAGAGCATCAACTCCGTCCCTTCTTTGCTAGTCTCCCACCAAGGCGCAACGCTACCTCTCGGCGGCTTACCGCAGAACTCGGTGAGAAGTCTATATGTTTTGTCGAGGACATCTCGCTGCTGCTCGAGCGTCATGTCGACCGGGTTCTCATGAGAATATCCGTGAAGACCGATCTCGTGACCGGCGTCTCTCACCATAGCGCATTCTTCCGGAAATGTCTCGAGCGAATGACCTGGTATGAACCATGACGCCTTGATTTTATACTTATCAAATAATTTGAGCAGACGACGGGTTCCAACAGTGCCAGCCCAGAGTCCTAATTGAAAGGGGACGATTGGCGTTAGATACGCAGTCTAATCACCGTAGCATGGGAAGAGGTCTAACCTCTGCTGATGTCGCTGGTACTATCCTCGCCTCCATAAGAGCCAAGCCAGCCGGCAACAGCATCAATATCTACTCCGTACCTAGTATAATACTTTATTAGTTATTGTTATCTATATCCTAATATTCATAAAACTAGGTATTTGCTCACCCGACAAGGACCTTTTTCTTACCCATGGCGGAACAAAGTATGAAAATGATGCGAATCTGATGTAAAATTATCTAATTATCACAAGTATTTTGGCCGACAGTCAAGTGTCCCCTCAGCTCAAGTTTATCATTAGAATCTAACCGTCTAGCAACACCCTGCTCCAAAACAAGGTATACAACCCCCATTCTTGAACGCCCACCCCATGTACCCCGCAAAGTTAGACACATCATATTTTCAACTAGCTCATACTATGTGCCTTATCTATTCTAAGGCAACTCGGGAGTCTCCGGATTTACTAGAATGGGAGACAGGAATTGATGGAGAAAGCCGATGTCGAACTGTTTCCAATGTTAGTGGAAATCTTATGATTCCGTACGCAGCTGATGTTGGAAATATGTCCTAGGAAAAGAGCACGAATTACGGTTTAGTGAGAGGAGACAATCCAAGATAATTCTGAGAGCCGCTGTGCAGTACTCACATTACATATATGCGTACAACACTGTACTACCTATTCCCACCACTCCACTAATATTAATTGCCGGGTTTATGAGTATCTCCAAATCGAATTCTTTTCTTTATACGTGCAACCTCGCTATCTGCTCTAACCACCAAACGTGAATTCGAATATCATCCGTTAGCTCCGGGTGAAAACTTGTCCCGAACACGTTCTCCTGTCTTAACGCGACGATATCTCCTGCTCCTTTAGGTGTTGCTGCTTGAATATCAGTACCCTTGATCGACGCCGCTGCAGCTTTATTCGAGGCGTGACGTCCGGGAAGAGTAGCTAAGATCTCAACCTTTCCTTTGGGGGCTTGGGCTTGGGCTTGGCTTTCGGATTTCTGCGTTGCGACTTCTGGCGTTATGCTCTCCGCCTTGTCGTCGACCGACGTAATGTCGCCTGTTAACACTTGATCCACGACAGGGGCTCGAATAAACACGGCCGGGAAAGGGGTAGCCTGAGCTCCATTGCTTCCCTGAGATAAGAAGGGCAAGTCTAGATCCGTTACGAAGCTTTCTTTCTGTCGGCCAAAATGATTGCGATGGACTTTGACATTGAGTCCCCCGATCAATTCCTGCCCGCCTCTTTTAGCGGCACTCGCTTGTTCAGACAAAAAGATAAGACCAGCACACGTGCCCCAAGTTGGCTTCTTGTTTACCCTTATGTGGTCGGCCAAACCCCGAGATTAGCGATTTTATATCCTCCCTCTGGGCGCTATACGTGTATCGGACTTACTTGACAAACTCGCGCAATGGTTCCAGTAGCCCAGACTGTGCGGCTACGAGAGATAGCGTGGTACTTTCCCCTCCAGGTATAATTAAGGCATCACATGTGGCTAACTGCTCTGGCGTCCGGACCTCGATGAAGTTGAAGTTCGATGTTAGAGTTGTGATGTGTGCGGCTGCTTTACGGAGAGAGCTGAGATGTTCCGAGAAACCTCCTTGGAGAGCAAGGACACCAACGGTCACCATGTTCGCTCTACCAGGTACTAGGATGTCTTCACGATATTCCCGAGTATGCTCTCTCAAAGTGGTTGGTGAAGGTCAGCCAACTGTATTCGCTATTAGTTAACCGACACTATGGAACGACCCGGGATTAGCTCGACAGATCCGGGATTTGATAGATGTAAACGATTCGGAGCTTTAGGTATTTATTTTATCTTATATGTCTCTATATTGCTCAGGTTGGTAATATAGGTAAATACCTCTTTCTTATTAGTCTAACCTATTAGTGTCTCTCTATCTATTTCTTAGTCTGTCGCATCCCGCGGAAATCTTTTTGGAGGAGGCCCTAAGAGGTACAAACACTGACTGTTACCGAAGCCGTTACCGTCACCGTTTATACACGTAACTCCCCAGTCCCTATGAATACTTATCTTTATCTGTTACCGTATCTGTTACTCCTACTTCAATGCATAATGCGTACCATGGTATACCGAGTAATCCTCCCCGAGACCGGCGATGTCATATGCGTCATCCCGACCGAAGTACGGGGAAGTACCTCTTCTTTGATCTTTCTTGCCAACTCGCTATGTAAAATTTTCAACTGATCGGACTCTCAAACTAAGCATGGATCCTTCTGGGTCATTTAGACTTCTCGATCTATACCCATCTTGGGGAAAGTCATGGCTCCATCTAATTCCTGGGCAGTCATTTCATTGGTGAATGAGCCCTTTTTTTTGTCACCTTGAATGACTATAAGGCTCGGCCGGCTTCTGAAATTTCCCGCCTTTGGAGACGGGTATAGACGGAAAGCTACGCATGTATGAGTAAGTTATTCTAATTTACCAACCGTAAGTGAAGAAATTCCGATATCCTCACGTCCCTTGTTGCCTCCCTAGACCCTAGACGCTTCACTCATACCTTACGTGCTGTGCCGATTTAAACGCCTTGCCCCTGCGTATATTCTTCTATTTAAAGAACCTCTTAAAGAGTTCAGACTCCGAAATAGAAAGTTCAGTCAGTCAAAAGTTTCGCCTCCTCAGATACCACTCCAATTTCCGAAACAACTCAACCAGCAATCATGACGGGTAACGATGCAAACAACGCTTCGGCGTCGGCCAATGGCTCTTCGATATCCTCTTCTTCCAAGTCTGACTTCATCGTCAAGGCAGGGCTGGCCCAGATGCTGAAAGGAGGCGTCATCATGGACGTAACAGATGCCGCACAGGCCCGCATCGCTGAAGAAGCTGGAGCCTGCGCCGTCATGGCTCTCGAGCGCGTACCGGCCGATATCCGAGCAGAAGGTGGGGTCGCACGCATGTCAGACCCTGGTAAAATTAAGGAGATCCAGGAAGCTGTGACTATTCCTGTCATGGCTAAGGCCCGTATCGGTCATTTCGTCGAGTGCCAGATCCTCGAAGCCCTGGGCGTGGACTATATTGACGAAAGCGAGGTCCTTACTCCCGCCGACGATACGTTCCACGTCGAGAAGAGCCCCTTCAAGGTACCCTTCGTCTGCGGCTGTAGGAATCTGCCTGAGGCCCTGAGGCGTATTGCTGAAGGTGCTGCTATGATTCGAACCAAGGGCGAGGCTGGTACAGGAGACGTTGTTGAAGCCGTCAAACACATGCGCACGGTTAACCGTGACATTGCTCGGGCCAGATCCGCGCTTCAGGAAGGTGGTGACTTAGCAATCAGAGCCCTGGCGAGGGAATTTGAGTGTGACGCTGTGCTGCTCAAGCAAACGGCCGAACTTGGACGCTTACCGGTGGTCAACTTCGCCGCTGGAGGTGTAGCGACCCCCGCGGACGCTGCATTGATGATGCAGTTGGGCTGCGACGGAGTCTTCGTCGGCAGCGGTATTTTCAAATCAGGCGACGCGGCCAAGAGAGCTAAGGCTATCGTGAGAGCCACGACACATTTCCGAGATCCAAAAGTCCTAGCCGAGTGCAGCGAAGGCCTCGGCGAGGCAATGGTTGGTACCAGCGTCAACAGCATGAGGCCCGAGCAGAAGATGGCCGGAAGGGGATGGTGATTAGGGACTAGGGGTATGCTATAATGTTACATGGGGTGGGACATCTGAATTTCAACAATTATACATCATAGTCAGCTGGGAGCATGGGGAATCAACACCAATGGCGTAGACTAAAACAAGACGAGGTGATGTTTATGCATTTTGTGAAGGCGTACTTAAATCTACTTATTGACATGACCACCGCCGTCTAGAAAAGTCAGATGGTCACAAATCCAACAAGAATATCCCGCCAGTCTTGAGATTCTCATGCAGGTTGATTGCTCCAAATGGCGTTGCTCAGAGTCTTGTTAGGGGTGAAATATTTCTCCAAGTCTGGCTTTGCGCGAATGATTAGATCAGCCTCCATACGACCGAACACGACGCCTCCGTGCTCATTCAGATGCGTCGTGTCTTTCTTGTCTGAACCGTAGTTGTATTCCCAGGCGGCTTGCTTCCCGATGGCGTTGACGTACTTTAGACTCGCCTCGTTGAGGTCGATGACGGTTGAGTCTGTTGCTTTGGCCGCTGCGATGGCTGCTAAGCGCTGATCGTGCAGCGAATCCGTGGCGTTGTGATCATCATTTGAGGGAAAAGCCCGGCGTGAAAGCGATGATGTTAGTAGCTGGATTTTATGTTAGTAACAGTTAAGATGATCGCCTCTTCTGTCCCTTCGCCCTCTATATTTTTCTTCAACTCCCACCTATAGTTCTCTCTTCCCTCCCTAGGAATAATAGGGGATACATACTGGTGTGCCACCTAGTGACTTGACCTCGTTAGCGAAACGAATAAGGTTAGCTTGGTACTGCTCGAAGGTAACACCGCTGGTTGATTTCTGATCGTTATGTCCGAACTATAAAGGCATCACCGGTTAGCTTATATGTCTTATAGTATTATGCATCGAGTCCAGTTAGAAGGGTGTCACGTGCCCCCTTCTCATGCCCTGTTTAGTCTGGTTTACTTACACTAATAGTCACGTAGCAATCATATTTAGCCACGTTATCCTGTAGATGTTTCGTTATATTCGCCCAGTATCCGCCGGCCTCGAAAGACGCCGTCGTCGCGCCGCTCTTCCCGATATTCACTCCCCAAGCCGGACTCTTAAGCGTAGCTAGGAAGCCGTCGCCCCAACCACCGTCGACTGCCGTCGTGGAATCGCCCGCCAAGAAGAACGCCGCAGGTTTAGACGAACACTTGGTGAGCGGACTTCCGGCGACCAAAGTAGATAGAGCCGTAGCCCATAAAATTAAACGCGACATAGCTATTGTGAGAAAGTATGCCAATTATTATGTTTTGACTATCGAGATATGTCCAGAACTATCTCTTGGCAACTACAATTACGAGGAACCCAGGTCTGGGCCCGGACCTCCATTTGTACTCGCAGACAAGCCACGTATTAATGAAGTCAAGTATATAACAGGCATCTATAGCTCTCCTATTCTCCTCTCGACGAGTTACATCGGCGACAGCTAGGCCACGGAAGCACATACAACTCTCGTATGATTATGTACCGAGACGAGCTGTGCGCTATTGGTCCATTTTGGGGCCGGTACATAGGAATTGGAGGTCACCGCCCCATTCACCCGGCGGGCGTCAGCTACCCACCAATCATCGATGGCGTACCTGACGAAGAGAGAAATGTATGTTTCTGGCACGGCACGTGTACGGTCTGCATTATAAAACGCCGCTGTCGTAGAGGGCTGGCCTTTTTCGGCACTGCATCTTCGCCAGGGGCTATGCCTTAACTCGATTGTTAATTTTAGTCACGCGGAGCTTTCGTAGGGCTGACTACGGTGTATCTTTACTTGTTATTGTCAAGCCTCGGCCGGGCGGATTGGTATGTCATTAAATCCTGTATGACGTTGGTGTTTCCATGATATACTTGCCCAGAACAGAACACGGATTATTTATCTTGAATTATTTCTACAAGGTCTAGCATAGCCAATAATCACTACGTCAAAGCTTCAGAATACAAGAATATTAGAAGCTCATTTCGTATTAAACCGCCTTGCCAACACCTTATAAACCGTAGACCCCCACGTTAGAGCCCATATAAGAACACGCCTCATTACCTCATCTACACACGTTATAAATAGTAGCAGATATCCAAGCCACTAGCTTTCGTTCTATATCGCCGCATCACGTATACACGCTTTCCGTCCACGAGTTAACCTGCAGCCCCGTTTCAGCCATGTTGACATCCTTCAAGTAGTCCAGCGGCATCCACACGAGATGTCCCTTGATCTGGTCTAGCTTTGCCCGGATGTCGTCTGGTGGGAGGAATCTATCGAATATGTGACCAGCTTTGACGCCCTTGGGTGGCAGAAAGGTGTTATAGTCGTCAAATGTTTTCACTATAATTAGATTAGATACGGACCCTTCCCCAGCTGTTCATCCGAGCCTAGGGAAAACTTACCGTGATCATCCGGATCCGCGTGGAATAGGTGTCTAAATACTTCTGTATTCTTCGTCGCGCTTGTGGTCCACATGTCCCACAGCTGGTCGCTCATGGGATCCTCGACGAACTTGTAACTCTCATCTCCATCCCAAATATCATTAGGCGAGTCCTGTCCTGGAGGTTGCGCGTTCGGGTCGTTACTCGCGTCGTGCGTTTGAGGTGGGAGTAGACCCAGATGTTCTCGCCAGAGATATCGCCGTAAGGTAGCGGCATGCTTCCCCGCTTCAAACCGCTGCCCATCCATGATACTCTGGATCTTGTCGGTATCATCCATGACAATTGATAGCTCACTATCGTGGTTGCCTAGTTGGCTTCTGTCATTCAAATTACTTGACCCACAGATCACGACGCGATCATCTGCTATCAAGAGTTTGGCATGGATGTATAGCTCCTCTTGGATCCAGTTGTCCACTTCCTCTTGAGGATCATCCTCCCAAATTTCGTCCGAAAGTTTGCCAGTGTTGGCCATCGCATGGTGGGAAACGCTGGAAGCAGATTTAGTTTCCTGGCCCTCTTGCCTTGCGGCTTCGAAGCGACGCTTAGCATCAGTGCTCTTAGTGTTTTCATTAATCTCCCTCTGCTCCTCTCTTTTGCCCATATGTTCGTCTCGTTCGCCCTCAACATCTTCATTGCCGTGAATTCCTTCACTCATAACTTCCTCTGCTTCGGCGCGTTGAACTTCTTGATACTTCACGCCGGATACCTCCTCTTGCTTCTTAATTGCAGGTGTCTTGTTTAGACGATCGTAGGAGCGTAGGTTAAAGATGAATATGTGGTCGGTAGGATTAACGCCCTGTGCACGAATCTGTTCGAAGATCGAATGTTCGCCACGGCATATCGATTTGTACTGATAATCCATAATGGCACGTGTTCCGGTTGCCGCATCATCCCGTAAGTCACCAGCGAACCCCGGGATCGCAGGGATGATTATGATAACTCTGAATTTTCTCCCTTCCTTGCCAGCTCTTACACAAGCATCTACGATTGCCTTCCCTATCGTATTATGGATGGGGGATTGCTGATCGCCAGTGGCGGTGATGAAGAACTGGTTTTCGATGTATACATAATGCTGGGCGTTGCGAATGATGTCCGAATATGCATTCTGAATGCTGTGGTCCGTCAATATACCACTGGACCAGTCAGCGCTGCTTCGAACGATCTGGGCGTGGACAGTTCCTCTGTTATCGAGGTTTTTCGTCTCTAGGGGTGTTAGAGGATGAAGCACGTATTCGCCAACCGGATGTTTCGGTCGTTGTACGCCTACGAGGTCTTCATCTTCGCCTTCACGGCCCCGTAGCATTAGCCAGTCAAATCTATCATCGCGCTTATACTTGTCTCTCTTGACAAAGTTCCACCGTAGGATGAAATGCTCTGCAATATCGTAAACGCAGGGCCCAACCACTCCCATAGCAACATCATGCCAGGGCATTCTTCCATAGTCAGCCTTGCTTAGTTCGTTCTGTTTCCAATCCTGGACATTCTGGAAATCCATGATACGGTTATTGTTAAAGTCTTGACCCGGCCAGACTTCGTTGCGGACTCCTTCCGGGTGGACATCGGAGAGTATGTGCTGATGATCATCCCAGCGGCCGAAGCAAAGGTCTAGGCCTCCAATAAAAGCCATCTTATAGTCAATAACAATGAATTTCTCGTGGTGAGCCCAATAGAAAGTCATGTCTGCAGCATTTTCTAGAAAATTGTGGTCCGGATGTCGCATGACAGTAATATTTCCAAAACCCGGCGAACCCTTAGGACATAGACTTTGCAGCGCATGCTTGGTATGTGCCGAGTTACATGTTATTGCAGCTTCGACTTCGCGATAGACGATAACGAAAATCTTCACACCGGCCTCGGCACGGCGCTTCAAAATCCTGTCCAACCGCCATTCTTGATTGAAATACGGAGGCCTGCGAAGGTACAGTTCCGGAGAAAGCCACCAGTCCGCGATGTAAATGGTTTCCTTTGCCTGTTCTAAAGCTACCGATACAGCCTATAAAAGTAGATGAGCTCTGCTGTCAGGAAGGGTTTGCAGTCCAGCATCAAACTCACCCAGAAGTAATTTCTCCCATCGACATACCATTTAATGAGATTTCCGTCACGTTCTGGAAAATACGAATTGAAGCGGTGGCTCTCGGAAATCTTAGTCCGTTTATCATCGCAGGCCTGTTCGTGTTCTTCGTCATGACGGTGTTGTGGGTTAAACTACAAGCATGCCCTTATGAGTATTCATGTTCGTGACAGCAGCTAGTAGAAGGGCAACTCACGAGATTTGCGAGTTTCCCGAATTTATGCCTAGGATAATGTCAATATTCTCTGTTTGAAAAGTAGTAGTAACAAGCACTGAGACGTACTTTTGATGAATGATGCCAATTTTGGCGTCGTGTAAATGAGTGTCCTTCAGCTTCTCCTTTAACTCATGGAATGGATGTCTTAGTTTATCCGAAATATCTGAATGGCCATTTCCGCCGCTATTTTCATGGGAGCCAGCCATTGTGAACCGGTATATACTTATTTTACAATTATAAAGACAGATTTAGTAGAAATAATGACGTCGATGAATGCCGAGGGGGAGCTAAGGTGGGTTACACTGTGAAACTTATACGATCACTACGCAACGGAGTTACGGATGAGCTCTAGCTCTGCTTGTAGTGTTGAGAAAATAGAAGTGATTATCGGAGGTTAAATGGGTAGGAGAATATAAACTATCTGTTGTATGGGGAAATGTCAGAAACATCTTATGAACATCTTGTGTGAAAGCGAGATAGGGCATATAAAAAGAGCGTCGTCATAAGTGGCTGATAACTTGTCTTGGTCGGGTAATACCATGTTGGTAATAATAGGACTAACTTACCTAGGATGAGAAGCAGGTTCTTTTTTAGTTCTAGATTGGTAACAAGGAAAAAAAAAAAAGAAAATAAAGATACGAGCGTCGAGCCGTAACACATATATAGTACTTCAAACTATGGGATGGATTCGTATAACTAAGTATTACCAAGTTTGGAGTTGTATCACGGCAATGCGGCACACATCTGCCTATATTTACGAAATTTCGATCCCTCCTTATATCTTTCTTTAGTAGCTGAAAAGATACAGTCGATAAAATGCTAAGTGTTGTAGTTTGCTTATTATGTAGGTACTTAGGTAGATACCTGGCAAGGCCAAGACTTATAAGAGCCAAGAATTATAAAACGGGACCGATCTTGCGAAAGAACCACGAACGTACGTTTATGTAAGTCATTTAACGTCCGACATCCGAGATCTTGGTAGTTGTTGGTCTTAATATTTTATAGGTAAGTAATACAAAAAATAATTAAGAACGTAATCACGGTAGATGTTTTGGTTAAAATTGATTATAGCTATAACATCGGTTTATAGGGCGCATCCAAGTACCTAACCTATCAATTCAATTGCTCAGCTTTAAGCTTAAAAAAACGGAGTGACGTCATTATTTTCTCCAGGGACATCTGAACTTGAATACAGCATGAGTTAGCCACTACCCACCGTAGATCTGTGGCTAGTGAATAATAAATATACTGTGGCCAACCCCGCCCCCGCTGCCCCTCTTTGGTTAACACCCCTCACCCCTCACCCAGTCACTATTTACTTTTGTAACAATAAGTACAACACATACACAAATGCAGATTACCGCATCCACTAAGAAACAATTGAATCTAGGGCACGGACCACAGTAATCAACTATACCATATTTGGAAATGATTTGAGCATATCATTGCTGTGGGGTACTTTAGCGAAAGCCGGATGTAGTTTAGGTCATTGTAAACATAGTGTAGTTGAAGCCCGTGGTCCGTGCCCTAGATTCAATTGTTTCTTAGTGGATGCGGTAGTACCTAAAGCTACCCCTATCTATCATCTACCAATTGATCTACTCCATTGCTTCATTGACCGCCCCTTCTTGTTTGCCTTAGGTAATTCACATATTTATTTCATAAACTACTTTTAACAAACCTGTGGGTATATTCTTCTTCCCTTCCTATTCTATCTATAATCATCTTTTGAGACATTGACATTTTCTCCTCTAGCTACCTCCTTAACATCTTAACCAACTACAACCATGTCTGCCCCTGCGTTCCCCCCCGGTGGTACTCTCCTCCAGACATTCAAGAAGTCGTTTGTCGATGTACCCATTGACGCAGACAACGACAATGCTATCTCTACTACCGAGTTCCTCGAAGCTGCCGAGTCCTTAACAAGCATGTTCGGTACGTCTATTATATTCCTAAAATTTAAGTGGTACTATTTACTCATTATCATCCCCTAATAGACGTCCTTGGATCCGTTGCCTTCTCGCCCGTTAAATCTGATATGTTGGGCAACGTTAAGGTAGGTTCAACACCTAATAGTTTACTTGAAAATAAGAGGCACTAACACCCAAAAAGAAAATCCGGGATCGTCAGCTTGCTGCTCCTGCTGAATCTGAGACCTTACAAGCTCTCTGCATCAACGAGCTAAAGACGAAAAAGCACGTCGCCACGGAAGGTCTCGTATGGCTAACACGGTATGATGATGTCCAGATTACCCCTACATAAGCTTCCTCACCTAACTGACTTCCCTACCAGAGGACTGGAATTCACTTGTATTGCACTAAGCCAGAACTTGGCTCAGGAATCCGAAGAGCTCTCCGCCTCTTTCCGAAACGCATACGGCTCGACCCTCAAACCCCACCACGGACTTCTCATTAAGCCCGTCTTCTCCGCTGCCATGAGCGCTTGCCCGTACCGTAAAGACTTCTACCCCAAGCTAGGGGAGGACCAGGACAAGGTTTCTACCGAGTTAAGAACCTACCTAGCTTCTCTCGAGAATATTGTGGGTATACTTAAGGGTTTCTTGAGCCGCAAGGAGGCCAAGTGGTGATCAACAAAGGATATGTGACGTGTCCTTCGAAGACTCGAATGCCATATTCCTCGACAGAGCTAGGAAATATAATCTATCTGTAATCTGTCTGGTTCTACAAGATGTGGCCTGGTTTCGGACATATTCAAGAGAACAAATGTCGAGTATTTGGCACCGCTAATAAACATGTGTTGCAATGATCTTGGCTCCCGTGGTTTTTCCATATATTTTAGCCGTTGCTTTTTGTTGACCTTTTTGCTATCCTCTTCGTTTAGTTCTACTGCCCCGTGAAGAACTTCCTAAAGCTTTAGGTCTAATAGTATATATTTAACTTTAGTCGATTCTAACCATAGAAGTTCATGTCTCTACATGAGGTATGCATGCCGACAGTTACCATGTCCATTCTATTTGAATACACAACCCTAGGGAGGTGCAAAACAAGAATTCGTCATAAATAGATGTCTATTAATTAGAAATGCAATCGACTGAAAAACAAATACCTATCTAACGACATATACCATCGCGACAAGGCTTTTCCCCGGACCATCCGTCCGTGTTAGTAGGCTCGGCTCGATGCATGATCAAGGTGCCCTCACTATTGCCCAATTGATAGGGGCCGACTGGCATGTAAAGTTGCCAGTAACGCCTACGTGGCCTCCGCGAGCAAATCTATTATTTCATGTAAGTCTATAGTTATAGCAGGCAGATGGCGTGAAAGTTAATAATAATACTGACCTGATGATAGCCGAGTCGAAATTGTCCACGACGTCTTTACTGCCAATGTCGACTCGTGCGCTTGATCCATCAAGGCGCTTCACCCCAAACGCGCAGGTTCCACACACTGCAAGAAGGTTGAGGTTGGTACCGCTGTAATCTCCCGTTTCGAAGAAGCCAGAATTCTCTTTCAACTCGTTCTCGATAGCCGAGCAGTCATCGCAAAGTGCCGAGTCCGCAGTCGTGGTCGGAACGAAATTAGTCTCGAAGCATATTTCAGTATGTGTGTACTCCGTGTCGTTGTGGAAGGTCTTATAGAAGCGCTTGTCGTTGGCGTGGCGGAACGAATCCCGAAGGTATACGTCAACTGTGCTGCCGTTGGGGTGCTGGACCTCACGTTTCATGAACGTTCCCTCAATATTTGGTAGTTGGACTGCTGCTACCAACCCTGAGACACTGAGTGCTGTCGCGATAAACGTGGGTAAATACATCTTGGCTCTGCTGTAGGGGTGGTGATATACTGTATCAAGACGATGCATATATTGGTATTCACGAATGAAATTAGTGTCTGTTAATTCTGCAAGAGTAAATTTCTCTGACTTTCCAAGCGGAATATGTCCGTCTTGGCCAGCTAGATTTATATATGAAGTCCAAAAATCTAAGCAAACATACATGAGACGCCGCGATATGTCAGAAGCCGCCACGGTGAAGGGTGTTGCCCATGGAAATCACCTGCCCGAATAGGATGCATCAGAGCTAATTTCCACATCAAAATTGTGTAGCAAAAGTCACATGGATCTAAATCTGCAACAATATTCACCACTTATCTAGGTCACACTGTCATACTGATCGTCTTGATTCACTTTCTCACGTGTCTAGGTTTAGGTGTCTTATACTATTTTCTGTGACATATCTCTGGTAAACTTCTATACTATTCACTCATATACCATTCACTACACAATTCTCCTGAAAACATCTCATAGGAACATGTTTCTTGACATTATACTAATTCGATTAACAGGACAATAATTACCTTAACTTCGTAACGTATACTAAGTAGGGGTTTAACACTACGCCATTCATTAAAATCATTCACTATTCAGCGCGCCATATAGGTAATTAAATACGTAAATTAGACTACACTTATATTGAAAGACTTGTCCTATGCATCTCATAGCGTATGAAAACACTGAAATACACTTCATGTTTAGCCCATCCATTATTAATTTCTTCGTTGAAAATTTACCAATCGGCTGTCAAAGGTTCATATACCTTTGATATAAACTACATGTATTCGATAAATAACACTTGGGTAGAAATACCCATTTCGATTATCAGTAAAAATGTGCTCGTGAATTGCGATTGTTTCCTTCCCATAGATATAGGTTTATATATTAGTGCCTGGTGATAATAGGCTGCTAAACATATGCTCTGAGCGTATAGAATAAGTATTCCTTTTTGAAGACTATGGTATACCGACACCGTTGCCCAAGAAACGAGGTTATGGACTGGCAAGAACAAGGGAAAACTATTATTACATATGTATTATATATTCTACGTATCATCAATAATGTCTAGTATAACATAGGGGTTTCTGAAGGTAGCAGGTATAAAAAGACATCTTAGATAGGAGTTCACAATTGCTTACTTATAGTCTTAGGAGAGATGGGAATGTATTACATTACCACTGCAGCCGTTACGTCCGTAATACTATTAGTAACGCAAGAGTAAGATATCAGTGTACGCACTAGACCGTTACATTCTATAGACATTCATGAGGCTATATGTCTACTTAGGTAAATATCAACATAGTATAGTACGACTTTGATTATAGAATTGTATGCTAACTCATCATTGGACACAATTTCATGCATATACTATTATACTAACCTACCTGATAACCAATGAAACAGGCCATATGGACATACCATATAGCATTACGCAATATTTTAGAACCTGCAACCGGGCGCGACATACCTTCTAGATCCTCGACTTAAATTACTTTTATGAGAACGGTCCACGGCGTGTGCCTTTTTCGGGTATGATTGTGTCTTCTTCCGGCGGTGGGTACCGTGCAGTTTTACGTTGCAATATAAACGCCAAGATCAAGGGTTGTTACCATAACGGTAGCAGCGTTACGCGTTCGACTTTATCCATGAAGACGGGGTTTACAAGTCAGAATCATAGACATATTCGGATTTGACTTCACTACTTTGCTGAAGACGTCATGAATTATTTCGGAACCATGCATTAGCAAGGCCAAGTTGAACATCGTAATTACTCTCAAGAGACAGCGTTACGCTGAGCATTGTCTCTAGTATATGTGCCCCGATGGGTAGGTATACTACTAAGATAAGTACCCATATATATAAAAACATGAGTATCACGTTTCTCAGCAGTTCAAATTCCAGATAGGAAGGTCGCAGAGCTCCTTTACCATCATGGTGTGAACCTGCCAAGGCGTCCCCGATGCTACACTGCCGATCTCACTCTGTAGATAGCTGATAGCAAGACAGACGACAGAATGGCTATTTAAGCTCTAGACCGAATACGAATAACTTTATTTTCAAATCTAGAATCCTACCGCCTGGCATACTAATACGGTGGTATATCCAGCTACCCCAAGTTCAGTCGTCAGGATACAGAGCTCTGCTTTTAGCCATGACAATAACCCATATTGTTATTGGCTAGCGGGTCCTTGTATACCGCGTCAGTATAGGATTCCAACGATCTGGGCGCGAAATTCGGGCATTCCTTGGCGTTGAACCCTGCTTGCGTCCTCGAGGGTTGCTTTTGGTTGCTTTTGGTTCTTTTTATTTAGTCCAGGCCGAATAATGACAACGCCAAGGACGAATTTACATCCTTAATACTGAAGATATCGTTCTTTCGTTCGTCCAGATTTTACTGCTGCAAGATGCGTCTCCTCAGGCTCGGGGCCGTGGTATGCTCGATCGTGTCTATCACAGCTGCTTCTCCAACATGCCCCATTGACGGACCTGCTTTTCCTAAGCCTCTCCAACCGTCTAAGAGCGAAGCGATTAAGGCCGCAGTGGCAACGCTGAAAGATGTGTTTGCTAACGTCACTGCGAAAGCCCAGAATTACTCTATATCAGTACAAGTCTTCTCGGCGAACGAGCCAGAACCTCTATTCTCACTGTCACATACAGCGCCGAACCTCGCACACCAGAAGAGTACAGGAGTTAAAAAGGTTGATGAGAACACTGTATTCAGACTTGGGAGCTTGACTAAGATTTATACGATCTACTCATTCCTGATCAACGCTGGTGACAAGCTCTGGAACGAGCCAATCACCAAATATGTACCAGAGCTTCAAGCTTTAGCAAATCGATCAGATCCAGTAAACTATGTGGCGTGGGATGAACTTACCCTTGGAGGTCTTGCATCACAATTGACGGGTATCCCCCGGGAATGTCAGTATCAATCCTAAACTTAGCAGGCTCTCACTGATACGTAGTAGATGCGTTACTTGGAGAATTGACACAGTCGAAGGAGACAAGAGACAATGTGATACAGTACGGATTTCCACCTTTGACTCAAGACGAAAAGCCTCCTGTAAGTCCCTCGAGAATATTAAGACCATTTGTATAGGTAATTTATTGACATTAGATTTTATAGTGCGGAGCGTATCCTACTTGCGACCGAGCGCGTGAGTTGCTAATAGCATAAAACATGAATTCATAGTACTAATGATTTTATATAGAGTTTTTCAACGGGATTAGTTTATTCTATCCATCTCTGGCCCCTTTTCAAACACCGGCGTACTCCAACGTTGCATTCCAGCTCCTGTAAGTATATGCTGAATGATATAATAGATACTTTGTTAACCTGAATGTATAGCGGATATGCCCTCGAAACTATAACAGGCAAGACCTTTCAGACGTTGATGGAAGAGAGTGTGATCAGGCCCCTAGGGTTAAACAACACATTTCTAAAGGCACCAGAAGACTCGCGTGGAATCATCCCTGGGGATCATTATACAACAGGCTGGGCTTTTGATATTGGTGAATCAGTGGCGTATGTCTTCTCGATGCTTACCATTCATATAGCTGAAGATACTAACGTGAAATAAAGTACCGGGAACATGTACGCCTCGGCTAAGGATGTATCTACACTGGGCCGGGCAATCCTCAGTCATAAGCTGCTCTCGCCTGTATCTACAAGGCGATGGCTTAAGCCCTTCGCTTTCTCATCCGACCCACTCGCCATGGTCGGAATGCCTTGGGGAGCCAGGAGAATCAAGCTAGAAGACACATATCGATATACTACGGCTTTCAACAAAGCCGGAAATATCGGAGACTACAGCGCTCTATTGGCCATTCTACCAGACTTCGACATAGGAATAACCATCCTTTTGGCTGGTGAGCTTCCGGGAAATGCGGGTTTTAGTCTTGCCGGTACGTATATTGGAATATTAACAGTTTTGATTCTTAGAGACGCTTACATATAAATAGACACCATCGGAGAGCAATTTCTCCCCGCGATAGAAGAGGCCGCCCGTGCTGAAGCAGGAGCCCAATACAGCGGACACTATGTTTATCCCAGCAACAAGATAAATTCGTCGATGACCATCACTACCGATAAACTCCCCGGATTAAGCATATCCCAATGGTTCAGCAACGGAACAGACTTTGCTTGGATCGCAACAGTGTTGCAAAACCAGTATTCGCCGGTCACGCCTCGTATCAGGCTTTACCCAAGCGGCCTCGAGGGACCGGCTGAAAATGGCGGGAAGCGTGTGGCCTTTAAAGCGATGTTTGAAGATGCGGACGCTCCTAGGAATAACAATAAGATGTTCTCAACCGAATGTGGGACGTGGGTGTCCATTGAGTCCGTCATATACGGGTCGGCAGCTATGGATGAGTTGATTTTCAATGTGGATTCTAGTGGGAAAGTTATTAGCGTCACGTCGCCGTCGTTGAGAGTTACTTTGAATAAGGAGTAGTTTTTTTTTCTCCAAATTTTATTGTAATATGAAGCTATTATTATATCATGCCTCTAGGTAGTTTTGAGGCTAGCCAAGTCTCAATAAAGCCGTGGCGAAATCTTTTGAAATTCACTTTGATAGCTCATTGGCTTCTTATGTATAGTAGTGTAAATACAGTATTAAATTGCCCGAGAGCTATTAAGTTCTTACTAAGACTACCTGGTATAGATTCATTGAATAATCTTACTCAGAGCTAGGTAACGATGATGTCAAATTGGGGAGCTAGGAGGCCCGCAATCCACCCTCTACTATATATATATAGGTATATATACCTCGCAAGTCATATTGGTCGTATGTTCTCGGACTGATGCGGACAATTCAACTTGTCCGAGCTTTACAATAAATTCACCTCTCGAGGCCGATGTAAGCAAGTTCGAAAATTATAAGTTAGGGCCAAAATTTATGTGTACCACTTTGTGTTATTCGATACCCATACCCCCGACTTGAGTCTTTGGGAAGCTTAAGTAGGTACTTGGTTGACCATCAAGAAAGCTTCATATTTTGGCCGAAGTAAATGATTTCATAATTATTAGCCCGTCCGAAATATTTATTATACTGAAATCGACTACATATTCCCGATATGCCTTTCCTATCAACACCCTTGACACTTGCAGCCACAGGCGGCATCTTAGGATCTGCATGGATATCAGGTATGTTGGTGTGAGAGATATAGGAATAACATAATAAGTAATGAGGTACTAATATGGTAATGCTTTACCTAGGTAATATCACTGCCCTGTCGATCTGTGCCGTACCAGCAGTCCTCCAAAGTGGGACCACGGCAGAGGGTCTTCTAAGGGGATGGCATCTACAGTTCACTAGAGGAATGTATTATCTACCGACGACCGGCGCGGCAATCGCGCTGAACTACTTTTACCTAGCTTCCCGACATAATGGGCGTGGGCTTGAATGGAGGGGGTATGCAGCCGGAGCGCTGTCGAATTTGTTACTCATCCCCTTCACGGTGATCTTCCTCGGCGGCATTAATGGCAAAATGATCGCGGCTAACTCAGGCACGGGAAAGCAGCTGAGCCAAGAGGCTGTCCGCCATCTGATTACTTTATGGGGAAAGTTGAATGCCGTTAGGCTCTTTATGCCGCTAGCTGGAGCTGCTCTGGGGTTGTGGAATCTCTTACAGTGATTATGGGAGCTTCCGATATGGCAGAAGGAAAAGACCAAAGCGAGAAGTAGGAAGCTATGATCACTCCGTACTTTATACCGTAGGATTAAATAAGTCACAATGGTGCTTGAAACTTGGGCTATATCATCTTATTCATAGCAATTGATTGCTTTTCTATATAACTTGCTGGTAGTGTGTTTGTGCATCCTGATCGACAATAGGCAATGTTCAATATTGAACGATATATATATATACTCCTAATTGAGTGAAAAAGGCTCACAAATCTACACTGAAACGTCAAGCCTCAGAGCTCTAGGCACAGCCTCGACCGAGACAGCACTGGCAGCAACCGCTTCCGTTGCATCGCTGAGCTCTACCTCAGTCTCTTCGCCTGCCGCTAACTCATGAGCAATTGGGTAGTTCCTGCGCCTTGTCCCAAAACCGAGCGGCTTCAAAAGTTGCGTAAGGCTACTCATCGCAGTAGGTCGGTGGAATGCCTCTTGGATATTCTCAAGTGAGCGACCGCGGGTCTCGGGCATGTAGAAGGCAAGCACGCCCACGGTAGCCATTGCGAGGCCGCCGAATAAGAAGTAGGCACCGAAGGCAGATGCTTCTAAGAGGATTGGCGTGCAGATAGCTACCAGGAAGTTTGTTCCGAAGCACAGGCCCATAGCAACGCAATTAGCTGCTGCTCGGGTGTGGCCTGGCTGGATCTCGCTGGCGTAGATCTTACCCACGATTCCCCAGGTAGCGCAGTATGTAAGACTGAAAACGAAGACAGCGATGATGACAAACCACCTGGCGACGCCGTAGGGGTGGACTACATCAGCCGCATAAAGACTGCCCATTAAAAACATGCACGTTGACAATGTGATACCGCCGCTGATAGCGGAAGTTCGACGCCCCCATTTGTCTGCTAGTAAGAAAGCTGGGATGGACACGACAAGCATGAGAATAGATGAAAGGCCCGAGGCGAGGAATGAAGCATTTTCTGATGATATGCCGGCTTGTTCGAAGAGGATGGGAGCATACTAAAGATGTTAGTACGCTACGTATAACGTGTAGGAATTTATCAAAAAGGAGAAGAATACTTACATAGAGCACGCCATCGATACCAGACAGCTGAACCATGCCAAGAATAAACAGGGCCAGAATTGTGCGGGCGCGATACCCCCTCTTGAACAAGAGCATAATACCCTGCCACGGCGTAAGACTGGGCGACTGCTCGGTAACCACGAGAAAATCTCGTTCGGCTTCAGCCATATTGAAGTCGAGCTTTTCCAAAGCCCGACGCGCATCAGCTTGCCTCCCCTGCAGCATGAGCCAGCGCGGGGAGTCAGGAAGCAGAAGACAGCTCCAAGCGAGAACGGCGGAAAAGGCGCACTGGAGGATATACGGCACACGCCAAGCCATGTCGGATTTTATATTAACAGTTCCGTAGCAAGTGAAGTAGCCAGCGCAGACACCAGCAGTGGCCATAAACTGCGGTAGCCCAGTTAGTGTACCGCGCCACCGCATAGGCGCGATCTCGCAGATGTACACGTTGATATTGCTAAGAAATATGCCCTGGCCGAACCCGGCAATCGCCCTGCCGGCAATGAACTGGGCCAAGCCGTGAGCCAAGCCTTGTACTAGAGCTCCGACGCCGAATAGGATCGCGCCTGGGATGATGATTGTGAGACGTCCGAACTTGTCAGCGAAGTGCCCGGCAAACAGGGACGGCAGGGTGCCCGTCAGCATGATGATCGAAACTGTGATACCCAGCATGCTAGCCGAGAGTTCGCCTACGGAATCCTTGAACTGCTGCATGTGCGTGATGGCACCAATAGACCCGGTATCGTAGCCATTGACCAGGCCGCCTAATGAGACAGCAAGGGCGGCTATCACGTACCGCGGTGCAAAATAGGGGTGAGTAGATGGCGACAAGGTCATGACCGCGGTCGTAGCTTGGGACACTTATTAACCTACTTTACAACACCGGAGGGTATAGAGGGGAAGAGGGGAGGAAGGGGGAAGGTCTGCTTCGAGTCCGACTGGCATTTATACCAGGTATACGATAATTCATACTTTCTACTTACTGCCTGGGTACTCACCTTCAAGCCCCAGACCATTCCCGTACAGGTTTGGGACGGTTGACTCCCCGCACATCACATGTGCTATTCCCTGTCTCTATTTAGACATGGTGCGGTGGATTAATAATGTAGTATATCCCTATCACGATCCCCGCGGCCCCGGTAGCTTGGGTATCCACCCTCCTTCGGAGGAGTGCCGGAGGTCCCCTGCATTCCCCTGTGCCTCTTTACATGTCGACCTAGGCCTAGAATCTGCGTTTATCGGCCGCTGTCCTATTCACGCATGGGGCAATGTTTGTTGGGCTGCGTTCCACCCTATTATACATACGGGTAGACACTTCCGGAGACTTTGATATATATGTATAATGCAGTTGGTGTTGATCTCATGGAGTGGTGTGGGTATTCTTGCAGACCGATTCTTATTCCGGTAAATGGAGGGCAAAATTTTTAAATTTTAAACCGGACCGTTGAAAGTTATCAATACGATGTGTCAATCTTCAGTCTTCCCGCATACTCGATTAGAAATACGGGAATACCGGCCGAGAGGTGAGAGTGGTTGGCTGCCTTCACCCTTCACCCATCTACCGATATAGGACAGTATAATTCCACCCATTAACACTCGCTCCATCGTCATTTACACATGCGATTGGTATCAAGCTTACATCAGATTTATACATAGCACGCTATCACAAACGTGCCCTACCCTCCAACCGACGTCTCTTCCTTTCCGCCTTGACAGCTTTCTTGAGTTTCGCTGCTTCTTCATTATTTAGTTTCGCCTCGGCTTGGCTTTGTGGATTAGTTGCCTCTTCGAATAACTTTGCGCCTAGCGTTTCTGCGAGTCGTAAGACTCGAGTGCTGACTGTGGCACCGTCTCTTCGGTTCTTGCCTTCGCGCCTGCTAGAGGCAATGCGTTCAATGAAGTTCCACAGTCTACCTGACGGCTGCAGGGCACCTGACTTGGCAGGATCGCGAGACGGCATCCATTCGGAGGCGAGGCGCAAACGAGGGGCGACCTTTGAGTCCTTTGATTTGACCACGTAGATGATACCTTCTTCTTCGAATCGTTGGTAAGAATTCTTCAATGTTTCTTTATTCACCGCCTCGAAATAGCTTAAGTCGCCTTGGTGATAGAGGGTTTTACCGAGCTATGATTATGATTATTAGTTTTTATATTTCGGCTCAATATAACAATCCGACGTCGGGGTTGCTTACCAACTGTGCTGTATTGTGTGCCTTGGCAACTTCAATCCAAACACCACTGTCTTGCTGCAAGAGGGGAGGTGTAAGTCCCATCAGCGAGACAGCGGCAAGCCATGTAGACTCAATGAACGGCCATATTAGGAAGCAATAGAAATCGTAGTTTTCTCTTCCAGCGACCCTCTCTTCATCTGCAAGCCCAATGCTTAAGATGTTACCCTGTTCGTCTCTCTTCAGGTTGAGAACACGGTCATCTTCTAATCCGACTAAAGTCTTTTCCAAGTTCACTGCTAATCCTTCGCCCGGGAAGATGAATTCCCCACGGAAAAGTGATGAAAGGAATAAAACCTGATCCCGTAAAGTATCATAAGGTATTTCCTGATGAGCTGGCCCTCCGCCTAATTTGACGCGCGTGTACATGCTGGCACTGATGAGCGCTTCTGAAATGAATAGGTGGATCGTCATGTTGCGGTCTATAATATATTAGTACTCCCCTCCGCAGTAGACAGTACAGCGACTCGCGCATAATAGTATTAATAGAAATTCTGGTATGAATTCTCTCAGGGAGTCTCCACTCCCTAAAATGGTCAAGGTAGAAAAGATACGGCTTGAGAGATAACTTACAAAAGGAGAGTTGAAATCTATCCACGGCGTAGTATGTTGGTTCTGCTAGACCCTGCACGACACCGACGAGATCTTTCCCTAGGACATCTAATCCTCGTTCTATAACGTCGGATAAGGGGGAGTTTCCGAAATGCGCAACGCGGCCTCCTTTTGCTCCTACTCGCGCGATGAGCCATTCAATCCGCCTCATAAGTTCTGACTTGCCTACACCACGGCCTCTAAGGGTAAGCAGTACGGTGCCGATCAACGCCGTAGGCATCACTACAGATACATCGTTGATATCCGATAGGACCTTGTACCCCATTGTTCGGAGTAGTTTTTGTTTGAGAGCGGCATTCTCGGGGGTCTTAACATCTAGCTTCAATGTTTCAGGAGATTTAGTGAGTTTGGTTAGCTGGTCGTCGATATATTTGCGTAGACTCCATGGTTCGTGAAAACGAACATCGACCCTCCCTAATTGCAATGATAAAACGGACGAGCCACCGCTTAGGAAATCAGCCAAATTCTCTTTTTTCTTGGGAACGCCGAGTAGTTCTGTTACATAGCCTTCCGTTTCAATGACCTTGTCATATTGGGTGCTAACTGGGCATATTATGGCGTCTTCAACCCGACCTGACAATAAACTATCAAGTACAAAGCTGAGAATGCCAAATTTAGGAGGGAGAAGTTTTCCTGTCCTGGAGCGTCCGCCTTCGATGAAACACTCGAAATTATATCCCCCCTGAAGTAAGGTATCTATATAGGCTTGTACAAGAGTGGTGTATAAAGTGTCGTTGCCGAAGGACCGCCGAATCCACATCGCGCCTTGGATAATAAGTATTTGGATATGTTAACACGAAGTAGTACTGCATATGCACTCACCTGCATGCTGTAAAAAGCTACCAACGACTGGCATATTCAAATTGTCACCCGCAACAACAACGGGCAGTTCCAACCCCAATCGGTAGCAGATTAGTTGCATAGAAACATAATCGACGTGGGATCGATGGGAAGGTAGAAAGATGATGCTCTGTTTCTTCTTCTCCGCTATCTCGGCCACCTTTCTCAACCGTAGAACTTCTTCGCTGGAAACATGTATTCCTGCTCATCTAGTTAACACGACACATGCATACATCCAAAAGCTCAAGATCGTTAAAATACACACCTTGATGGTACGCTCGCGTGAGCAGTTGGGTAACCAGGTAATATGCGCCTCTAATAAATGTCTTGCTCTCAAACTTGCAAATCATGTCATTGGTCATCTTTTCCGCAACCTCTTGAATGCTCGACTCTATGGTGGCTCGCCTTTGAGCCTTTTTGGTAACGAAATCTTTATCATCCTTATTAAGCCAACCTTCCCTTTCCTCGAGCTCCAATCTCTTGTCGGCCAGTTGAGATATGCGGTTCTGCAGGAGCGGCGCAGATACAACGGCGTTCTTCATCTTCTCGGAGAAGCCAGAATAGAATATAGGTTGTCCGATGAAATTGTCGTAAGCTCGCCATCCCGTGCCGGAGACGTATAGGGACACTTCGCGCAGGAATCTAGACAAGTAAAAGACCGGTAATTAGAGCTTCTGTATTGCATCACAATGAGAGAATAGGTCCAAGTAGCATACTGTAGAGGTTCGGATCGAAAACGAGCCATGTTGTGCATTAAGGGCTCCTGGTCATCATGACGACGAGCTTCAACATAACTCCTCGGTTGAAGGGTGATCTGATCGCCTAGTATCTGAAGATCGGGCGCCGAGTCGCGCGGATCATCGCCTTGGGCCATACTGTTATAATTATTGTGATGCGACTACAATATCGAAAGAATGGGTGGTTTTCGCATTCGTTACGGCCGAGGGTATCTCAGCAATGTAGAAGTATAGAGCATTACATGCTACGAGCATGGTCGACCGGACACGTATCTAACTACTATAGACAAGAACCAATGGCGATTCTTGAATATTCTGATCCATAGGCTTCAATCGGGTATTATTTTCAAACAACTTCTTTTTAGAATAATAGAAGGGAATAAGATTCGCAATAGAAGATGTAGCTGGAAGAGGTAAGCAATGTACTTTAAGCCGACTACAACGAGGAAGGCATGTAACACGGCATGTAACGCGCTGGAACTAGGAGCTAGGAGCCGGCTAATACCGAGGCTTTTACGGCGGACCATTATGACATTAGTGCCAAAATCAAGAAAATAGGTCAGGGCTGTCCAAAAAAGGCTAGTATGAAAGGTGCACAGTATACTATGCGGGGTATATACAAGTTTTCTCATTACTTACCTATTTATATTAATAACTTTTTAAGTATCCTTTCTAAAAATTTGAAAAAAGTATTGTTATTTCAATTGAAGTATGAAAAAAATTATTAAATTAGTTGGGTAATTGTTTAAATTTATTTCGTAAAGATAATATGTCATATATGTATGATATATATACGGGATTCCACAGTGGTCATAAAGGGTATCACGTGCTAGCCTCTCTGTATATCTGTATAAGACTTATTTGATACTGACATAATACGCCAGCCAAAGGCTATATATAAATGCAACTTGCATTGTTATTTTCGCATCAAATAGGGCTATAATATGATACTAATTATGATATTTAAAATAATATATTGGTAAAGTTATTTGAATAGTTACGTGTAAGTGTTATTATTGAATTCCTGTATTTAGTATATATGAGGCTAAGGTAAAGGCGATATCTGATTGGCTAATCTTTTAGAATAGGAAAGACTATGTGTATATAGCTGTCTTAATATCTTTACGAATTTTGGGTCAAATCGCATGCAACCTNAACAGTAATTTTTGTCCTTTTTCAATCAAAATATTGATAGTTTTCGAAAAATATTCGGATAGATATTCGTAAAGTTATTATGGTATAAGGTTAAAAGGGGTGTTAATTGTGTATACAGCGCATATTAATTGAGCTTATACTGTATTTTTGCCTTACTATTACCTTATTAGACATAGTGCCACCTATTTTCTTGATTTTGGCACTAATGTCATAATGGTCCACCGTAGCTTTAGAGCATGTGAATCGCCTGCAGCCCTGACGCCACTCAGCTAATGCAAGTAAGCAATCCATCCGGTAGAGCTTTATCGATAGGCGACATCTTTCAATCCAATTAACATTTCAACTTTTGTCGTACCTTTAACCATAAATATACCCAATCGCAAACATTGGAATATCCTACAATTTCACCAACGCCGGATTGAGATACGATGCGGACAGCGACAATATGGCGTCAAACAATAACAATAACAACCAATCCTTGACCCACGAACTTCTCTCGCGGGCTCATAGTCCCGACAGCGTAAACCGCATTTACTCCGATAAGATCCAACACAGGCCTCTTTTCCTTAAGCCCACCTCCCCACCACCGTCTAACGCCCGCGACGCTCGACGCAGGTCCCGAGTCGAGAAGCAGAAACGCTTGAAAGCCTTAAAGCCGAAACCCCTATCAGCACGACAGCGACGGAAGCTTGGTCTCTACGACGTTCCCAAATCTGGCCAAAAATATGCCGTATTCGAGCCGCTGAACCAGCTATGGCTAGGCTACATCCGCGAAGTGCTCGGTAGCGAGCTATACACCGGGGGGCAGGGCGCTGCCGCCAAACTAAGTGCTGCCGACTTCCATGGTGCTAAGGTAGAAGTGTCGCGTAGTGGTTGTCCTAGTCGCGTTGGCATACAAGGGATTATAATCAAAGATGCTCGCTTCGTCTTTGAAATTATTACCGCGAAGGATCAGATAAAAATTGTACCAAAGGAGGGAACCATGTTTCGCATCAGCGTGCCCCCAGCGCAGCAGGAGAATACTATAGCATCGGCCGAAGACCAGAAACCCTTTACCTTCGAGATTCATGGGGATCAGTTTCAGTACCGGTCGGCTGATCGCGCGAACAAGAAGTTCAAGCCGCATTTCCTGAAAAGGCTTTAAGAGGATTTACTTTTGGCAATTTTTCATACTCCATACCTAACGATATTTGAATGCGGCACTGATACCTGCGTTGGCGTATCTAATATCAGATTTGGTAAACTTCTGAAGCTATTGGTTAAAAACCAATATTAATTGAATTTCAAGCAGTCGTATTGTGCACCCTCGTAAGCTAGGCTTTTAAACGCACAAAACCGTACGATAAGATCTTCAGGTTATTTTGTGCGCCTACGCTACTACTACTACTACGAATATCCAATTATATGCTACGTCCAAGTGATTTTCGAAATAGGCATAAAGATGTCCCTGAGCAAAGGCGCATCAAAGAGACGGTAATATGCAAAGGTATATACCGACTTCTTGAAGCGCCATCCGGCTAACAACCCCTTACATCAACCGCTGCCGAGCGTCCTTGGGCAGAAAGATCATATCTTTGTTAAACGACGGATTACTTTATCACTCATAAGGAAGCAACAGCCGTAAAACTGATATAGGATGCTTAGGGGTATTTAACCAACAACGTTTGAGTATGTCCTTAGCTCTAGAATCATGAAGCAAGGAAGGTCGAGAGTCTACTTGCCAAGAGTAAAGCGGCAACTGGGTAGACAGACGATAAATACCGGTCTCACGTTCCGCGTGTATATTGATATAGTATGAAAAATTACTCAATGAAGAGATCTACGTTTGGTTGATAGCTACTATCTCAAACTATACCAAACAATTATCACGGCTCTAAAAGTCCTAGCCGAACTGGGACTTATACATCCAGCATTCCATTGTGAGTTAGAAATAAGTCTACTTTTTTCATTGGATTCCCGTTCAATTCCGATGTACTACAAGCCCATGTCCATTAGGTTCAACATATGGCTCTGAGCTATGTTAAGTACGAAACATTTTTTTATAAACTCAGTCAGGATTCCTTAAGAATTAGTAGTCCACTTCGCTAAGTAGCTAAACTATAAATAAACATAAATCCACTACATATTTCAAAGAGAATCCGGTATTGAGATCGAGATAGATCAGCCCTTGACCCAACAATTTCCCTACGCGGGAACAGCAGCCGGCAACCCAGCTTCCTCGAGTAGGATCTGCGCAGCCCTAAACACCTTCTCATCGTCAAACCTATAGGCGCATACATTAGTCTAACCATCAATAAACAAAAAGGGAAATTCCTAGTCCACTTACCTCCGTCCAACAAGCTGCAGCGAAATCGGCGCATCTTTATACCCCTCCGCGCCATGTTCCTTCCATAGCCCATACACATACCTATCCATCTCGCCCAATGGTTCATAATCCTCCGGGTACTCGTACTCCCCCTCGCGCGCAGCATCTCCCACAGCATCAGTCGTGGGAAACACGATGGCCGGGTAATCCAGCAGGTTCCACTGGGCGGTATATCCCCAGTAGCGGCCGGTACCGTGCTTGGTTGCTACGCTAGGGCCTGCGGGTGACAGGATCACATCGACTGGATCTGCGTTCCAGAGGTTTGCGTACGCAGTGCGGTAGGCATCGCGCTTGGTCACAGCGTCCCAGAGCGTGGGGATCGTGTGGGAAGTTACGTGTGGGTTCTCGTGGAGGATGAATTTAGCCAGGGGGCGCCAGGGCTCGCCGGAGGAGTCAACGGCTTTTTTCACGTCGGCGCCGCCGTCGGCATAGTAGATTTTTGCCTGTTTTGGTATGTTAAGGATAGCTAACACGAGATATACTGCTTTGTTATTAGGGAAAAGATAAAACGCACGATGATAGACCATGCCAAATCATGTTTCCACGGCTTCCACTCCACAACCTCGATATCTGGGCTCTTCTGCAGTTTCCCCACAAACTCATTCAGCGCTCTGAGTACAGGCGGATGTGGTCTTACAATGCCATCGTTATAAATAACGCCCACCCTAAGTTTCCGGTCTGGATAATACTGCGCCGAGTCTCTCCAGTCCAAGCCGACCAAGCTTGGTTGCTTCAGCCAAGGCTTCTGGTCGATAATGGATTTGGTGAAAACACGGAGACCCTCGAGGCTAGTTGAAATTGGTCCAGTAGCTGCAAGGATGGACTCAGCACCCGCCATGGCGGCGGACCAGCCGTCGGTTGGTAATCGCAGGGTCGTGGGCTTGAAGCCAAAGAGCCCGTTGCTAGCAGCAGGAACGCGAATAGACCCGCCGATGTCCGTTCCGATTCCAAGGATCGAGCCTCGGAGCCCGATTAGCGCACCTTCTCCGCCGGATGAGCCGCCAGGACTCAAGGTTCTGTTGTAAGGATTCACGGTGATTCTAGACAATTGGTAGCGAATTAGATATCATCTTTACAAGCACTCATTATGATAGTATTAGTGTAACTGTGTCTTACCCGTATAGATTGCTGTCTGTCTCAATCTGCATCAAAGTCTGCGGCTCAGTCGTTCTCGCAAAGATCACCGCACCAGCGCTCTCCAGACACTGGACTATCAGCGCGTCCTCCTCGGCAACTCGGCCGACCCAGCCCACGAACCCGGCATTCAGGTCTTCGTCCTTAATTGCGATATGCTCCTTAACACTGATAGGAACGCCATGGAGAGGGCCAATAGGCTTCTTGTTAGCAGCTAGGTATTGGTCTAACTCAGCAGCTTTGGACAAAGCTCGCTTGGGCAATAATTCCGTAATGCTATTAGTAAGTTTCTGTGCTAGGCCGGCGCGTCTCAGGAAAGCATTGGCTACTACCGTCGAGCTCCATTCGCCTGAGGTTATCTTCTTGACGAGATTCTCGACATCGGTGTTAGTGATTTCGATTTCCTGCTCCGTGAGAAGTTTCTTCGGGATTCCTGTAGTATTAAGAAGGATATCTTCCTGGCGCACTTCCGGTACTGGCGGACTGACTTCTGCGATTGTCGCGTCCCTATGTTGTTGGCGATCGGCTGCTACGTCTTGCCATGTTGCTCCGTTAGCAATTGTGACCGTGGCTGGAGCCATATTAAGGATGCGTTTTGATAATGAATTATTTCGCTATTCAAGTCTAAGATATACTGGATTTGTAGGTGCTTCTAACCATGAAATACTGTGCTCCCAACTCAAATTCTATCTCGGGATACCAGAGAATATATAATAGTCTCCTACTTTGCGATAAGCCATGCGGGTGATAGATGATCCAATAGGTTTATCAGCGTGTGTGGTTACTTTACGTCTTAGCTGCGGAGATGTTCCATGAGATAGCGATACGACACAACTAAGTGTACGATAAGTCAACCCCATGTAAAAGGCCGGGTCCGCACGGCATAGCCGTTTAACAACTTTCGTAGCTATAAGTCGGATCACGGGACCTTGATCACTTACATAAAGCCCGGTGAAGATAAACATGTTCCACCACTTCATCTCATGTAACTAGACGTAACATCAATGTTCATGTATGGTACCTATAGTGGGGTTAGATTTAGTGTAGTTATTAACATATATTTATGTTAGAGCCTCTCATTGGTCATCTCAAGTATGTTTATTATATGACCGGGCGCTGTGCTCCTTACCGGTACGTGAGAAGCATGCTTCGCCGTAAACTAGATGAGATAGTCGAAGGGTGAAATATAAACCCGCTTATTAATGACAGATAGAAAATATGCGGTTGGACATGAATTTATCACGAGATTTGTTGCTCCCCTGAATTTATGTGTCAATGACAAGGAATATGAAATCTAGAATGGTGATGTTAGTTTGATGGAAGAAAATAGAGCCTCACTAGTGTACTTTGGAGTAATCCGCCAAAAGACAAAAGGAAATAGAAAGATAACTAAGCACAGGATGCGGGAAATACTTTGCCCTTGAAATTATTAACAACTTTAGAATCTAAAATCAATCTTACACGTTTAGATCTAGAAGTAGGGTTTGTATTAATATTATGGCGGTGTGTGACACCAGGATTTGTATTATTGGCTCGCGCCGTTCTGGGAGAAGTTCATGCTGTAACCGCCGGTCTTCTCATCTTTTACCATATTGAAATTGTCCGTGCTGAGACCAAAGGGCTTCAATATTCCGTTTCCAAGCTATACGTATGTGATTAGCAACTAAACCCAATATAAGACACGCTTTTATTCGACGGTCGTTACTCACATCCTTCAATTTTCCCCACATCTCTGACATCTCCTTCTCCTGGGCGGCCTTCGTTCTTGAAGGAAGCATTATTAATTGCGTTTGAACAATCTTCCTGTCCGCAGCACTGAGGTTTGTCATGGTCGATAGTGTCTTGTAGTCTTCTTCAGCACTGGAGAGGTTTGACCACCCCCCAAGTTCACTTCTCGCCCTAGCTCGTCTCATCAAAGCTTTCGCTCTAATCCTAAGGATGTCATTGTGCTTTTTCTGCCTCTCAATCTCGGCGGCGGTTTCTTTCTTCGCGGCGGGAGCGCTTTTTTGGGCCCCCGAGCTGACGATCTCCTCTTCAACTTCATCTTCTTCGGCATTTGCTTGTTTTTGCTTTTCTTCGATCTCCTTCTGGCTAGCTTCTTTTTTTTCTAGGCGATCCAAGCCGTTAATGGAGTCGGTGGCTGCCTTGATAGCTTCCTTCCATTGTTCTAGTTTCAGATGGCATGCAGCAATGTTGGATTTTAAAACGGCAAGCTCGTAGTCTAAGTAGTGTGGACAAACTGAAGCCGCTTCTTCGTATTTCGTAATAGCATTCTCGTACTTGGCTGAGGCAAACAGCGCGTTCGCTTCCGACTTTTTATCGTTGGATTCCCCTAAAAGGCTCTATAGAATGGGATAGATATAAGATAATCAGACTAAAGTGCCGGAAAATATATGTTTTATGTATAGATAAAAAATACACGTACAGCTTCTTCCTCGGGCGGAAACCTTTCGGGAGCTGTCAACTCATCCTCAGCGTCTTGATTTGTATTATCTATTGTGGTTTTATCAGGTTCCTTTCCCGCCGTCTCTGGTGAGCCGGCCATAATTTTGTGATGAAAGACTTGAGAGTTGAAGACCAGAAGGTAGATTCCGTACGTATAATGAAGAGTCGATCACAAGATCTTAACTCGCACTTGAACTTTGGTAGAAAGTAGCTGATTTTAGTAGATGTATGACATAAGAAATAAGTTCGTAGCTACATGTAGGTAATACATATGCACCCATCAAGGTTACTCCGCTTATTATGCAAATACATGTACGTATAAGAACCTTATGTTACCCCTGAAGAAACCTACGGCTCCGGGCGGTGCCTCTCAGCCCTGTTTTGCGCGGTCGGAGAGTTACCCCGCAGACTGCCCCGCCATAAACTCAATTAGAAGAGTTGAATAGGTACCTCCTATCTAAAATGTTCTAGGCGGGGTTAGGTACAATATTCGCATATAGTCGGGATTTAGACCATTGAGATCAAACTTTACATTTAAAGTCAAGAATCTCCATAAGAGATTCGGGTACTACACGTTAAAAGGATCACATATAATAACATTGGCTTAATATTCATAATCGAACTCGATGGCGCCTCGCATAGAGCAAGTCAACCCCTATTCGCAAATAGTTACGACAGTAAAGACTAACAGCTATCCTCTAAAGCTTCCCGCCCATAAGAGCTTGCCTCTTCGACATGGACGGTCTGCTTCTTGATACAGAAGATCTCTATACGCTCTGCATAAACCTCATCCTCGAAAAGTACGGCAAAAGTACGCTACCCTGGTCTATCAAGGCTAGATTGCAAGGCCGACCGGGTCCTGAAGCAAATGCCCTCTTTCACGAATGGGCCCAGCTGCCCGTCGAAGAGTCCGACTACCTCGCTCAGCTTACTTCTTTACAGCAGCAACACTTCCCAACCGCAAAGCCTTTACCAGGTGTAGAAAAGCTGCTTGGGGACCTAGGGAGAACACGTTGGTGGGATATAAAGGACCAAGAAGGTGTCAGAAATGGGAGTAAAGGAGAGAGCGGTGGAAAAAAGCAGCAAAGAGTCCACATTGCATTGGCGACTAGCAGCACTACGTCTAATTTCACCGTCAAAACTTCCAAGTGGACCGAATTATTTTCCGTATTCGAATCCCATCGAAGGGTGCTAGGCGACGACAAACGCATTCAGCCCGGCCGCGGAAAACCCCTCCCGGATATCTACCTCCTTGCACTAAAAACTATCAACGATAGTCTCGAGGATGGAGAAAAACCAATTACACCTGAAGAATGTCTCGTTTTTGAAGACAGCGTCCCAGGAGTTGAGGCCGGAAGACGAGCGGGTATGAGGGTAGTATGGTGCCCTCATCCAATGCTGAAGAAGGAATACGCAGGCCGAGAACCAGAGATCCTAGCTGGACGTATGGGTGAGGCAGGCGATGTTGATGTGCACCAATTAGGAGAAATTGGTGACGGATGGGCCGACTACTATAGCGACCTAACCAACTTTCCATATGACAAATATGGAATAGTAGTCCCACCTGCTGAGGCAGAACTGGATACGGCTATGAAAGAGGATACCAAGGACGAACTGGTTGCCCAGGACGCCAAAACTGCGACAGAATAAGCATTAGAAGGCGGACGTATAAACTATAAAATACGTATTAAGATCAACGATCTAATACACTATAACGATAGGAACGAATATACCGTCATCGTTGAACCTAAGTTATTGCTTAGTCCACACAGCAATAACTAACTACGAAATTACTTACTTACGTTATAGTGCGGATATGAAAAACAAATAGTCGCTTTCAACGTCGTAAATATCTGTTAGAGAGTAGATTTGACTCTCAATAAATATCCCATAAACTAATCTTCCCGTCCTTGCTACCAGCTGCCAACCAATGGGCCTCTTTCGCCATCTTAATCCGTCGATCCTTGACGCTGAGTTGGCCCAGCTTAGACGCGACCATCCTGGTAAGCTTTTGGCTATCTGAAGTACTAGGAGCAACCACTTCAGCTTGGGATCCTTTACTAAATTCAACATTGCTAACGTCTCGCTTCGGGGAGCCTGATTTTTGACCGTTATCCAACGTTGCAAAAGCAACTGCGTAACAACCAACGTCGTGCCACTTCAGCACTGCCAATTCAGACATGGTCTTGGCCGAATAGACACGGACTTTTGAATCCCATCCTGCGGTCGCAAAAATCTTGCCGTCAGATCGGATGCGCAAGCTTTGCTGTCCCGAGTGTTTAGTATTGATAGTCTTCAGGGGCTTATTTTCAATAGCCAGCTTCTCCTGTCTCGGGGGTATTTCGGGCTTCGGCTCTGACGAAAGTGCAGCTGATAGTAGCGATGAACCCGAGGCTTCGGCATTCTTATCAGCTGTCTTCTCCGGATGTTGTGATTCCCGGATAGGGAAAGTTGCGGTAGGAACCGGGTGCTTTGCGATAATAGCATCGGCACTAGAAGTCAAGAAATAACCTTTGAGGGGATCTAAATCAAGTGAGAGCACCGGTTGACTATGCACCTGTGCTCTGTATAATATGTCCCACGTTCCACCTTTTCCAAGTCGCGCGACTACTGCAAGGCCGGATTCATAGGCAACGACGAGAGTTAGATACCCTTGATGCCAAAATAGGCATAGACACATAACCATGCCTTTCTTCTCCGTATTACCCCCTATATTAACGGTATGCAACCGATTCTGACTTGGAAGTTGGAAAATATCAACCTACACTAAATGGTGAGCAGAAACACTAGAAAATATTCTAGAAAGGGTAGGGGAACAAATGATAGTAGACTTACAGCTTCAGTCTCAAGCGTATTAGGCACAGCAATGAAGAGCTCGTCGTGGGTGAGATTTGGTGCTGTAGGGCAAGACGTAAAAGAACAAAAGTTCATAGTATTCACATGGAGTATATGCAGTATCCACGGTTGTGGTCTCTCAGGTACGGATTCGTCGAGCGGCAGAGCGGTGCTCATGGTAGTCTCATCTTGGAGCCCAAGTTTCCATATTGCCAAGCGGTTGTCTCTGCCATGTCTGAGAGATGCTTCTCAGCCACGTGGCAGCTCATTGCGAAATCAGGTTTATATAGGAGATAGATATAGGAGAAGTATATGCTGTGACATGAGACTAGACCTACGTGATTATCTTGTCGTCTCCCCAGTCGGATATGCCGAGGATGGCGTTTGTGTGAGCGCGCCAGACAGCCCGGGGACGCATGATGGTAAGATCCCAGAGTACCACGAATCCATCCGCATCTCCAGATGCTAGTCTTTGGTTGCTCCTAACGAAGGTAGTGACATGCACTTGAGTACGATGTCCTCGAAGGACTGACTTAGGCTGTGCAGGCTGATGCTGAGACATGATTTTAAGATATGCTGGTCCTCGATATGTTTGATATGGGAGGCCTATTTCCTTTATTCACCACCACCCAATGCGACGAATAGGAGGCTGCCTGGAGAACTATTTTAGTCATGGTCGACAATTCAGCATACCATCACGACTTAGGTGTAAACAATAGATATTCTTCAGTACAAGAATGAGGATGTGTATATACCTAGTTAGTAGTTGTATGAAGTAAGTAAATTCGAGCTATTAATAGGTAAATATTGTAACTTTGCCAACCGAGCCGCATATTAGCAAAAAAAAAAAAGGTATTCGTTAAAACTTGCCATGCTTCAGCAGCATCGGGCGCTGTATAGGTAATGTCAGTACCTTATCGAAGATAGTAAACCTTAGTTTATGGGGCTGTGGGGTAGATATGGTATAACTCAATATAGCTTGGGTAGTAATGCTTATGTACATGTAGTATTGTGTACCTGACGCTAAACCGCGTGTAAGTTCAGAACATTAGGGAAACTTATCATCCTTTTTACCCAAGCAACTTACAACCTCTACTTCCCGATAAATTCATCCAATCTTCACGCGGCTATCTGCCGTAGATATAAAGAATGTAGTAGAGCGTAGCATTCACTTTACTACTATTACTATACCTTTCATCTGGTGCAACTACTTATTAGTCTACAGCAAATGAACGTTACTGTTTACAGACTGTCGAGCAGTCGCGTAAGTTCAATGTCTCTCGTAAAACTCCCTCAATATAAGCTAGGTACTGCGAGAGGCATTATAATACGAGTTACGACTAGTTCGGTCAGCTGTTTCTCCGCTCAATGGACTACACATTTCTCCGGTAAGCCCGCAAATTATCATCGTTCCTAGAAGAATACGACGATGTAGCTCGTGACACAGAAATGCCCAATGACAGCATGATAGATGCAAGCAGTTACCCGCAGCGCGCATATGGCAGAGCACTTGTCAAGGCACTTGCCAATATCCAGGTATTTCCAGGTATTTCTCTCCTTGCCTGCATACCGGAGAGACGCGTTAGACGTATCTTCACCTTCTCACAAGATCATATGATATTGCCTACGTTGCATTACGCCCTGCAGGCTGGCCGCTGGAAGTCCAAGTCGGCTCTTTTCTCGGATTTGCTTAAACAAGGACATTTGGTGGCTTGCAATTAGCGAGTCAGCTACGGACTCATACCGTACCATCACCGTGTCACGCACATAAATCACTAAATATAAGGCTCATGACATAGCTCTGGCTTGCTATTAACGCTACAGGGCTGGTGAGGGGGTACTCGATCAGCGTTGCCTTATTACGGTATTATTTACACAGGGCGGATGGCAGGGGGGTTCGTTTCGCTGCCGAGACTCGCCCAGATTCGATCACACTGTTAGTTGAAACGGAAAACTATCCCAATCAAACATCAGCGAAACAACTGTGGGTACGGGCTATAGGTGCCTCTACACTCACAGCCACCTTTACAATCTCATATTTTACTTCTACGTACCGACATAATATCCAGGTCAAGTAGACTTTTAGCCTGTCGTGCTGCCTTTAGCAAGTTATATAAGCATGTTAGCCATATTTTTAATGGTTAACTTAAAGATTCATATGTTTAGAGCATACCTATAAATCCATAACCGGTATGATATCAGTATTTAGCCCCCTGTTTGAAAGCTTGGCAGGGTCCGGTACATTGGCACCCAGTCATCCCACGTCTACGTACGCTTTGCAACTTTTGCCTATGTGTTGCAGCTTACCATGTATCCAAACGGATATTCCCTGTTCAGACGATATCTAAAAAGATATCCGCTGGAGCTCCCCGGAATCTCGGTACGTCCAATTTCCTCCTGGAAGCAACTGAAGCCGAAGCACTTCTCTAACAAAAGATACTTGTTACGGAGTGCGGGATGCTACCATATCTAGGGCGGTGGGGTCCTGCTCAGCACCCAAAAAGGGCATGAGTCGTGGGAGGCCAGCCCTGACCAACATGGTTGGTTAACTAAACCCCCCAGTCCGATCTACGTCTAGCTACGGCGGCCACTAACGATGTGAAAGGCAAGAAATACGACCAGGGGGGTGTTTGGCATTAAAGAGAATCTCACACCAAAGCTACCCCTGTATGCTCAATTGGTAGTCGACCACCGATCAGCCCCAAAGCCTTTTTGCACGAGACCGAATTCCCGGTCCCTGTTGATTCTAGAAAATATAGCAGAGCCCTCGCAGCCACTACTAGCAGGCTGCGGACTGTAAACCGGCCAAAATACAAGTGGTAGATGGTCACGCTCTAATATCAAGCCGCTGTCTAATTTAAGTTGTCTCGTCTTCTCTCTTCCGGTAACTACGCTAAGAATAGCCCATATTGAGAGCTAGGCTCTGATTGTTTATTCAAAGGTCATTGTCGTCATCCTACTAAGTACCTAGACCCAGGTACCCATCTATACCAGCACTCAAGCCAGAAACCATCTTGAACGGAGGCTGTGCTCCTTTTTGTCATTGCGTTTCCCCCTCCTAGATCTGTCACACTGTTACGTGTAAGTACCTAGAGAACAAGCAACAGCTTTGTATCAGCCTATCTTTCCTTAGGTACCTCACTTACTCGTTTCAACTTACAAACCATCGTCCCGTAATTGGATCTTAACTCCGTCTATATGGATATGTTTTCTCTTGGGCCTCTTTAACTCTACCTCACCTCCCTCTAGATATTAATCTAACCTAACTCTAGACTTCTCGGTAAAAGAGAAGAATAGAGATAAGAATACGGGAAAGATCCGAGATCCTGGTCCCAATCATAACTTAGCACCACGCACCATTCTACAACGGTGCACCACAGATTCGCCTAACCGGAAGCTTCCAATCAGCTGGTCTTGTCTCGATCAGAATCCGAGACACCTGGTGCATCTCCTAAGATCCTGTACCTGAGCCCGTCCATGAGATAGACGGCTACCCGCATGCAGCGCGCCATACCGAGCCTTCTCACCTGGTTCAGACGAATATCTTTACTTTCCCCACCATTGAGTCCCAGCTTCAAAAAATATTTGCTCAACAGCCTTTCAACCAGGTAGCTTTTTGTCTACGGAATTACCGGAAACAACAACGTGAAAACTGGCTTGATAGCCGCGAAAATAGCATTCAACTACTTGCTTCGCTGTCGTTCAAAAGTTCACCGCAAGCCGGAGAACCTCGTTTTAATCTTAGTATTTCCATTCACTCGACCCCCGTTCAGACAGCCTCGTGTATTCGAGGGCTTCGTCCACCGTAGTCCTGGCGGCATACGACGTCGCTTCGTTGAATACCCTCGTAGTGGGCTACCCAGCCGGCGCAGAAGCGCCATTGATGCACCACTATGCCGAGCAGTTCTCGCCGCCGTGTACCGTTAGTGGCGGCTTTTCAAGCGACCAGTTTTATCTCCCCCCTTCGAAGCGCCGAAGGCTCTCCATTCTTGATCCACCCAGCTCGAAGAATATATCAGATAAACCCGGCAAGGTTTCCAATATGACATCTTCCGATGTGATACCTGCCAAGAGCAGGAGGGTGAGGACGGGCTGCCTAACATGTAGAGAAAGACACCTAAAGTGTGACGAAGGTACGCCAGATTGCCTAAATTGCCGGAAAAGCAATAGGGAGTGTAAACGAGGCGTGCGGCTCAACTTCATTGATATGACTTGCAAAGAACCACCTTATATCCCTACAACAGAAGAATGGGCAGGTATGTTCACGTTTCATTATGGGGGTTCTGGAGGGGTTTCGTAGAAGGCTAATACCGAGTATAGTTCATTTTCAAGACGAGTCGCGCCTTATTGCTTCGGAATATAAAGGAGGATTAGGAAGATATGCCAATCTTGACAGTCGACCCCCCTCCCCTCCGCGAGAATCTAACTTTAAACCAACATCTCAACTTCAGCCAGGCGCAGTTGAAAGCCTAGATCCTCAAGTTAAGGTAGAGAGTAGATCTACGACTGTAGTGTCTCCGCCGCATAACTATTATAGTGATCGCAGCCAGACACATCTGGATCTTGTAACTAGCAACCATTTGCGTTCGCGGAAGAGCAGTGATGCTTCTTTCATGGCACCTCCAGGCCACGGGCGCTCAGCCGGGTATAGCAGCATAATTTCCGATCCTTTCAGCTCTTCCAAAATTGAAAGCAACCGCTCTGCATCACACAACGGGTACCGAAGCGATGACGTCTCGACAGCAGCCTCAGTGGCAGGATTCACTGGCGTTGGGCCACCGTCGACCTTTAGAGGAGGCTCGGGAGACAGCAATGTAGAACCGGATGCTGATGTAGGCATTATGACTCCCTCAAGCGAAAAGTCGGGGGAACGAGAGTATCTCAACTCGCCCGAAGAGTTGCGGTTTATGCAGGTATTCGTCTCTGAAGTGGGTATTTGGATGGATAGTCTTGACAAGGAAAAGCACTTCTCGCGCCAAATCCCTTATCATGCGCTCAAGTGCCCCATGCTGCTCAATGCACTCCTCGCATGCGGAGTGAAGCACCTAACTCTGACACAGCAATATGGCGATGATAAGGCACTCTTCTATTACGATACAGCGACGACCCAACTCCTGCGCAGCTTACAGAATCCCGAGCGTGACACTGCCGAGTGTGCAACTACCGCCGTAGTGCTCAATGTGTACGAAATCATGAGCGATAAGCCGACCAAGCGGATGAGCCACATTGCGGGTGCGCGGGCTCTCATTCGTGAATGCGGTTGGAATGCTAAAAGTAAGGGTCTGGGGGCAGCGTGCTTTTGGTTAAACGTGGGCATGGAGCTTCTCTCATGTCTAGCATTCAACTGGCAGACGGCATGGGAACCAGAAAAATGGGGTCTCGATATGGACTTCAACACGGAGAAGGACACCGGAAACGAAGAGGTTTGGGTGCACCGAATCTTCTATATCGTAGCCAAGATCGCCAACTTCCGTGCCAGCATCCCCAAATTTCAAGAGCCCAGCCCTCACGACGAACAAGTTCGGCTACAGGCCAGGTACGCAGAGTGGCAGCGGCTCAAGAACATGTGCGATGACTGGAACAACTCGTGCCCTCGTCCTATGCACCCGTTCGGATACTTATATCCTTCTCAGCAAACTGGTGCAAATAATTCGTTGTTTCCTAACGTCTGGTATGTCAATCCTATTCTTAGATACCGGCCACACTCGTCATTGTCGGCATAAGCTTGGAGTGAAGTGGCTAACAACTTTCTAGGCTCATAAAACGTGCCGCTATTGTTGGCAGGCTTTATTACCATACAGCACAATGCTTGCTTGCGCAGATAAACCCAATTCTTCCTAAAAACTCCGAGGAAGCGCGTAGAGTCCAGCAACATCATGCTCATCAAGTCTGTGGTATCGTAGCGCACACCAAAGACCGCGGGGTTGCTAGCGTTTCGATTCGTTCCTTAGCTATTGTCGCCGAGATCTTGACCGACCTCGCCGAACAGCAGGAAGTAGTAGCAATCTTAGAGAAAATCGATCACGAAACAGGCTGGAAGCTTTCAGGTGTCATCCAGGGCCTCAAAAAGACTTGGGGCTGGGAAAAGATGGGACAGAAGGGACTCGTAGCGCAGTTCTTACCTCGAGCTGGCAGTGGCAATAAGGCGGCGATGGGCCTAGAAGAACACTACCGGCGGATGGAGTCCATCCATGCCAGCCTAACTACTACTACACCTTCACAGCATCAAATGATGCCCACTGTTCCGCAGCCAGGATCTCAACAGTTAGCAGCGCCGCGGCCGATACATGTCAATCCATTGAGCTTTGCCGATTTCAGTCTCCCAAACCATCCTTACCAAAATTGGTATGAACCACCCAGTCGGTCGAACGCTTATAGTTCACAGGGCCTCCTCTAAAACGTGATAGACGATTTAAGAAGGGTATATGTCGACATAATTGTACATACATAATGATAGGTAAAAAAGGGCAACAATTTATTACCGGGTTCGGATATTAGGAAAATCATTGATACCTCCAAAGGGCGACATGCGGTTTTTTTCTTTTCTCTCTCTTATATTGTTCACCCCTCTCTGCTATAACAGCTCCTCGCTGGGTGGAGCACGAACTTCACCGCACCGATACACGGGGTTTGGGAGGAGCTATATGTATGCAGAAAGGGTCAGAGCAAATCGGGTCGGGTCGGAAGCTTGGCATCAGCAATGGTTACTTTGGGAGGACTGGGGCATGGACGGGTCCAAGGCATGAAAAAAGTCTGAGCGAAATGCATTCTCCAATGATACTCTCACCGACATAAAAGCACAACAGAGAAACAATAAGACCTGTCAAATAGGACGGTCCACGTTCAAACCAATAGTTAAGAAGCATTATATTTTTAATAACGGCCCCGATATTATGTTTAACCATGGCCCATCACTCGAGCCCGTTTGTTAACCAAGTAATGTGAAGTAGAGAGCGATGCTACGGAGAACAAGGGGATGGTGCTCTCATGTAGCTTCTACTATTAGGAAGTATACCTACCTAGTTCTCTGAGGGAAAAATCAGCTTGTTTGCCTGTACTCCAGCAACAAGGGACGTGTGATCTGGACAATCTTGGCACCAACCCACTACTACCTATATTCCAGCACACGCATATTGAGTAACTAAACGAACCTTTGCAAGCCAAGCAAGGGAGAACTTAAAGGCACCCAAAGCTGTATGCATGAGATTAAGACTCCAACTGCGAGTCTAAAACCTATGCGTAGAGAAGTGAAAAATACTGGTGTGTCTATGCAAGTTAGAGGTGATTTAGCCGCCTGGCATATGCATGAATACCTCCCGTAGAAGAGTTGGAGTTATATGCTAGTCCAGACAGCAGCATGGAAGTTTCCTTAGTAACGATAGCGTAGAAATTTACTCTCTCCAACACAACTGATAGGCTCGGGGCAGCCTTTTATTATATATTATAAATTCGTTATAATATAGACCTGAAGATCGACATGTAAAGGAGGCGGTGGACTAAGACAATTGTAAGTAAAACATTCGAAGGAATTTGCACGCTATTCCCGCAAGACTGGTACTTGAAAGGGATATCCCGCCTGAGATTTATCCGCAGAATAGAAAATTATAATTGCATTTAGATTAGGAGAAACCTTCAACATAAAAGACCGTACTGTAAGTCTTTATCTCTCTTAATATTCGTTACTCGCGAAGTTATAAATCCTCTTCACCAATGTCTTACGTCACCTATTGTACCTAGGTAGATACATAGGGGTAAAACGTTCAATATTAACACGTACCCTTCTGCCTTTGAGGTACATTAAGGTGAGTGTTTAAGAAATGAGAAAAAAATATTAGCCCGGGTGGGATTTGAACCCACGCCATTCCCAACCTCGACATCTCATCCAAGTTCGTTGCTCGGAAGCGCGTTACGATGGGAACGTGCTGCCGCTACACCACCGGGCCCTTAGAATCATTGTTTGATGCTAAGTATCCTGTTTTTTACAATTATATGCTGCATGGCTAGGCACCGGTATTATTCTAGTGATCTTGTGCAAGTGGCTGCCTATGTGCTGAGGGACAACTGGTAAATCAGTTTGAGATTAGTTATTTTTAGGAACTGGGTACTAAAACATCGATTTATTTTAAAAGTCTGCCTTTTCATAATGTCGTTTGCTATCAAATACTCACAAGTCAGTCATATTATATCCAATTAACACGAAGATAATTAGGAACAGTAACTTCGCGCTTTGCCTACTATTAATGACCTAAGTTACTTGTGTTTGTGAAAGTAAAAGTTCGGCATTAATAACCTTCTATCTCATATACATGTAGCCCGCGAGGTACTGGATATCAGGTATATACCGCTTCACACCCCCTACTTCGACCAAGAAATATCAACTACATATATGTTCTAACAACAGACTAGATCTCAGACAACATCGACGTAGTTAGTTACGTCTTTGAACGTCTCCAAAGCGTGTCCCAAGTACTGCTGCACAGCCTTTGCTCGAGCCGTCATATCAGAGCCTAGAAGGAGCAACGGCTCAGATTCGCGTCCAACACCAATGCCCTCTCCAACTACTACCTCGTAAACAGCCTTCATTCCTTTGTCTTTGTCGCCCAAGGAAAATTGTATGCCAGGCAGATCCGCACCCGAGAGAATTTGCAACATGAAGTCGGAAACAGAGCCCCTATAATCGTCCGGAAACGGGTTCTTGCCAGGGGTAGTGACGTTGGCTATGTTAGTGTTGAACGCGCCCGGGACGACTGTCAGAGTTCGAATGTTGTACGGTGCAACCTCTTGTGCAAGGACTCTAGTTACGCCTAAGGATGAGTAGACACATTAATATTCGAGTACATTAGGGGATAAGCAATTAGGAAGCCACATACCATCAAGACCAGCTTTAGCTCCAGCATAGGGGCCCATTGTATCTCTACCTTCAAGCGAGGCTCCGCTGCTAATGTTCACAATAACACCATACCGCCTCTTGCGCAGATGGGGAACGACGGCTCGGATTAGGCGTAAGGGACCGAAGTACATGGACTCCATCTGGCCACGGATCTCATCTTCGGTCGCGAGCTCGACGGGCGTTAGTATCGAATAACCAGCATTGTTCACCAGAACATCGATCTCTACTCCCGACTTCTCAAGCTCCTCGATGACTTCCGGGCTGTTGTGGTCGTTTACGTCCAACTTTAGCCATCTACCCCCTTTGCTCTCAACCTCGGCCACGAGCTCGGGTGTGCGTGAAGGGTTTCGTGAAGTGGCAATGACGGTGTGACCTTTATCTAGGACTATACGCGTAAGAGAGAGACCAAATCCGGAAGAGCATCCCGTGATGAACCAGGTCAACTTCTCCTTGGGCTTATTGAACTTGAAGGCCATGGTTGTTACCTGATATTGAACAATTTGAAACAGAATGGTTTATAAATAGAGAAGAGAAGACGTTTGATAATCAAGAGGAGATGCTGAATATGCAAACTGGAAGGAGAGATGAACTCTTTACTTTATAGATCCCAAGTTACGGCCGATTATTCTTAACCCGTACTACAGCAATATGTAAACCCGGTGATAACGGGGAAATTGTTGCGATGTGTTCGGTAAGTGATGAGCTATCTCCCTGGTAATACCACCGGGTTAAGGTCTACGATTTATTCCCCATATCCAATTATTCAAATCCAACACCGCTTAGTATCGTTCCTTACACCAACGCCATGTAATTAGTTATAAATGCGATTAGGTGCTATTAGTTAAAGTGGCTTAGGTGAATATATATCTTAGAAGCAATGATATTTGTTCACATCTACATGAGCCTCCGCATGAATCAATACTATGTATCAAAGTGACATCACGTAGCCCAAGTTCTGCATCAGAGCCTCAACATGGTAATTTGCATAAGTGGTAATGTAATGTAAGCTTACTCATAAGCCCCGGAAAGGAACCGCATTTGCATTAGAGAACATGAGACTTCAATTCCTTTAGGCTTTCGTAGTCAACAATACCTCAGGGTATGTCCGATGGCGATAACCTCCATGCCCAGCATTTACATAAGTCCTGCTTACTACAACTAGTGGTACCACCAAAGGAGTCAACTCCGGAACTTATTTCTCTCCTGCCTAATATTAGAGTACCCCCACTGAAGCATGCATTACCCGAATATTCCCAAAAGCTCGGCTGTTCTATGAGGGAAAATATGAAACGGTGACATCCGTTGGTGCAAGCCTGACCTATCGGCAGCAGATTGAGCATGGGCTCATGTGATATGAAGTGATGATAGGCCACACAGCGAGTGGGACAAGAAAAAAATGGATCTTTGCGGAATAGGAGTTATACGGGGTTAGCAATTATAACTCTAAATCAACGGTGGTTTGGATCTATAGGCCAGTCGCAATGGATTTATGCCAGAGGTTCTTTTACTTAATAACATATATTTCCAGAAATGTGTCAAAATACGTACGACGATTCTTTAATAGGAATGATGAGTAAAGTATACACACTTTGAGGAATTATATAAATAGCTCTAACCAATTATATTTAACGACCTTTATGACCAGTCCACTTACACCTCAGGAGGTAGAAAATCATGAGAATCATAAACAAGCATATCTTCCTAGAGGCTATCAGCGATCCGCGTCATACGAGTGGTTTACGTTGATCTTTACGCGTAGTATGTGAAGGAGGACGTCAGTGCTATGCTCGAACAAGCTTAAACCGAAAGATATCTGGGGCTTGAGGGAACACCTAAGTAAATGGATTCGAAACAAGGCCCAAGTCACCGGCAACACCGATATAAGTTGTAAGTTATTTATTTGAACTCGGAAATTGACTTGAATAAATATTAAACCTATTTAAAATCAAATACGAAAACTTCGTTTAGATATATCTAAATAGTTATACTGAATAATCAATAGTAGGTTTCTAACCTTTCCATGTCCTACACAGTCAACCTAGTTACATACAACTCTATTACAAGTTGCAAATTGTAACTACATATGGCAGTATAGCCTTAGTAAGATAACAACGTATGGAGTTCTATGTTGTGACACGTACTAGCACGAATCCTACTCGTTGCCTCGCAAAGCTGAAAGATGGGAATGGAAGCGATCGGCAGAACCCGTCTCACCACAAACGAAGGAAGCCAACCCCAGCTGTAAACTCGGTATAAAAACCTGGTATGTAGGAAGACGCACCTTCTCGGGCATAGAGGAAGATATCACACGTCTCACAGCGTGGCTGTGAAAGAACACGCGTATTATGCGATAAATGACAATATTTCCAAGAGCTGTAAATCCCCCAAAACCTATCGTTCCTCCGGCGCACTGGATATGGCACGATTTTCACGATGATCTGCTGCCCAACTCTGATTATATCTAAATCTAGTATAGTCGGGTTAGTTTCAAGCAAGGTATAATCTCTCTTCAACTTTTCCTTAAGACAGGGTGTGCCCAGTTTTTGAGGTTCATTGATTCCACATCATTTTATTCTTATACCTTTTGATGAGTTCATAGGAACAGCAACCTAAGAAGTAAGGCGTAATATCAAATAGATTTCTTTCGTATTATTATATAATACCTTTAGAAATCTAAATTCTAACTAAAAAAATAATATGCCCTTGGAAAGGAAGCTTAGATTCAATTGCATGATCTGTGTAACATTGAGCTGAGTCTGGGCATATTATATTGTCGGCTCTCACCTTTATGAGGTAGTGTCGGGATAAACATCTTGTGTCAAAATCAATGCAAGTACTTTTTTTTTATCGCGATGAACGGATGCCTACCTGACGAAAGATATTGTTAGACTTTATATAATCCCACTACCGTCATATATAGCATCTCTATCGAGCTGGGAATTTATACAATGTCGATGTGGCCAAGTACGTACAGAAGACTATCAATATAAGCTTTCTGATAAGGTTAGAGACGGCTTAGAAGTATCCACAAGGCTTATCAGCACTGCAGCGGTAGTGACGTCGCGCTGATAAGGTTTAGCTACTGATAAACACGGTGCGCCTTTTGCGCCTCAGGCTTTCAATTTACCATTGTCCATTAAAATCCCATATCGAAAGACAAAGTTGCTCGTCGTTGCCTGTCGGAACACCCCTGCAGGCTATGCGCTTCTGTATGTAGGCATTCACCGACATTTGAACGCCCGTAGCGTATCTGATATACAAACTCTTTTACCTTTCATTGTTCAATTTGCAAACATATCATCTGTAACTTGGAGGACAGTACACGTCATTAGTTGATTGCCCATATCTCGGGGAATTCCCTATCTAATCTATCTTAACCTCATTATCATCATGAGCGAACTTTTAAATTATCTAGTACAGAATGACGATAATTTCCGGAGGTAATACCATCTTCTACTGATCTTACTGATGTAACTATTTGAAGTAAACTTATTCTAACTTATATTCTAGAGCCCGTCTTCCAGCCCTCTACTCCGATTTCCGATCTCAGCGAACCCTCAACCCGGACGGCTTCGCCGCTAACGTCGCAGCATGGAAGCGCGGTCTCTCCTCCGCTGCCCTAACCGGCCACGCTCCCTCCAAATCCGCGACGCATAACCACCTAAGCCTCGACCTTGAAAGCGATGCCCTCTTACGCTCACTCGAAAGCAAGCAATTTGGGCGGCCGCTCGCTCTAGGTACCGTGTTACAGGAGGCCCTAGCGAGCGGGGAGATGATGCCGCTACAACAGTTCCTCAAGGCGAAGGAGAGCATATATCACCGATCGTGGAGTAGTCTTCCATGGTCAATCGTTTCGTGGGGACTTCGACAGGCCGGGATCGGTGGGCCGGGCGATAGCTTGCCCAAGGGCCAATTCGTTATATTGCACAACTTGGAAGTGGTATCAAAAACATTTGGCGAAGCGACTGCAGATCGTACATCGCCTTTCGAACGGACATTTTCAAAAACACATTTCCAACGGACGTTTGCGGAGGGGTTGCTTGAGAAGCAGCAGCGGTTATCGGAGATAGACCTGGAAGTACTAGTGACCTTTCTTTCGAGAGATAAGAATGTGCTAGCTACAGACGGGAACACGGTTAAGATCCGGAGCGGCGGTGAGGATATGGTAATCACTCAGGAGGATTCGGCGATCGCGTCCCTGAAGGAACTTATGGAGGACCTAACGCGGCAGACCGAGGTGCTGAGCCGGCGTGTCGATGAGTTAAACGTCGCTGCCCAGGATGCTGTCCGGAGAAAGAACAAGGTCGCTGCGCTTGCGGCCCTTAAGTCGAAGAAGTTGGCTGAAACGAACCTGTCGCGACGGCACGATACGCTTAGCCAGTTGGAAGATGTGGCGGCCAAGATTGAGCAGGCTGCTGACAATGTTCAGCTAGTGAAGGTGATGCAGTCGAGCACAGTAGCCTTACGCAGCCTAAACGCGCAAGTCGGCGGTGCCGACAAAGTCGATGAAGTACTGGAGAATCTACGTGAACAGATGGGTGAAGTAGACGAGGTAGGCAATATCATCGCTGAGGCCGGTCCCGGAGCCACTATCGACGAAGCAGAGGTCGACGACGAACTCGAGGCTATGCTGGCAGAGGAGCGGAAGAAAGACGAAGAAGTCGAGAGAATCAAGCGCGAGGCACAGGAACAGAAGGAGGCCGAGGAGACCAGACGCAAGCTCGCCGAACTGGAGAAACTGGGTCCCTTGCCTGTGCCGGGACAGGAAGGAGAGAAGGCCTCAAGACCTCTTACGCCTATCACGGCTACGGCTAATGAGCTGGGAGACATGCAAATATAAAGCAACAGCAAGCCAGAAGAGGCAGCAGCCGTGTATAATATTTACTCGCTAAGCGAGCACCTAACATGATAGATCTTCCCTTGAACGTTCGAGGTAATATAATAGTAACAATTATATCACGATATCACCGTCGTTCTAGACGACGCGTCTAGATCTACCCTTCCTTCTCCCTCATCTGAAAGCACCGCAGCTGAGGCGTTGGAAGATGCGATTTCGCCTGTTAAATCGATTATCCCGGTCGCTTGCGTGACGGAATCGACTTGTTCTTGTGGTTCTGAGTGTTCTAACGATGATATCATCTCCGAATCTGGCTGCGGAGTTGGCTCGTTCCCCTTATTTCCATCTTTGCTCTGCATCCCGCTTCCCGGCTTCTCGTCTTCACTACTTTTCCGTCCCATCAGTACCTTGTTCCGCCTAGCATTAGCTATTAGATCTTTAAACGAGTTATCGTGCTTGGAAGCCCACGCCGCGCCATCGAAGTCCTTGTCCTTGATCTGCGCGCCTAGGCTGAGCGTTCTTGAATTTGTCGGCGCGCGGCTACCTACCGTGCGCTCCCATACGTCGAGATCATGTAGTAAATCCCCTTTCCGCCGCGGGTATTGCGAGTCGCAATTCGCGTTCCATATTGTCGTCCACTCTTTATGTCTTTTCTCCAGCATCTGCCTACCCCCCGCTGCCGATAGTCCCTGTTCTTGTAGTTTTTTCCGTAATTGAGGTTCTTTAAGCATGGAATAGTTTACTGCGGGCAAGCGCTCGAAATTTCTAGCTGATGCCTTTTTAGGCGAGGACGAGGAGGAAAAGGCGTTTGGTATGCTTGTAGATCGTGATGGAGGCTTCGAGGGTGTTCTCTGTGGTTGTGGTTCGCCTGGACATGAAGTATCGAGGTGTCTATCGACTTGAAGCGGTTTCATGCGCAGTAAGCAGATTGGGCATGCGACTAGGCCGTCGTTTGGTTCGAAGTCTGTAAGGTCTTGGTAGGGGACGTCGGCTTCTAGACGTGCCATTTCGGATGTCATCTCCATGCTTCTCGACTTGCTTAATCTCGTTGAAGATCGTAGTCTCTTCCCTGATCTTTGGCTTGCTGAATCTGAGTCTTCTGTCTCCCCTAGCTTCCTTTTCCCCGGCTCAGTTATAGCATCCTGTGACCTTTTTGCGAAAAGTAGAACATCAGGACGTGTTTTCGTAAATGCGACAACGACCTCTTCCATGGACCAATTGCTTCGTAGTTTCATTTCTTGCTCGGAAGTACGACATAGAGGGCATTTCCCGTCGTTAGAGAGCGCTCGGCGAATACATATCGAACAAAATGTGTGGTTACAGGATGTTAACATCGGTGTCTTGTAAAAGTCTTTACAGACCTGACAGCGTAGCGCCGCCTCAACAGCGGCGACCCCAGAGAGAGGAGTCGATAGCCAGTCCGTAGAGTCGGAAACATCTTCAAAGGGTTCGAGAATGGCATTGTTATTCATTGCCGATAATTAGTTAGATAAGTTGGGCTAATTGGATATGGTGGCTCATTGATGATCTCAATTCTTTATAATATTCGAATATTCATAAGCGAAGACGTACATGAACAGTTATTTATGTGTTTAAACAGAAACTAAGAAGTTGAGACGAGGAAAGTCGGCGTGGAACTCGAGGCTCGCATATCCGATGAGATCATTCGCAAAACTGAAATCGCGACTGCTCTTTAGCGACGCGCTTACCACCTGAAATCTGAACCCCTGTTTACTGGTCACTGCCCTGTAGGCTTTGTCCCTAGCCCCACTGCCACTTAACGCGTCTTTCTTTTTCAGACGCGACTACCAGCTTTAAAGTAGCATGCTACCTTTCTCACCTTAATAATAACTTTAATTGTCTTCAAACAATAAAGAACAAGACATATACTGTATTTCGTTCAGTTATGCCCTAATTGATTATTCTTGAAATTTACGGTTAATATGGATCCCTATATGCAGTATCTAGCCCAGAAGCTCCTCACTGAGGATCAGCTTGTAAGTTATAAAATATCTATAACCAGAACTCACAAAACATCTTATTAACGCACATATTTTTACAGGTAACTTATCGCCTTCTAAGCCGGGCATTGAAGGTCCATGTAAATACTGCCAAAGAGTAAGGACTCTATATAACATGAAAAGAATATAGAATAGTGCTGACCGTTTTTTAGGATGCTCTATGATTTTCATAAATGGCAGAATGATAAATGCCCGGGATCTCTTCATGCCACCTACCTCGTATATGGTACTAAGAAGGCAGCGGTGAAAGTGGAGGAATCGGATGGCGATGTGAAGATGACCGATTCTTCAAGTTCGGAAGAGATGCATGTTCCTTTCTCAGATGAAGTCCCTACTTATACGCTCTCTATAGTTAAAGAGGAACAACTGCAAGGTTAGTAGGATGCCTCAATTATTTTGCTGGGTTTAGCTAACGAGAAGCAGATCTGCTAGCAGAGTATGACGAGGTTACCTCGATACACATCTATAGCTTGGCGCCTCATCCCCTGAAAGATCTTCAGCTCTTGGCCGATACTGCTCGACAAGTACTAGAGCTATCTACTGTGGGCGATGTTTCAGCCTCGAGCAAGGTCTTCGGTTCAATTGCCAATCCCAATGTGCGTAGGAGGGAACGTCGTGGGCCAGCACCTAAGCCTGTTACCAGTACACCCACTCCTAAAGCTGCACCAAAGGCCGAAAACAAGCAAGAGACACAGTCTGCCGATATTAAGGAGGAGCCTAAGGTAACACCTCAAGCCAATGTTAAAGGATCAACTTCAGCTGCTACTACTAAGAAGCCTACTGCCGCTGCTTCATTGAAGCGACAGAGTTCTTCTGGAATTGGGCAAATGTTTGCCAAGGCAGCTGCCAAACCTAAGAAACCTGCCGCCAAGGCTGTAGTGAGTGCTGCCGAGGAGGACCAAAAGATGGCCTTATCTGATGATGGAGAGGACGACGTCGTGCCGATGCCGGAGGTTAAGCAAGAGTCAGAGAGTGCTAGGCAATTGAGGAAGAATCGCCAAGCCGAACTTCGTCGTATGATGGATGAGAGTGAAGAAGAGGAAGAAGAGAAAGCGGAGAGTCCTACTGAGGAACCAATGGAGGAAGAAGGGGAGGAGCCTTCACCCGAACCGGAACCTAAGGAAGAAGAGCCTGTGGAAGTAGTATCGAGCACAGGTGATGGTAAACGTAGGGGAAGACGACGAGTCACACGGAAGAAGCAAGTCATGGACGATAAGGGATATTTGGTTACGATACAGGAACAGGGCTGGGAATCATTTTCCGAGGATGAAGCTCCGCCGCCGCCTAAACAGAAGCCTCAACCAGTTAAGGCGGAACCCGCTGCGAAGCCCAAGAAGGCGGCTGGCAAAGGCCAGGGGCAAGGCAACATCATGTCCTTCTTTTCAAAAAAGTGAGGTCGTTACTATATATTCGGAGATTCGTGGGCTAGAGCTGGTCATGGGAAATACTAACCGAATAATCCACGAGATTCCCCTATTACAAAAGGGGACTGATTGTCCCATGATAATCGTAATGAAGTAGGAATTTTATCATCTTCGATAGAAGTTTACGACATGTTACTATATTCAAAAGATGGAATTTCTCCTCATTTCTCAAGTTTTAATCCCTTATCTACCTAAAACTTAACGCCTACCCCCGATGCATACTCTCTAATTATAAACTCCCACCAAACAAAACTTACTCCCCTTCTCCTTGGCTATGGTCTAATTGAATTATACTTCCGTTGCAAAACTCCTGTGATATGATCGGGGACGAATATATCATCAACGTCTTCTTTTACTTTTAACGAATCTAGATGCAATGCTTAGAGGGGAAGTAATTAAGTTAGTGCAAATATTTTGGCCTAGGTGTATGTAGCTCTGAGATAATTGGTTTCATCATAAATGAACCATTTCGCCTCTATTATAATACTGTCCTCGAATAGAATAGAGAAGCAAGGCTCAAAAACTTGCGGCTTAAACTTGAGTTGAACTAGTAGCTATTGTCAAGAACGTGAATATACCAAAACCCTTACGAGCCGACGGTGTCCACCGCAAGTGTTCATGCTTGGTTTAGATATGTGGACGATCGACGATTTACGACGTATGAGTCCGCCTACATGAGCGATCGAACGGAAACACTACCGAGAATTAAGCCATCACGTCTCAGTTGCAGTGCAGCAGAGTCCTGCATATGAGTCATGCAAATTGCTTACACATTAGGCGCAGGCGTGGGTGACGTTAGTAAACAAGGAAATACTTTTTTTTCGACTAGGAGCGATCGTCGTAGGCTATTTGTGTATGGACAATACACACGTACGCACTAAGACGAGGCTAGAAAATCGAAAAGAATACTTTACAAACAGTTTCAAAGCGTTTCAGGTGGGAAATTACATACATATGAATACGAGTAATGATGAGTCCGTCTGACCTCGGAGAGCCACGAAAGAGAAAACGGATCGGAAATTTACGTAAGCGGCGAAAATGAATGGACAATGGATGGACAACGGGGAGACTATCGAAGCCGACGGCGGGACGGAGATAGGTTTCGGGGCTCGGATGATGAGAATCGGTGTTTACAAGGGTTCATAGGACAAGCGAGAAAGCGTCGCGGAGCATTTTCGTAGCAGGGAAGCTTAGAGAATGGAGTTGGGGTCCCGTGAACCGTTTTTCTGCATCTTCGCACATGGCAAATCCTTTGATTTTTAAGCCCCCCCCCCCACCTGCCCGCTTAGGGCCTTAACGCGGCTGAATGGATGTATGGATGGATGATATCGGTTATCGAAATTGTTAGTAGTTAGTTGACTTCGAACCATCTAATCCAGTAACTTAAGTTAGTAACAACTTAGGTTAGGTAGGTTATTGTGTCGCGTGTGCTTAAAGCTTCGGTGAGTTGAAGTTGACCGGAAAGTGATAAAATAAGAATACTATGTAATTGGTGGAATTAATGGGACGCTCTGGAGTGTTTGTTCCTGTATTATTATTTTTTCTTGTTTCTCTCCAATCCTCCTATTAAGATCCGCGTCTTATTAGCTTGACTCGTCGTGGGCATGAATCTCGACAAGATTGCCGTTACCTCGTGACACTACAAACTGGGAGTTTTTCTCTCAGCTTGCAACTTCGGTTGTCATTCTGATATCGGCAATAGACAAACGGACGTCGAGAGAACAATACTCCTCGCCACTGCCAAGTTTCATTGCCGGTCCCTTGAAGAATAAATCCGGGGAACTAAGCTTGATATCATGAGCTACCCCTCCGTAATAGCTTCATGCGTTCGCGGTGAGTAGCGAGTGCCGTAGCTGTAGGTAGATCTAGGTATATGATGATGATGCACCTGAGGGCACGGGGCAATAGGCCTTCGTCGGATCCCGACAGACTGGGATCGAGATTCCGGCTTTACCCACCCTCAAGGATAGTGGCGTTGCCTCATTGGGCATGTCGGCCACGCATGAACGAATCACGGCTCTGATATCTAGGACCGGGGTCCTACACGCGTCCTAATCTTCCCGGTCTGCTCTCTTAACTTGAACGAGAAAAAATTGCTTCCGAACGTGCCGTACGCTAATCTACCCTCCATACTATTCTCAGCTGTAGCCTGGCATCCATGATTTCCAGGCAATAATATGGCTTCGTCATTGTATTAGACAGCTAAAGACAATCTGGCCTCTAACGGATCTGCTACAGGGCAGTAGGTACGCAATCTGCATGTATATTTAGGATTGCCTTAAAAATGAATGACGAATTCGAGATCTGATTAGTCTGCTTATTGTTCGGCCGGGGGGTTATCTTGTTGCCTGGGAGCTCAGGTACTATGTATGTGGTTACCTCCGTCACAAGGTATTTACTTGCAGTAAAGTAAATTAACCCTGTGGCCATCCGGACTTGCATGTATTTATGAATTTCGTGCTGAGCTACTCTGTATTATGTCGTAATCTGAATTGAAGTTATGTTATTTGCCACCATTTTGAGCTCGAACACAATAGTCGCTTATATTCTTTTTATTTTTAATAATATATATTTTCAACGCCGACCTATCTCGGACTGCCTAATGGTGTGTGGTTTGAAAATGGTCGAGTCACACCAAATATGAAATCCAAATAAAATTATAGAAGGGTGAGGGGCATACCTAAAGCTAGTAGTCGAGGCTGCATTAGGCAAATTGTTTAGGTACCTGTTCGCATACTGTATTTACGTAGTATACCTAGGTCTACAATATAATAGCGAAAGCACTAACTGGCTTCCCGGATCCTTCCTTCTTAGCCCCGGTATCCACTGTGTTAATTGGAAGTCTATAGAAATGTAACCCCAAAAGGCCAACCTGCCAACTAGAAGTTGTCAGCAATAGAAAGAACCGGAGAAGACGTTAACATTATAGGGCTAATGCGCGCAACACACCCTTGTCCTTTCCTTCTAGGTCCCTAGACTCCCACCCTAGTCCCCTGCAACTGTGTAAAGTTTGTAAAGCCAAAAAAAATTACCATCTCTCAAAATTTATTATACCGCAGAATTCCAATATCATCCACCAAATCCCATCCACACCAACCCATTCCTTTTGATGAGATTCTTCTCTTCTCTCTCTGTTCACTTCTTTTCAACCAATTCAGATCATTTCTTATTTATAAAATTGGCGCGTTTGTTTGACGGCTACAGTGCTGTCAAATGAACCTGCAACTACCGATTTTATCCTTTCTCTATGTAAGTCGTCATCGATTTGGTTATGTTCTTTGCTAGCTCTTTCGCGATGGCGAAAGAGAAAAAAAAATTATTTCGTACTTGAGATAGCCTGTCGAGATTAGGTCACGCGCGCACAGAACATTCTTCTTAGATCACCTACTCAAATATTAGAAATTTATTAGAATTATACTAACTAGATCTCCTTCTATCTTCTCTAGTCCCCCTCCCCTCCTGGTGTCATCTAAATGCCCACCATCTATTCGTCCTTGTACCAAAACTTCATCCGTCAAGGATTTGCGAAATCTTTCACTCACGGCTACGCGCAATCTGTCGTAGCTGCTACACATCCCCATGTTCTAAATTCGCAGAACCGTCCGTCGTTTGCTCGACGTAACAGTCAGCGCGTCGGACGCCTCACTAGTCTCCAGCTTCAAAATGCCTTTCATAGCTCGAACCCGAATGCCCGACATGAGCTTCGCCACGAGAAAGATGGGAGTCATGGAAGCCTAGATGCCTATTTTGAGGCACTGAGAAAACAGCAGGACAATGGCGACATTGAGAAAGAGTGGACTCAATTTCAGTTTCCTAAGCCCATCGAGTGGAAGCCGAATGCTTCGTCTGTCCTCGAGGATCCCGAGTCCAATGCGCTCGATGTTGATGCTCTCGAGGCTGTTGAAGCTAGTCAGAATGCCGGCGAGGATCTACCGGTTCCTGTCGACATAGATGTTGCATTAGCGCATATTGACGCTGCTATTGAGAAGGAGATCGAAGCCCGCGAATTACGAGAAGCTCTAGAGAGCCCCGCGCGTTCTCTAAGAACATCGACCCCTTCTATCGCGAGTGGCGTCCAGTCCCGAGCTAGATCCCCCGTTCTCGAAAGACCGGCGACACCTATTGGTATCTCTCGCACAGTAACACCGTCGGTTGATCCCCAGTCTAAGAGCTACGCGGACCATCTCACGAAGCTTTCTGAAGATGGCCGATATGCTGAGATTCCTGCTGTCTTTGAAGCTATGCTTGTTGCCGACATCAAGCCTACGGCCGCATCCTACAATGCCCTGCTGGTCGCTGCTATCCACATCCCTACCGAAAAGATCGAGGTGGTTTCTAAGGCCTTGGATGTCTATGCCGACATGATGCGACGGAAGATCACGCCAGACAGCGACACGTATAACATTCTAGTTGGTCTGTTAGCTGCTCGATGTCTGGAGGTGTCCACACTCAAGAAGGGTTTGGAGGATAAGCGTCTCCGTTTTGGTGGTATGGATGAGCCTGGGAAGTTCATGTTCGCCTCGAATGAGCTGGAACACGCCATTCTGTCGGAAGACGACAGGCTCGACCTTGCCGTCAAGCTTTTTGAGACGTCTGTCTTAACAAACAGGGCTAACTACTCATCGGAAACTTATCATCAACTCATCTCGGCGTGTGCTCAGGCTGGCCGAGTCTCTGATATGCTGCACCTATTTGAGCATATGGAGTTGAGTGGCTCTGTCCCCTTTGCGGCTACCTTCCCTTCCATGATTACTGCATTTGCCAACACTGGTGATTTAGCCAGTGCTGTCGAGTGCTACAATGAGTACAAGGATCTTGCTGTCGCTCATGATAACGGTAAATACACGCTGAATGATCGATTGGACTCAGAGGTTTACGCTTCGGTAATCAATGCATACGTCATCAACGACAAGCTTGACGGTGCTATGAACTTCTACGAGAAGATTGTCAAGTCGTACGGAGTTGGTGCTGCCGAAATTCAGGACGCCATCATCAGCGGCGGATTCGTAAAAGGGTTTACGACAAGGGGAATCTACCATGAAGCGCTTCAATGGGCACAGGCTATTGAGAATGAGGCTCGCTTAAGCGCTCTGGCGGATATTGCTACTGCTGCTGCCGACTTTGGTGACCGACATACCGCAACTGCTGCGTTCGCCCACATTCCTACAGTGTTCCAGGGTATTGCAACTCCGGCGATGGCTTTGCTTGCCCTCAGCGTTCGTCATGGCGATGTTCCAGCTGCCGCTCGATATTGGCACATCCTCAATAGTCCTGAGATCAAAGTTGACTCATCATTCATCGAGCCGGCAGCTATGTATGCGGTCGCGATGATTGGTTCTGGTCAGGTTGCTGAAGGTTTAGCCCAGTCTGAGATAATGTTCCAACGAATTCGAGCTACCGAAACCGACGCAAGACCAAACCTCGCCGATGAATTGGAAGAAAGCGCCGAATTCATATCTCGGTTCATGGCTATTCGTGGTGTTGTGGATCCTCGTGAAGTCGCTACTCCAGTCAGCTTTGAGCAACATGTCTTCACTGCATCGCCTTATCCTTCAACACCCACTGTCTCAAGCTATGAGGATAACTTCGATCCGTACGCGCACAATACTGATTTCAAGGGTTCGTCCATAATCTCGGATGAACTTGAGGGTGCACATGGACGCAAGGGACCCCGACTCCACGAGGCGCTAACGCGCTTCCGCAACATGCGACGTGCAGGGCGTCACCCCAGATATATCACCTACGCTAAGATGATTTCTGCCGCGGCGCGAGACGGCAAGATGGATCTGTGTCATGAAGTTCTTGCGACGGCACGAACTGATGTCCCTTTCCTCCCTCAATACTCTGTCGTCCGTTACGGTTGGTCTTCTATTCTCGATGCTATGGTTGGAGCTTGCTTGACCCTTGGCGATCGTGTTCTGGCAGAGCAGTACCATCTTGAGCTTCTTGAGATGGGAGCTGCTCCCTCGGCAAATACCTTTGGTCTCTACATTACTACCCTCAAAGAATCCACCAAGACCTTCGACGAAGCCTCAGAAGCTGTCAAGATCTTCCACCGAGCTAAGGCCGAGGGTGTCGAGCCTTCATCTTTCCTATACAACGCTCTAATTGGTAAGCTTGGCAAAGCCCGCCGCATCGATGACTGCCTCTTTTATTTCGCCGAAATGCGTGCCCTCGGTATCAAGCCAACTAGTGTCACTTATGGAACAATTGTCAACGCTCTGTGCCGTGTTAGCGACGAGAAGTTTGCCGAGGAGCTTTTCGATGAAATGGAGTCGATGCCCAACTACAAGGCTCGTCCGGCCCCGTACAACAGCATGATGCAATTCTTCCTCACTACTAAACGCGACAAGACTAAGGTCCTTGCATACTACGACCGAATGCAGGCCAAGGGAATTACACCGACTGCTCACACGTATAAGCTTCTTGTTGACACTCACGCTACTCTTGAACCTGTGAACATGACTGCTGCTGAAGTTGTCTTGGACATGATTCGTGCTTCTGGCCAGAAGCCCGAACCGGTACACTATGCTTCACTCATTCATGCTCGTGGCTGTGTCCTCCATGATATGCAGGGTGCTAGGAAGATCTTCGACTCTGTTATGAGTGACCCCAGCATTCACCCCAATGCTTCCCTTTTCCAGGCATTGTTCGAGGCTATGGTTGCGAACCATCAAGTCGCGGATACCGAGGCACTCTTATCCGTAATGAAGCAGAAGCGCGTTGAGCTTACACCTTACATCGCGAACACTCTTATTCACGGCTGGGCTGGCGAGAAGAACATCGACAAGGCTTCTTCAGTTTACAACAGCGTCGGCCGTGAGAAGCGCGAACCTAGTACATATGAGGCAATGACTCGGGCCTTCCTTGCTGTAGAAGACCGCGAGCGTGCCAAGTCAGTAGTAGGCGAAATGCTTTCGAGAGGATACCCCAGCGCTGTGGTTAACAAGGTCCTCGAGCTCCTCGGTGGTGGCAACGGTGAAGAAGCTGTTGTCATATGAGAAGCATCCATGAAATGAGCGTTACCTAGATTTTCTATTTTATGTCTATTTCCTTTGTTCTTTGCTTTATACGCGATACCCCCCGTGTTGTGCAGCAAGAGGTTGAGGTGATTTTTCTTCCGGGGGTGGTCGGTTGAAGCGAAGGGCACGGTCGTCACAAGCGGGCCAGGCGTTTTACGGAACTTGCATATAAAACGGTTATTACGGACACCAGGAGGTACTTACACCCTTACCGGGAAAAGGGGGGGCGGGCATCGACTGGCATGTCGGTTTTATTATAGACAAATCTCCACTTTGCATATACCACGAACGAAGGAACTTCCATACAAGGGTCGAGTCGAAGGAATCTAGGAGAGAGAGGGATCCTGAGGTTTTGTTTGGGCAGGTTTAGCCCTCGAGATACATACACTTACTTAGGGTTGGGATCTCGGTCGGTTAATGGCATGGCATGGCATATGGATTCACGGACTTGTGTTACTACCACGTACATTTTTTGGTATGATGGTATATGATTCATGATGAACTCATAGGGAGTAACACGACGTGGTACGGTATGATATGGCATGGTAATCCTGCCCTGTATGATAGAACTAATACCATGGAAGTTCGTTCTAATGATTGCCTGTTTGGACTGTGCCGTAGTGTTGTCTGTGTATTAGTTGATATTGTAATGGCGAGAGCTGCTTGATTAATTTATCTTGAATATCCCAAAATATTCTATATGCTGAAGAACCAAGCATAAGTCACTCATTCACAACTTACATTTTCACCTCTTATTTTACCTGTAAGATGTCGAATCATATCCTATCACGAATCCGAGTTGCGAGAATCGAATAGTACAGTACTTGACATAGGGGATGAGGCCTACTATATATATCGCGGTAACTTCGTATACAACAGTCGTTTTCTTAAAACATAATTAGGTTATTTCATCATCACGTATTAGCTCAATTAGCGAAAGTATTAAACAGCAATATATGAAAAATGGTAGTGACTTTATATACGAACTAATCTGTATTATACTAGCCACCTCAACGATTCTCGAGGCGCATAAAAGATCCCCAAAATAAACAATAGTTGCCGTCGACACTCATACGCTCGTAACTCTTTTATCTATACCTTCGCAATGAATTTCACATTGACCATGCAATTGAACTCCCACCGCCGACCACGACCCCCTTCCAAGAAACAACCTCACAGCTCACCCAATATTAAATTCCCCAGCCGCACTCATAACCTGCTTCATCTTCATCCTCATCCTCCTCGCCGCATCCTCGTCCGTAGCACCCACACCATCGTCCCCATCACCATCATCGCCCCTCTTCTGCCCACTAGCACCAGTCTTCTTTTGTTGACTCGGCTTGAATGTGCGTCTGGACGGCCCGCCTCCGATCCCGCCCGGCGCCTCGCGCAAGCCGAAGCTCTTGGCTGTGTGGCCTAGGTGCAACTGCGTGATATCGAAGTATCCGCGCTCGTCGCGCACGTGCGTCGCGTACGCGCGGATATGCGAGCGGAAGGCCTGACGCGCCGAGTCCAGGAGCTTCGAGTTACTACCTTCTTTTGCGGAGGCCAGGAGACGCTGTTCGAAGTGTAATTGTAAGGCCTCCGCGCGGGAGTTGGGAGTCTGGCGGTCCGAGACTAGAGTCTGGGGTTCGGAGGTTTGGTCTGGTCTGGGTAAGGATATAGGTGTTATGAAGCCCTTCTGGAGAGTAGATTCGTAAGATTGGGGTATAAGAGCCGAGGCGGATTTGAGAAGTTCGACGTAGCCCTCCTCGCAGCCTGGTTGGAGGAAGAGTGTCGCTTTTCCGGGGCGGCCCGCTCGCGCGGTTCGACCGATACGGTGGACGTGGTCTTCGACGCTGAAGGCTGGATCGTACTCAATAACAAGATCCACAGCGGGCACATCGAGACCACGCGATGCGATGTCAGTGGTAATGAGGACACAAGGATTCTGCGAGGCGTGGAAGGCGGCGAGCGTGGACGTGCGAACAGGTTGCTGGAGGGAACCATGAAGCTTTAGAAGAGTTATGTCTGGGTTTGCTGGGGACGTGATATAGGCAGCACCGGTAACAGTGTCCTTTGTCAGGGGCGATTCGTCGGGTGGGGGTTGGGATGGTGTAGAGCGGAGTAAATCGAAGTGGAAATCGACCGAGTCGGCGCAAGATATGAAAACAATAGCTTTCATAACGGAGCCTTTGCGGGCAAATGTTGATTTGAGTAATGCTATCAGTGTTACCAACCGTAATTTAGCTGGAACAACGGCATAGGATTGCTTGAGTTGAGATGGCGCACTGAAGGTAGCGTCGTTGGCAGCGGCCACGGTATCGCCCTCGTCCTCGGACTTGGAGGATGTGACGTGGATGGCGTCTTGTAAACTAATCTCGCCTAGCTTTTGCACATTCATCTTCATCGTTGCCGAACAGAGAACGGTAACGCGACGTTGCGGCAGGACGGCGAGGGACACACCCTCGTTATTAGACTCTTTTAATTCTTCCTTTCGAATCTTTCCCACAATGCTCTTTAGCTCTTCTTCGAATCCCATCTCCATCAGCCTGTCACCTTCATCGAGAACAAGCCATCTTACAGTACCCACATCGAGCACTTTAGTATTGTCCAGATGATCAACTAGGCGACCAGGAGTAGCGATCAATATGTTGACACCTTTCCTCAAGCGAGCCTTTTCGGATTTCTTACTCTCTCCACCTATCACAGTCGTACTTACGATCCAAGGAGCGCAACGAAGAAGCTTTTCTAAAACGGTAGCAATTTGCTTGCACAACTCTCTTGTCGGTGCTAAGACAAGAGCAAAGAGGCCTGAATCGCGATGTATACGGGTTCCGGTGGTAGAACCGTCGTCATGGTGACTTAAATTCATAATTCGCTGTACAATAGGAAGTAGATAAGCTAAGGTCTTTCCTGAACCTGTCTCGGCCTGCAAAAAAGCATCGCTATCGTCTTTTATTAACGGTGGGATGCTATTTTTTTGTATTGAAGTCGGGGCCTTCATCTCCAGCTTTGACGACAGGTGTTGGGCAATGCGCGGCGACAAGCCAAGAGCGCGGAAGTTTTCGGCTTCATCAGATAATGGGGCATTGGATGGTTTTGCAGGTTCGGCATCCTCGACTGGATCCTCGAAGACTGTTGTGGGTGTTGGGTTAGATGTGAATAACCTAGATGTGATGCCTCCAGGTTTGTTGGATGCGCCGCCGAACCTAGCACCCGTACTAGATGTATTATCAAATTGTCCGTTTTGGTGATCAAATTTCTTCTGGCGCTTCGCTGGCCTTTCGTTCTGATCGTGAAATTGTCGAAAATCTCGTCGGTCGTTGGACAGCGGGGTGGAATTGACTGAACTCGCAGGTCCATCTAAGGATCCATCGCGATTCTTCCTGGCGCTTCGCTGAGCATGAACACGATCTCTCCATCGACCACCTGTGAATTTGACCTGCTTCTTGAGCGGCGCTTCACCAAGATCGAAATTTAAAAGTAAACCGCTGTCAGCCATGGCGATTATGTATGTGTGGTCGAGAATATTGAAGCAGTGAAAAGCGACAGAATCGTTTTGAGACTTTTTAGTGGAGTATTTTACGTTATACTTTTAGTACATATTTGCATAAACAGCATAGTCATATCTTATCGATAAGACATATATTAGGTACCTACCTGTAATTCTAAAGGTGGACAGTCTGGTAAATCTTAGGTACATTTCTGTTCTAATGAATCTATTATAATTTATAATTTATACATATGTAATTTATTAGAAGCCTTGTTAAGCTTCGCTACTTTGAACAGGTCAAGTGCTTATGCTACTTATTATATAATATACTTTAGTTTTTCCCTCAGGGCTTCTATAGAAATTTGATTACAGAATATCAGCAGAGAGGAAAGAAAGTACATAAAGTCGTATAGCTACGCTCCGTTCAAACAACGACCGTAAAAATATAATATATGTTAGAAGGTAGTGATTTTATCCTTGCAACGATACAAGGCTATGAGATATAGATTAGTTCTAATTGTCTCAGTCACGAATTATTATTAGAACCTAGTACTTATAATGATACCGTTGTACGCGGCAATACATCCCATTGCAGCGTTATGTTGGATTTAGGAAAGGGGTCCTAGTGTTGGTGACCACTCCATAACCACTTAACCAACAAACTGATGAGGTTACAGATTTAATTTCCACCAAACCCCCCAAGCATCAGTTTCATTGAAATCCCCGTCTATTATAAACCGAAATGGAATATACGAGCCTGGTGTTAGCCAAAGCTTCTCGCTGCCTGTATAAGAAGTCAATCCCCCCGCATCACTATTTAATAACATTACCGTATAATATATCTAGCACCTTCTACAACTCTTCTTCTTATAACTTCTTGGCACTCTTAGACAGGAACACGGTTGGATATTCTGGGGCTTATCTTAGAACCGTCCATGACATACGCCCCTGAAAGCCCCGGGCTCAATTATGGCTGCCGATGATGGCAAAACGAATAATACTATAATAGAGCGGTTCTTCAGTCTCAAATCCTTTATTGAAGAGCTCAGTGATTCCCCAAACAATCATGATGACAATGTGAAGCGTTTCAATGAGATGCTAAACTCGTTACCACGGGACCAGATAAACATTTATACGACCGATTCCCAAAGGAACACCCTCCTGCATATTGCACTTGAGGAAGACGTTGAATGGGCGGCCGAAACTCTCCTTGAAGCGGGAGCGTCTGTCTCGGAGAAAGATTTCCTGGGATGCCAACCATTGCACACAGCTTGCAAGACGGGCGACCATTCACTTGTCAGACTGCTTTTGAATCATAATGCTGATATACAAGCAGAAGATAATTATGGGTGGTCTCCCTTACATTATGCTTCATATTCCGGGGATGAAAGCAGCGTAGAGTTGCTTCTAAAATTAGGGGCGAAACCCCTAGTGCTTAGCATGTATGGAAAGACACCCTTCCATCTTGCCGTCGAAGGCGGCTATACAGAGATGGTGAAAATGTTCCTTGACAAAAATATGCTATTCCGTGTTAATGTTAATGCTCGTGGGGTACAGAAAAAGACAGCATTACACCACGCTGCTTCTTCAGGACATGAGGAAGTCATCAAAGCATTAATTGACAAAGGCGCGAAGATTGGCTTGAAAGACACGGCTGGAAATACTCCACTGATGACAGCAACGAGGATGGGGAAGTTAGGTAGCATGAATACGTTATTGGCTTTGTGTGGGTATAACCAAGCGAATATCTCAGACAACACAGGCAAGACACCACTCTTAGTGGCGATTGAAGATGAGAATTTGGGGCCCCTGGATATACTGTTGAAGTACTGGCCTGATGAAAACAAGCGTAATCCCGCCGTCTACCAAAAACTCCTCTCATATAAAGGGTTAACTCCTACGGAGGGAATACTAAAAATGCAAAAGTCTATCCTAGACGCTCTCGAGAATGACCAGGAAGCTTTTGACGAGGCTCTTTTCTGGGCGGCAACAAAATTTGAGAGGCACGAAATCGCAAAGGAACTTCTTACCCGCAACCTATACTTGGAGACGAACCAGTTCAGTGCTATTGAGTTGGCTACTCAACAACAAAAACCGGACGTACTCTGGTTTCTCATTGCGACTTCCCCAAGCACACATAAAATTACCGAAAGCATCAAGTCGGCCAAAGCCAAGGCAGAAGAGACCGACGCAGGAGGATATCAGACTGATGTTATGAAGCATATAATAGACATATTGGAAGATCCTCCGATCGCGCAGTTGTATAAGGACGATGATATTTCGGGGCCTCCGCGGTTGAGGTTTGAGCATTCTGGTCCTGTGAAAGAATTTAAAGCACTTATAGCCAGGTTCTACAAGGCCAACCATGTTTCAGGTACTATTCGAAAGACGCGAAACGTAAAGAATACCGTGTATGGCAAGGGACCTACAAAGATAATGACGGGAGCAATGTCTAATCTCAAGAATATTATGGGGGGGAGCTTCGACAATAAGGATGATGATGCCAAGTCTTCTCAACTTCGAGCTACATATGGCAAAGACAACTTGAGATTTACTTATATCCACTTACCGGCTACAAATGTATGTATCCCCAAAGATCCCAGCTACCTGTTATAATTAACCAAATATAGATCGATTGGATGAAGGTAACATGAATAATCTATTGTTCCGATTTCCTAATTTTCTAGTTCTAAAGATTGAAGAAGTTGCTAATATATTTCTTAGGACTTGTTATTGAAAATCGTTGATGATGAAGAAAAGAATAATATCACTGCTAACTACTACGAGGTCAGCTCATTTTTGCAAAGTACCTGGTTTGAAATCCCATATCGGACTTCTGAGTTACGGATAACGAGACCGAAATTTGCGGAGAGGATACCGATTGTATCCACAAGCAAGAAACAAAGTGAAGAATATGAAGGGATAACTATCGACGACGCACAGCACGTGGAAGATCAAGAAGACGATGGCTTCATCCCTTGTTCAGCTCTCTATGTGAGAATACTACTTTGGTTCTTTATCGTTTCTGCTTTTGCTGAGGTTCTGACTTATATAATTGTAGATGCCGTTCCTAGTGTTTGGAACGCAGACCGAAGACCCTGAAGATGCTCACCCAGGGCCGGGTAAAAAATCCAAAAGATTAATAGAAGCCTATAAAAGTTCGATTGTTCATAGCTCTGCGACTCTTGATGAGGCGTACTATCACTTCAAACCGGGGAATAAGCAAGCCCAAGATGATAGAGATCGTCGTAGTCGTACTCAGGTTGTCACTAAACAATCGAAGCAAAACGACAAAATGCTAGAAGGAGGTCAGCAGCCTAGCAATGGCCAGATGTCTGAGGATAATCGTGCAAAAAGCTGGCCGATGCTGCGAGTTAGCCAAATTTGGATCTGGACGATAGATAACAGTAAGTAAAAGCGATTGTTGTTCTATATATGCCTTCTTATTAAGACGGTGTGCTTAGAATGGGTCATGAGCGCCGCCTCGCATTCAGTCGACGATGTAGAGCAGTCATGGCTCGAAGGATTTACCGCACACCTTAATAAACAAATAGAGGCCGGAGGGGCCCAGTTTCAGCCGGGGTCTACAAAAGATATGATGAAAACGATTGTGGATTATTGTATTGGGTCTTATGAAAGGGGCCGAACTTACCGAGATCCTAGTCACCAAGATTCCAACAATGATTGGCACACCGGACCATCGATTCGCGAACTCTTTTCGGATTATATCAATTGTATCGTACGTCATATTCTATTCAACTCTAACCTAGTATATTGTTTTTAATTGCCGGGTAGGAACGAAAAGAAACTAGCCTCTTCGACCATGTTCAAAGGCTCGAAAACGGATCAAGTACTTTCGGGCGTGAAAATAATTTCAAAGAAGTGACCATTAAAGCTGAAGAGCTATTTAGTGAGATCAAAGATGTCCGAGATGAACTGGGTATTATCAAAGCGATCATAAATTATCAAGATATCGTCCAACAGGGACTCTTTGGCGGGGACCTAACGAATTCAGGCCTTACTGCAAGCTATATTCTCAACGATATTGCCGATATGGAGAGTCGTGCGAGTAGGGTTCAGTCTGCTGCAAGTTATGCATCTCTTCAAGGTTCATGATGACAGTCACTTACATGAAATGGCTTTAGGTTAATTCGTCACTTTCCTTGCTACAGAGCAAGATAGCAAACTTCCAAGCAGAAGAATTTGTGAGGCAGGGAAAAGAAATTACGAGGCAGGAAAATACCCTAATGGCGTTCACGCTAATTACTATTGTGTTTGTAAGAATCAATGTTCTGCATTTGAAGATTTCAATATTTAAATTTTCTGGCTTTTATTAACCACTGCTGTCATTACTTAGCTCTCCGTTCGCACATTTCATCAACTCGTTTCGAAAAGCTCCTGACTGAGTGTTGGGGTTTATTTGTGAGTAATTCTGAATGAACATTGAAATCTACCGGCTTGCAGTTTACCTAGGTACTGATGAAACTTGGGTTGGCCAACTAGTCGTATTTCTTTGGCGTCTACCTCCCTTACGCTATGCACTCCTTATTTAACTACTATTAAAGTCAACCCCGTTTGGAAGTATCAAGAAGCGATACGACGAGTCTACCAAGAGGTTCCGCAGTAGGGTTCACGTATTGAAGGATTTAGCCGTATCTTAGTGCTAAGGAAGCGAATGAGCTTCGGACACAACTAACAATGCTAACGTGCTTAAAGGTTATGTGGAGGGTGAAGATGCAGGTTCGAATGGGGAAATGGCCTTGATAGGGGAACAGAAAGAGGAGTGTTTAGATTAGTGTTCGCTAGTCAGCGCTGCAACAACTATTAATCAAATCATATCTGGGTTATGTATGGGAGAGCGGACGGGATCATGAATTTCCTAGATCTTAGGGATAACTAGAATATAACAAGTTTCATCATCGTAAAGCTTCACATGGCTCCAATGGGTATTGATGATGAATGCTAGGTTAGAAGAATGATACACGGCACATGTCCTAACTTAATGCCGGCAATAGAAGCTCTAGAGCATTGTAGAGAACACCCCCTTCAAGATTTAGCCTCAGCATCTTGACACGCATATTGTATTTTCAACATTTGATGGGATCTACTACCTAAGACCAGAATCGGATATCAATAGGCTATTGTTTATCCTTCACGATAGGTGGTTGACGCCTGCTGTGTCGTCTGTTTGATATTGTAGCAATAGTTATTATGTAATGAATGATGAGGTTGGAATTAGATTCTTACCTGCACATACAACGTTGTTGAATTCTGCAGGCGGTGAAGTGAAGATCAGTGGCGACCCATGCATCTTTATTGCTTCTAGTTGGCGATCACCCACTAAACCTCCACTTATATCAGGAGACGTCTAGTTCGCGCACGAGGAGACAGGTGATTTCCCCCTTGATTACGCATCTATACACGTGTAGTTTGATGCAGGGCACGAGCCTCACTGCCGCTCATTAACATGTTTGGAAACATCCCCGTGGAAAATCCTTAGATTTGATAATCGATTCGATCAGATAGCCTATCTAATATCGCATGAGCTGTCATGTTTCATTTATTTGAATCTCTCGTTAGGTACCTATTTTCTAAATTCTTAGGTACAATATAGTAGAACGTTAGTAGAAAGATGCAATTAGTAGCTAACTATCTTGTAGTTAAGTAAGAAATAACTAGTATATTTTGTGTTACGTATTTAGATTCAATAAAATATTTCTAATTATTCTAATTAATGACTCTTAGTAAACATACTGTAACAAGATATTGTTGAGTAACTAGCTGAGTGAAGATCCTTAGAGGGCTGATTATGAAACAAACCCCAGTTCCTTGAATATAGCACCACTTATATAGACTTAGTTGACGATGATTGGCTCTGGGTTAAGGCTAAACTACACTAGTAACACCTCGTATTCAGCTGCCGGTAGTGGTTTGCCCTAGCCGTCGTCGACGCCAACTCCGGGGTATCGGCACAGAGAGAGAGAAGTGACGTAGTTAAGTTACATGCGGCAGTTGTTGCTTCGCCCAAACTCAGCCTTTTTTTTGTTTATTGCGAGAAGAGGTTAGTCTTCTAGAACTAATGTAACCATGACAAGTAGTTTTGATGGTGGTGTTAGTGCTTCTCAACACATATCGACTATGTTCAAATAACAAGCTAGGCTGTTCAAAGACACCCCCGGCGACCCTACAACAAAACCTTGCGTATTCTAACCTTGTAAAGTTACGTAACGTTGACAACAAATGTATGTAAATACCTGGCATCATAGAATCCAAAGACTTACCGCTATCTACTAGGGTATATACAAAAGTAGTTGAAACTAGTACTAGAAACTAAGGAGATATATGGAAAAGGGGGCAACGTTGTCGTGACCCCCGCCCGATACGAGCTGGAGTTCATGCCCATCGTCACTGGCACCGCCGATCATACTAGTTTTGCTCCACTCGAGATGAGACTCACCCCAGATAGAAATCAGTATAAAGACCCTTCGTGCGTCCGAATATGTTTCTTCTTTTTTTCAGCCTCACCATCACGCAATCACATTCAAACATTCTCTAATAACTCATCAACCTAATCAACTTACCTTTCGTTCACCCGAAAAAAACAACCAACATTCAAAATGAAGTTCGCCGCCACCCTCTTCGCCGTTGCCGCTGCTGCCGCTACCGCTGACAAGCGTGACACCGTCTTCTCGGTCTCCGACTTCTCGGCTGGCTGCGTCCGCCACAGCACTCAGTGTGTGTAAGTACTATACTCGATCCATATATACTGTACATACCAACATACTAATAAACTTCCAGGTACTCCTTCTCCGTCATCCAGCCCGGTACCATGGAGACCACTGGAGTCAAGTGCTCTGCTTCGGGCCCCGCCGGCGCTGGTGGTGAGCTCCCTGAGATCAAGGATGGTGCTTGCGAGGGTTCCAGGACCTTCACTGTGGCCAAGGGCGCCGACGGCCTGACCCTCACCGTCACCCAGCCCGTAACTCCCTCCAGCAACCAGTCCGGCTCTCACCTCCTCGCCAAGGCCGACCTCAAGACCACCAACGAGCCCAACGCTGTTGTCCAGAACTACGTCGGCCCCAAGAGCTTCAACCTCGAGTAAATTGTCGACCTCGATATGAATGGACGGATTTGAATCCTTTTAGCATGATTGCAGCGTTTGGCATTTAGCGGTTACTATCGTAACCGGATTATGGTTGATGTTCCCAATAGATAGTTATTAGATAGAATTATGCGTGTTCAATATACAAATATCGCATCATTTTCAAGGTCACTTAGTTGTAGTGATTATTGGTTCATAGTGCAGTGGCGTCTTCCCTTACCAAGGAGCGAATCATTACTCGGTAATTTATAACTAGTTACTAAATCATGTAACGTTTTGTTTTAAGACGTCGGTCGCGCTGTTGGCGCCTAATTTCTTCGGACACCGGCTACCACTTACTACCCCTTTAATTGGTGTTGAGCTACATCCCACCTTTACGATCGGGCTTCAAAGTTATAAATAACAAATATGATTAGTCGATTTGATACAGCACGATAATTCTAACCAATCATTAAACATTAATGCCAAAGAATGTACCTAACTAACTAAACTATCTACCTAAACTAAGGGCTTATTCCATCAGAGCCTGCCGCTGCTACAATGCACGACTTTCAATTTGGCTGGCCTCAAATTGGGTCGCTACTACGTTGCTGATGTGGAAGTCATAGACTGGTTTGAGTTTCTCTATCATCTTCTATCTCCTCCTTTTTTAATACTTTTTTAATATTTTATTCTTCTTCTCTTCATGTCAACTCCAAGCATTACACAAACTGCCTTGTGTATCCAATATGCGGCTCCTAAACACTACGTCATTTCGCCTAGAAGAGTTCATAGGCGAGCACAAGCCCGAATATGCAATTCTCTCCCATACTTGGGGCGACGGAGAAGTTCTGTTCCAAGATATTCAAAATCAACAGGTAGGTATGCATATAATCTTACATCTAGTAGACAACATACACTCCCAATTCTCTATCTACTAACTCGACTGAATATCAAGGATTCAGCATGGAAACAAAAACGAGGATTCGAAAAGGTCGAAGGCAGCTGTCATCGGGCAAAACTGGACGGATATGAATATATCTGGATCGATACGTGCTGTATAGACAAGAGAAGTAGTGCCGAGCTTTCTGAAGCTATTAACTCCATGTTTGCATGGTATGAGTCTGCAAACGTTTGTTACGCATTTCTAGAAGACGTTCAAGACCAAGCTGGCCTTCCCACAAGCCGATGGTTTACCCGTGGATGGACATTACAGGAGCTAATTGCTCCACATGACGTCCAATTCTACAACAAAAACTGGGAGTTTCTTGGTGATCGTTATATGCTTTCCCCTCAAATCGCAGGTCAGCATTCACTCTTGTACTAAATTTAACATTTTCTTAACTACCTACCTCTTACCTAATTATGTGTTAGAACAAACTGGCATTGATTTAGATGTCCTGACGTTCAACCACACCGTTAACAATGAGCCTTGGGAGGAACACATGGATTCAGATTTTCCAAATCAATGCGCCAGTTGCGGCGTTAGTTTCAAGTCCATAGGCAGTATATTTAAAAATTACTGTGTGGCGCAGAAAATGAGATGGGCCTCCTCAAGACAAACGACTCGAGAAGAAGATATGGCATACTGTCTACTCGGTATCTTTGATGTCCATATGGTCCTAATATACGGGGAGGGCTTAATCGAGGCGTTTCGCCGACTTCAGGAGGAAATCCTTAAGCGGTCGGATGATCATTCAATATTAGCTTATTACCCCTGGCCCGGACATCGCAACATACGCAACGGCATCTTGGCAACTATTCCGCAGCAATTCAAACTAGGCGTAGACTATGTTCGGCCGATGTGGTCGCATTTTCGACAGGCAAAGCCTAAAATGGAACTGGCACCAGGCAGATTGACTTTAACGGTAACTCTATGTCCTGCCCCTCTGGGACTACCAGGGAAAGACTTATGGATTGCAATTCTAGACTGTGTTATGGGGAATGACTTGAGGTCTAGACCTGCAATACTCCTAGAGAAACTGTATGAAGGCGAAGTACTATGTTATCGTAGTATTCACAAATCTATCTTCAGTATCGAACCACCTGACCGCATAAGAATTATTGGACCTTTGGGGAGTTTCCCTAAAAACAGTTACATGGGTATGTAAACATAAATTTGTATACATTCTCGATTAGCTAACCATTCTAGGTACGATAAACCTTCAAAGAGCCTCTAGAGAGACGATTAGCATCGTATCCGCCATGGATTTTGTTAACAGCGACCCTGATTACCCACCAGTATACTGGCAGTCACAGATCTCGAAATTTAATCAACACAACATGGACAATTTACAATACAGCATTGTAGATACGATCCCACGATGGATTGACAGTCGACACCTGACTCTACCCGCAGAAACGACTATAATAATAGCTTTCGAAAATCAATTGTCGACCTTTTTTCTAATCTGGGTAAATGATGACTCGAACATCCGATATACTCTAGTATCTCTATATGACTTGCGCTATCACCTTCATATTCATGGGGTGTACGAATATTCCAAAGCAACGGACAGCTGTAAAGCTACCGATATTATGACACTCCTAAAGACCCAGTGGATGAATCTGTCAAGAATTGTCTCTTTTCTTCTACATAAGATGACCAATTCGTCGTTGATAATAGAAGGACTATATACGCATAGGTTCGAAGTCTCAGTCGGCATTAGAGACACTATTTTCCTAAATACCCGAGTCCGTGATGTCGAAGTGGACATAAGAAGATATTAGCTTCTTTTCTAGGTTTAAATATGAGTACATTCGTTTATATGATACCGCATAACTAACTGAAGCTCTATTTATAACCCTTAGGTTTTTAATGACAACTGCGGAATAGACTGGAAGAAATATGTAATAGATAGATGTAGTTATCCAGTCAAAGGTCTTTCAACCCTCCGGGATGAAAGACCTGACTAGCATACATAAGGATAGATAGAATACAAGTTAGAGTAATCAATCAAGTAACAGATTTGCTCTCAACAACTATACGCGATTGAATTTCCATGTATACTCGTTCTTCTTCCGTATTAAATATCAATAACTATGCCGTTACGAAATTTTTGGCAAGAGCAGTAACTTAAAGACGCCAAATATAATATGGCAGCGCGTTAACTACAATATCCTACGCTTACCTCATATAGGACTATATCATTACCTAGAACTTCCGTTAAGTAGTCTATTTGAATTAATACTTATAGTTGTAATTAAAGGAATGTAGTTAATATCTCTATAAAAGACATAAGGTCTAGAATGCTTCAAGTAGGAACCTTTTTTTTATCTAGGTACTTTACTAATTTTCACCTAGGCATAGACGGTTCTTAGAAGTAAATTAAACATTTTCCAATGAAAAAAGGGACAATTCTCTCTTATCACCACTGGAGTATACCTCTCTCAATACCACTTCACGAAACTAAAGGAGAGGTAAGCTCGTGTCTAAGTTTCAATAGCTAATTATTAAATAACTTTTACAGGTTCCTTAATATTATCCGTACGCGTGTGAAAAGTTTGAATAGCACGCAGTGACAAATTATTAGCAAGCTTTAAAACTAGTCTATCACCATGAAAATAAAAGCTTAATAGTAGAAATAGGCTTGTAACGAGTATGTCAGAAATTAACACATGGTATCGCCTACCTAACGCCGAGTCAGTTAACCAAACACCTAAGAAGAAAACAAATAAATTTACAAGTCTACGGCGCGATACCCCTTATTCCTTATACTCACAACACACCCTCACGAAACAAGTCAAAATGGAAAAGCATTCATCAGGTTCAAAAAGGGACCTTAAACAAGACCCCTCATTTCATTACAACAAAAGTAATCATTCCCCTAATTACCCTCATACAAATAAATAGCTATATCAATAACATTTAAGAACCCCCTTTCTCTAAGATATACCACGCCATTCCCCGGTCTAACCACCTAGGTACCTAACCAAAATCGTCCTTAGCCTCGCCTGTATCCTGTTCCTCGGACGCATCAAGCTGCGCTTTCAGAGGCGCCGTCTCCAAGCCCGCCCCGGCCGTGCCCCCGGGAAGTCCCAGCGTACTAACGCGCCTCCCCCTCATATCCAGGGCCTCGCTTTCCTCGTCCACGACATCGCTCTCGTCACCACTATCTGCGTCGTCATCCTGGTCATCTGATTCAAGATTGTCGTTAAGCTGCTTTCCAATGCCGAGCAGGAACGCGCTGGCATAGTTGAACTTATCAATGCCGTTTCCGCTCGGGAGGTCCGAGTATGTCTTGCGAGCCTCGTTGAGACACCGTTGCGCCTGGATATATTTCGACTGAACTAGCCATGCCTCAGCGCCAAGCGCACTCCACAACGCCGATTTCCTCCGCCTACCGCCCCAAAGATGTGTCCCCATGCCCTGCTTAGATGCATAACAAACCGCCAGTCGTTCCTTAATTAGCGCGTCTCCTACGGGACCCAATATCTTACTCTCCAATAGGCGAATCCCCCATTTCGCAGCACTATCAACATTCGATCCACCGCGTAGGCGTAAGAGCTCCAGACCAAGAGCGAGACATCGTAGCGCGCCGTATGGTGCATTGCAACGCGTGATATACGAATAACAGGCTGCTTCAAATGCGGTGTCTATCGTTTCCGCTCTTGATCTGGCCGATAGATTTTGAGGCATGATGAGGAGGCTGATAGCAGACATTTCGCTTGCTGCCGCGTGATATTTCCATGCTTTATCATTATTGAAATCAGTACGGAGAAGCTCGTATGTAGAATGGGCTAGCTTCCAGTCTCGTAGCATAAAGGCGTAGTCGGCCAACTTCCGCATTATAGCTTCGGCGGCGTCTTGGCGATAGAATCCGAGTGAATCATAATTGCTCCCCGAGCTCTGCCCCAAGACTGATGACCTAGGATTGTTTCCAAAACCCCATCGTTTAGTCAAGCCAACAAACCGGCCTGCAAGTCCCCTTCGGCGCGAGGCTACTTGGTCATTCCATACAGACACGTGACGTTCCATCGTAGGTATTATAGATTGCGTAACCATTTCGCGAATAAAGGTGCGAATTGCAGTTGCGTCTGACTCAAATATGTACCTCGTCGGATCTTCGAAGTCTTCTTGGTCTTCGCTCCTTCGGAGGTCGGCTAATTCTTCTGCAGCCGACATCCACTCGCTCCGGGGAAGGGGTATGCTGTCATCGTCGGTAGCAGCACTTTGCGTGCCCCTTATCCGAAGCAAATGACAGTGGAGACCGAGACTGCGCTTCATCTGGTCAAAAAGTGACATAGACCTCGTTATATCATCTCTCTCTTCCTCATGAACAAGGACGTAGTAACGTAAAAACTCGGCATCGACCCAGTTGGGTAAACGTCTGTCACCCGTGCTGGACTCGGTGTATAACCGTCTAAGAGTTTCGATCGGAGTCGGATTCCGGGAGCTTATTGCGATGACACAAGCAACCGGATGCGCGAATGTTTCGTGTGGTGCCAGGGGCAGGCCCGAGAGCAATCTACGTAAATATAAAGCATAATACGGTGAGGCTATGTCGATATCTAGGCCGTTATTGGTAGGACTCTGAGGTAAGCTAAATAATGACTCTTCAGCATACCTTAGATGGCGATCTACGACGGCTTCGACATCCGGAATTGTGATCCCTTGTCCCCTCCCGGGGCCGCTGGACTTCTCCGAGGCTCCATTTGTTCTCGGGGCTGACGCAGGTCTTAAACCGGTTGTCACGGGTTCTGGATGTACAATACCTTCTCCAAACTGGACAAAGTGTATTGAGTAGTCTTCGTATGTCCTACTCGACCCGTTGCTATCCCGTATTATAACTTTTCCTTGGACGCGCTCTCCGAAGGGTCTAAGTAGTTCCCACAGACCGCGGTTAAAGCCCTTCTCTTTTAACAAGACATCGGTATCTTCGGAGGTATATATCGCGACATGCGGTACGAATGCCCCAAGAATAAGATTTAGCGGATCTCCCGGACTGTCCCCTCCGCCAGAAGCGAGTGCGAGGCCGTTGTTCGGAGCTGCGCCAAATATAGAACCAGCGGCTATTCGCGACGGTGGGCGACCGACAGGCGACTGGGAGCGAGAAGCGGGTGGCGATAGAGTAGATGCGTAGAGCGAGGCAGCAGAGGGATGAGACCGTCGGTAAGGGAGGCTGAACTCGGAGCGGAAGAGAGATGGCGATACATCGTTAAGAGTATGACGGGCTTTCTGAACCCTCGAGATGGAGGCGGCTACGGGGGATGCAGGGAGTGAACCACTCCCATCCTGTGAATCATAATCGGAAGGCGGCATCAAGTCGGACAGGTATGCCTACGGTACTCTGGCCCTCGAAACGACTCGACCGCCGAGTGTCGCATCTGTATATGACGATCTAAGACGAATGTAAGAAGGATGACGATTGTTGATATTGTAGAGCGGTGAAATGTTTGCAGTGCTGTGACGTGATACAGTTTTTTATAATTTCATAAGGGTTAAACAAGCAAATCCTGTGTTCCGAATTGCGCATCTGGGTTCGACATTGACGATGTCAAGTTTCCCATTCAACATTCAACATTCAATTAAACAAAATTGGGTACAACGTAGTCAGCTAGAAAGTCAACCAGAATTAAGGTCCCGTCCCGGCTAAGTATCCGTTATCCGATAGCAGAGCCACAATTTACCCCAGCAGTGTCAAGCGGTAATTTGAGGCTGATGCAAACTTGAAATGCGGGTCACTAAACATCAAAGTTTAATCTTCCAACCTTTTGAACTTGTACAATCATAATTGTTAAAAGTTGGAAGATATTGAGAAGAATTTAGGTAACTTGAACTAAAAGTCTTTGTGCTCTACGCGTCTTTAAATTTCATTGATTATGAACTAACTCGACCGATCGAGTGACTTCTAATAGTTATTAAATTAGGTACCCACCTATGATTATAGGAGCGACAAGTAAAGCCACACTTCCATAAGTCTTGAGAAATTTCAACATGAATAAGGTGACGTAAGAAATCATTAGAGATATCTTATTAAAATATTTTTGGTACACTTAAGAGCTATAGAAAGCCTACTAGTAACACATTATAACTACAATCTGTAACTCGACAAGCTCTATAGTTATACTATTGCAAGCCCGACACAATTAAGTTGTCTTACAAATGCGCATTATGATATTCTAAGTTTACCTTCTCATGTCACTTATAACTCGTGATGCGCCTTATTATTTAAATTCTAATTCTGCTTACATACCTAATTTAGTATTATCTCAAAGCTACTGTTGCTATTATTATACACATCTCATAGACAAGCACGGCATATGTAAATCGTCTTCTAATTAACAATAGAGAAGTCGAGACCATTCCTTATGAATATTAAAAACCAACGTATCCTCCATGAAGGCGTCGATCCGCTAAGCAGAATAGCAAAGCGCGATTGCTTCCATTCGGTGTTACGTGAGATGGGACGTTGCATCTGTCTAGCAACAAGCAACTCAGCGAATGCGCCTTACGCGTCCATCCAGCTTCTGCTACCGGCTGAGATTCATTCACCCGTAATTTACCGGTAGCTTCCCTAGTCTTTCTGTCCCTAGCCTTACTACGTTCTTGGTTGCAGTAGATCCGGCAGTTTAGACGTTGGATATTGCTGCGTACCTATCTATTCACCAAGTCAAGACAATTTTACACATTTCGCTCGCTGCCTTGCCACAGGTATACGGATTGAATTAAACTATTGGCCTATTGAAGAAGGGTACTTAGGTAGTTATGTGGGAGGTTTGATTAGAAAATTAAATTTCAGCTATAGCCATGTAATAAGTGGAAGGGGGTCTAGACCTCGAAACTCATTAGTTCAAGAGTTATCGACAAAGATGAAAATTGTATAATCAATTCAACATGCATTACTTTGATGCAGAAGCCATATCTAACTTGAAAGACCCAACAGGTAATTATTCCCAAGTTGGCTCCCTGGCCAGTATATGAAGAAGCTGATTGGCTCACACTGTACTAGTTGACCGAAAATGGTAATCGTTGATATTTGGTAGCGTGATGATTACTTACACGACACCTTAAACAATAGAGCTCTTATTAGCAAAGGAAGCTTTTTAAAAAGGAGGCTTATTAAAGGGGGAAATGGCATGACTCAGATAATAATCGAGATCTAAGCTCGGAAGAGATCGTAAGAGATCTAGACCCAATCTCATGCTGTAAGCTGCCGGTCATAAATTTGGCCACACATATCAAGTGCCCGACAACAAAATGTGAGAAAAAAAGATTGCCATCGAGAAGGCAACTAGGTTAGGGATAGTCCGATGAAAAAGGAATTCCAATGTGTAATATAAACCTCAAACAACGTGTTTGCGACTTTTGCCAAGGCGGCTGAACATGCAATAGGATAAATTGGCAATACTGGCTGCAGTAGGGCTCGCGTTTACTGTCTGCAGTGTTACCCTACATTTCTGCCCGTCTGCCGTCTTTAATATGACAAGTTCTGCTCGTAAGCGAACCGACCCGCTCAGGCACCGCACACACATACATATACACACATACACACACAGAGAAAGAGATGCCGTATATGTTCTAACACCCCCTGCTGCATATGTACCGACCGATTCGCGATAATCGAGCCATCTTTCCTCATACGTGTATATTGAGCTGACGAGGCCTCGTCCGCTTGGCCCACCGTCGATGCTCCCGGCTTGAAAGCGTCTCTAGCGCGAACTCGAATGCTGACCGGCGGCAGCGTGCTAGCCCTAGCGGTTGGCTGGCTAGCTGCAAGACGCTTTCTTTCTAATGTCCTATGCCGGCGCTATGGACGCCATTCTATTTATTCTCCTCTTGGCATTTTGCCGACCGGCTTATTATATGCATCCGTACTCGGCTAGGCTCATTATTGAATGCAAGCCACCTCGTATATCTCGCAGGAACACAGTTAATATCATGACAAGTCGAATGACTTTATAAGGGGTCGGAGTTGAGGTTTGATGTTATGTGTAAGTTTGCCTCGGGAAGAGAGTTGTCAAGTTACAACATTAACGTGCATCTGTAGTGTAGCAAAAATGATAGATGGTACCCCCCAGAGCTATGTAGCGAGCCCAGATCTGGCATATTGACAGAAAAAAGAAGAAGGGAAAATCTCTTCAAAGCCTCCAAAATGCCGGTCCGGGTATTCCGCCAGTCATAACTCCGGACTCTTATATTAATTTACTCGTGTTCCTGGCTGCTGTATAACCCATCAGATCGAGAATGTGGAGAACCCTGTCTGGGACATGCAGATTCGCAATCTTGGGTTCAGCCAATATTGCTTGAGAGCAGAGCTCATTTAGCCATTCCAATGCACCTTTACGATCCTGTCCACATGTAACCTTGGATCTTGTCTACTTGAAAGAGAAAAAATTCTCCTGTTAAGCGAGGATGACCCCTGATCAGACCTGTCAATATAAGTCTCGATCATGCTGCCAGAAGACCTGAATTTCGGACGATCGTCCAGCCTTGAGCCATCCAGGGACTCATCATGAGGTTCACTAAGGTTATTGGCGGTATCACCGCCGCCTTGCTCGTGAGCGGCGTATCGGGTGCTAGACTGCCTAAGAGACAGGATGCTCCTCCTGTTTCCTCTGAGACACCTGCTCCTCCCGCTCCTCCTGCTAGTACGGAAACACCGGTCCCACCACCGCCGGCTTCTACAGAGACCCCTACTCCCCCAGAGACCTTAACGCCGGTCCCCACGCCGACTTCTTCCGAAGCTCCTGCACCACCCCCACCGTCTTCTACTGAAGCTCCCGCGCCACCTCCCTCAAGCTCGTCCGAAGTCCCAGCACCACCGCCTCCAACCTCCACTAAAGCTCCAGTGCCGCCAACTTCTACCGAGGCCCCGGCACCACCCAGCTCGACTCCGGCGCCTCCAACTTCTTCGGCACCCCCGGCCCCGGTCGAGACATGCGCGACCCATTTGCTGGTAGACGACTTCTCTCAATGGGAGACTGGCGAGAACTCCCTTCAGGGGGCTACAAGCGGTAAGATTATTCTCTAACAATTTCCACAGGGCTAAGTGCTGAACCCCTGAATAGATGACCAGACCATGAACGCCACCAGCACTGATGGCGGTATCCTAACTTTCACGCCCAACAACATCGATGTATCGTATATCTACGAGCAGTTTGACTGCCTAGACACTGTGGCGCTCGGATACGACTCCATATCATTCAACATCAAGGGTCCCGAGGCGGCCTCCGTCTCAATTGAGCTCCAGACAGTCGCTGAATGCTCCAGCACCGAGTATCAGAGCTTCTACTACACCCTCGACGGCCTGAGCGGTTCTCTACAGACAATTAACATCCCGTTAAACAGTTGGGAGGGAGCTGGCCTAGAAGGAGTCGTTGGTGTCCTATGGTACGGCTTCTCGGCTGGTTTGACCGGCACCGACAACGTGTGGCAGCTGGACAACGTACAGTTCCTATGCGCTAGCGTTCCACCGCCCGAGGACCCCGAACCACCCGTAGTCACGCCGGTGCCCACTACCGACCCTACTGAGCCCGAGCCGCCAGTCACCGTCACGACCACTGTCTCCGTGACTGTACCCAGTGGTGATGTTACTACGACGACGGAGACCAGTACGGGAAGCTGGAGCACGCCCGGAAAACCAACGACCACGGGACGAACAACTACCACGAAGCGCCCAGGATGGCCTACTATTACTACCCGTCCTATCTGGCCGACCGAGCCTCCATGGTGGGACGACGACCCATGGGATGACCCGTGGGGAGGCTGGTCCGACAGCCAAGCCGCGCCACAGCAAGTCAGCGCCACCGCTGCCGCCGTCCCTACAGCCGTAGCTTCGGCAGCGACAGAAGTCCAGCCGATCGTAGCTCGCGAAGCTGCTGCTGAGTGCGATCATCTTCTCGTCGACGACTTTATATCCCAATCTCGCCTGACCTTTCTCTACTACAACGCTTTGCTGAAGTCAAGTAGCGACGACGGTACTATGAAGTCCGTCGTTGTCAAGAACAACAGGGTGACTTTCACACCCGTTGATACCGACTCGTACTGGTACACCCAGCTCGGCTGCATCGATGCGGAACAATACGGAGGAATCTCGCTTCGCATCTCTGCTGCAGCTGGTACAACCTTCGACGTCCAGCTTTCTTCGACAAAAGGCCAGTGCGGTACCGAGAACACCAACGATGTTGTGGTGACGTCGAAACAGCTCGGCTGGACTTTCAACGGAAAGGAGCAGCTCTACTCTATCCCCTTCTCCAAGTTTAAGGGACTTGATCTTACCAAGTTTGAAACAATCTTCATTTCCAACTTGAAGAAGGCTGTTACTTTCGGTCCCTTGGCCCTGTACTGCGGAAACGAAGTTGTCGAATATGTCCCCCCTGCGGTTATCGAGCCATCTGGTCCTACCGAAACGGTGCCAGCACCCCCGAGCAAAGCTACTAACCTCGTGATTGACAAGTTTGCCAACTCAGAAACAAATGCTTTGGAACAATGGCACGGAGCGGACGAGGGGATGACTGTGACTTTCAAAAGGAACACTATGACGCTACAGACTAACGACTCGGATCTCATGTGGGTTACGCAAGTATCTGAGACCTGCAAAGACTTAACCGAATTCGACGGGTCTTACCTCCACGTCGCTTACACTGGAAGCAACCTATTTACCGTCGCCCTCCAGCAGCACAACGAGAAGTGTAACAACGACATCTACCCCTATCCCGAGACCTGGGACTCCCTCGAAGCCTCGCGGTACAGCACCGAGACGGACATCTGGATCCCGCTAAACCACTTTAACGTCGACCGCAAGCGGGCCATTGGCTTCGCATTCAAGGGCTTCTACAGCACGGCCGCAACCGTCTTCTCCAAGATCGAGATCGTCAACGAGGTTCCCGACAACTTCCAAGTCCCAGAAAAACTACCCTCCGGCCAATTCATCTTCGCCTGCAAGCGACCTAACTCCTTCGCTTTCGCCATCGATGACGGCGACCCAGTGTTTGCGCAACAAGTCATGAAGACGATCGACGACGCAGGAATCACCGTGACATTCTTCACCGTAGGCGCGCCCCTGAGGGACCCGACCACGAATCTAAGCGCCATCTATAATGAGATGGCCTCCAAGGGACACCAGATCGCGCTGCACAGCTACACGCACCCACCTCTAGAAGGCCTAGCAGACGACGCATCTATCGACTGGGAGTACACGAACGACATCGAAGCCGTGAAAGAAACCTTCAACGGGCTGACGCCCAAGTACTTCCGTCCCCCCTTCGGCACGGAAGGCGCGCGTATGCGACAGCGTCTGGCGGCGCTCATTGAAGACCCGTATATCGTGCAATGGAGCGTGGACGTGGAAGACTGGCTGTGGGCGGAATCCGACACCCCTGAAAAGCAGCTCGAGGCGTTCAAGCGAGACGTCGCAGCGGGCGGTAACATCGTCGTCATGCACTACTTGTACAACAGCACCGTCAGCTACCTCGAGGAATTCATCCAGATTGCCAAGGCGACTGGCAAGCAGCTGATGCGCGTGGACCAGTGCATGATGGATCCGAATGCGCCACCGCTGCCTGGTGAGGAACAATAGGGGGGTATGGTTATTACAGGGGGTATGATGTATATAAAACTGGGTTATTGTTGCTGTGTGATTAGTGCTTAATAAAAAAACGATTGGTATTGACTTGTTCGTATAAGAGTTGAATTGTGAAGGATGCGATGTAGTGGTCTTAGTAATCGCCCTGGTACATCTCCACTTCATGAAAGAAGCTATCGTCAACGAGTCTCTTTAAAGGTACATGTATATAGTGAAATAAGATTTATTTAGCATTTATATTTCTAATATTGGTAGAGAAATATAAGGAATTACATGTTTAATAACCTTCTAACTAGTTAGTTACTTAGGTACACATACTTATATTAATCAATTTATCAAGACCGTCTAGACTATCACCTAGTATCATTGTATGAAGTAGTCACCAAGTTGCATGCTTACATCTCGTACTCAGAGCTGGGGTAGATCTCGATGCAACCACACATATGCATGTAATATACTACACATGGAGGAATGTCGCCATGATGGGAAGAATGGTAAACGTCCAATGGCAAGCTGTTGATTAATCAGACCCTTCGCCGGGGGGGCAGTATGTATAAAAACCTTAAGACACAGCCTTACTTTATACTCAAGAGAAGATACTCTAATAATTACTGCTTAAGTTAAAGAATCACCCAAGTATTTCAAGTGAAGTTCAAGAGTTCTTGCTACAAGTCGTTTATAACTATGCCTCTCCCATCCGATGAAAATGTTGTCCAAACCAGCAGTGCCATAGTTAGCACGCTACATAGCATCTTTGGACCTCATGCCGGATTTCGACCCGGTATGCTCTATCCAACTAATATTTACATATCATAAGATGTACTAACAAGACTCCATAGCCCATGCAAAAGGCGTCCTACTAAAAGGCACCTTTACTCCCACCGCAGAAGCAAAAACACTTTCAAAAGCACCTCATTTCAACAACCCCTCAACTCCAATCATAGCACGCTTCTCCAGCTCGACCGGAATCCCAGAACTCCCAGACACCGATCCCAACGGCAACCCCCGCGGCTTCGCCATCCGCTTCTTACTAGCTGAAACTCCTCGCCGTGTGCACACGGACATCATCACCCACTCCGTAGACGGCTTCCCAGGCTCGAACGGCCAAGACGCCCTGGAGTTCTTCACGGCAGTTAAAGACGGCTCGATCGGCGAATACCTAGCCTCGCACCCAAAAGCACTAGCCTTCATCCAAGCCCCGAAGCCAACACCAGCCAGCTTCGGCAAAGAAAAGTACTTCGGCGTAAACGCGTTCAAGTTCGTCGCGGCCGACGGCACGGAGACATTCATCCGGTACCGCATCGTGCCCTCAGCCGGGGAAGCGTATCTCGACGAAGCCGCGCTCAAAGACAAAACTCCATCTTTCCTCTACGACGGCGTGCCAGAGCTCCTTAAGTCCGGGCCGATTGTGTTCAAGCTCACGGCACAGGTCGCGGAAAGTGGAGACATAACCGATGATAACACGGCAAAGTGGCCGGAAGAACGACGGGTCGTCGAGCTCGGCACGATCGAACTGCAGTCTGTGGTAGACGACCAGGCCGCGCAGCAGAAGAGGATAATTTTCGACCCGATCCCCAGGGTTGAAGGCGTCGAGGCCTCGGCCGATCCGCTGCTGGAGGTACGCGCGGGGATTTATCTTATAAGTGGTCGTGAGAGGCGTGAGGCTTAAAGATGGAATATTTGATGCTAGCTACCAAAAGCAATATAGGTCAACTAGTGTATGAATACCTATCTATCTTCTACTCCAGCTACGAATATCAAACTATATTTTATTTCGCATACATCGTTACGTTAAAAACACGATAAAAATAAATAAATTAAAAACAATACAAAAATAACCATGATTTTCCAAAAGCCTAAAAAAAGAATTATCAAAAAAGCTCAGTCCCAGATTCGAACCCCCTCGGATAGGGGCAGGGGATTCGAATCCAAGACCTACGAAAAACCGGCTTCGTTAGGCATCTGCTGTCAAGTCACGTTTCTTTTTTGGGAAGAACGGTTCAGCATAAGACACCACAGTGGGGTTTTCTCTAACCTCAAGTCGCCCAAGCGAGGGGCGTCGGTTGAAAGTTGGTTTGCAGTTAGGATATATAACTTTTATTTCGTGAGTAGGTACTTGGGGGGATGTATCTATCTCGTTGCCTGGGTTTCTGCCACCTGAACTTTTCAAGTACCGCCAGCTTACTTGGAGATGCGCATATTAGTGAATGGTCAAGTCGATATGGCTCGTTCACATAACCTAGACACTGGAGGATAGTTGGTATGCTACTTTTATTCATTTTTTGAGATACTGCTCCATACGACTAACTATGTGGATGGTTTTATATATTAGACATAAAATATAAAATAACCTCACATATAAAGTTTACACACAATATTGCATTCCTTCATCAATAAACTCAAGTCGAAACATTCAATACATCTCCAAACTGGTACCAAGTAAACTGACTCAATGATATTGCGCCTTTCCAGTATAACCATATGCATCTAGATAAAATAACGCTCCAGCGTAGCAAGTCTCATATATATACCTACGAAGCCATTATAAACAGTACTTCTCGTTACCACGTAGCAGCGATACGGAGATATTACGATACTCTCCCAACTTCTACCCTCCGATAAAATCATATTTCATAAGGGAGTGCGGGTGCTTTGAAAATCAAGTGCGGCTTCCTCTTGGCTAGGTCGAGAATCGTCTCCGCAAACACGCCATTTGCCCCTATACTTTTGTTAGCAAACCTTACAGTATAATCTTCGGAGTCCGGTGGTTCAATTTAAATCTTACAAGCAAACCAGCTTCCTAATAATCATAGTCAGTAATGTAGTCCAGAGCAATGGTGTGTAGGAACTCACTTGTATAAGAGCTATAAAAATTGACATCCACGCTTTCATGTATTAGACCGAGTTTTCCCGATTTGAGGACCAAATCTAGACATTCAGTTATTTCTTCATCATCATCAGATGTTTGAGCTTGAATAAGAAGACTCATAGGCCAGGCATTTGAGAGGCCGATATGAGGACCTAAGATGAAATCAGCATGGACCTAGACGTAGCTGGTCGGGGAAATAGCTAACCTCCGATGCCTTTGAACTCTCTTCCGGTGAGGTAATAAGGGTTTGATCCTTTTGCAAGTAGCATACGTCGCGTATTTTGGTAGGTTTCATCGCTCGCTTTTAGAAAACCCATGAGCGGCAAAGCTAAAAGAGACGGATAGTTCGCATCGTCCATTAGAATCGACGACCCGTATCCGTCTACCTCGTATGCGAAGACCTCACCGAACTCCTTATGCTGAACTGTTCCGTGATCCCAAACACCATCGTTGATGGTTTGACTCCACGTCTCGACCGTCTGAGCCAAAACATTTTTGCCGACACTCCTGAGGACATTGGCGGTCCGTTTCAGTTCCACCGCTATCATCGCATTTGCTGGAATAAAGAAACCCAGTATGGTAGCGTCGTCGCTTGGTCTGAACGCAGAACGTACAAGACCAGTACCGTTATTAAGAGGGTTTCCTACACCATTTAGGTTGAGTGTCTCAGTCCCCGTGTTTGTGTTGCGGTTAAAGGTGTACTCATTGCGCCGATAGTGGCCCGTCTCCGGATCAAAAGTGGACTTAGACTGCTGCTCGAGTACATCTAATAAAGTCTCTAGTGCCAAGTACCAACGCGATGTCATATACTCGGTAGATCCGGTATGATCATTAAAATCGTTGGCTAGGGCGAGGAAATGGGCAAGCGAGTCCAATTCGTATTTGCATTCGAAGACAAACGAAGGCTCATATGCAGGATGGACAACATCGTCCTGACCATTATGCGACACGGGTAACCCGCTGATGGGGGGTGGCTGAAAAGCATTACAATATGGTGATTCAATGACGTACTCAGATTGGGTGTTGATTGCGCCTAGAATCAAGTCGTGTATAGCCGGGTCCTTCTTTGCCAAAGGTTGGTACGGGGAGAGTTGGTTAGTTGAGTCCCTAAGCCACTCGGCAATGATATCTCCTGTGATGACAAAAGAATGTGGTCCCTCCCATTTTCCTTCATCATACGAATCTTTCCATGCTTTCTTTTTATTATTAGAACCTTTCGTGTGGAACTTGACGGTAGTATCTGTCGTGGACTGCGATCGTTTGTCTCTCGGTCAGTTGTATCCGTTGTAAAGTCGTACAAGTACGACAATAAGAAGATTATAAGTCGGACTAACAGGAAAGGCGTTCTCGAAGAGACGCGCTAGATCGGGATCTTTCATGCAAGAGGTCACATCTTTTATAACTTGCTCAATAGCGTCCGACTGAAATGTGCGACATCGAGGATCCGGCCTTTGGAAAGGTAGTTCAAGAGGACCTTCACTAAGAGGTCGATGTGGATATGTCGAATACTGCGTATAATCGGGGCAAGCTTCTTCGTATTCAAATTTGTCTAATGGGAGCTGTTCCTGGCCGTAGGGTTGATATCCCAATCCCGATGCGAAAGTTGAATATAAGGTCACTAGCAGCAAGCTTGCGCTTATTGAATTTATGGAACCAATCATTTATGCGGCACGAGCTGTAGCAGCTCTATACAAGCAAATAGGTCATGAAGTTTTCATAGGAAAAAGAAAGATGTAAGTTGAGCTAAAGATTTATTTGGAATGGGCGACTTCCAAAAAAAATCGATATTAGAAGTCGGATCGGAACAGTACCGCAATCTGCAGGGTCCTGTGCCGTTCCTTACTACGAAAGGGACACGCTGACAGTTACCCGATATGATGGTAAAACCTTAGTGGATGGAAACACCCCGCAAAGCTGCGGAATTGGAAGCTCCCGTCAACTTTCACCTTTTACCTTTCACCTTTTATAGGCATTGATTATATTATAGTTGGATAATATTATATTCTATAAGTATCTAAATATCTAAGGGGTATCTATAAAATATTTATCTATAAGATATAAATATATATCTATAAGGTATATATCTTTATAATAATAAATCTTTATTTATAATAATTGCTACCATAATAAAAAAAATATAATACCCTTATTATATAATAATATTTTATTTAAAAAATATTATTTTATAATTAAAGTTTTAATAAAAAAAACTATAATAAAATTAATTTTTAAATATATAAAAGTTTAATTAATGCCTTTATTTATAATTTACCAAAAATTTATTTAAATTTTTACCTATTTTTTTTATAAAAAATTATTTAATATATTTATTTTTAAAACCGATATATTTTATAAAATATCTTTTTTTTATTACGTTTTCGTTAATAATTCTTTTATAATAAACTTCTAAAAATATTTCTTTAAAATATAATAATAATTAGTTAAATATATTTATTAAAAAAATAGGTTTTAAATAATTAATAAAAATAATATTATATATTTTAAAATTTTAAAAAAATTTAAAATAATAAATTAAACGGTTAATTTTTTCGATAATTTTAAAAAATCTTATATATTATTAGTTAAATTTATAATTAAAGATTATAATAATAAAAATGTTATATTTTTTATATAATTTTAAAAAAATTTATTATTTTTTATAAAAAAATATAAACTTATATTTTTTATTATAATAATATTTAATAAATATATTTATTAAAAAAATTACGTTATAAATATTTATATAAAAAAATAATAGATTTTAATATTATATACTTAAAAATTAAATAATTAAATTTAAAAAAAACTTATATAATATTTTTAAAAAATTAGCGTTTATTATAAAAAATTTAATTAAATTAAATTTATATTATAAATAAAATAAATAATATTATTATTATTTAATATCTTTAAAATTTTAAAAATAATATTAAAAATAAAATTTAATAAATAAAATAAATTTTTTTATTTATTTATTTATTTAAAAATAATATATTATAATATATAATAATTTTATATTATAAGTTATTTAAAAAATAAATTAAAATTTTAATAAAAATTTAAGGTTACAATTTAAAATAATAGTTTTAAATAATTTTTATTTAATATTTAAAAATTAATTATAAAAAGTTTTAATCTATTAAAAAATATTATAATTATATTTACTAAAAATTAAAATAATTATTTTAATAAATTTATTAATAATAATATTAAAAATATTATAATTTTTAAAATTTTTAAAAAAATTAAAAATTATATTTAAAATAATTATATAAAAAAAATAAAATAGTTTAATTATTAATTATAAAAATTTATATAATTTATAATTTTATAAACATAAAATAATATATTTAAAATATAATTTTATATATTTTATAAATTCTTTTTAATTAAATATAAATAATTATAAATAATTTTTTAAACAATTATAACCAAAATAGTTTAATTTATATATAATTTTAAATATTTTTATATAATAATTTCTCGAAATATATAATTTATTAAAAATTTCCGAAATTTTTTAAATAAATTTATTTTATAATTAAAATAAAAAAATAATTACGTTTTATTAATTAAAACATTTATTATTATTAATTATTTTTAAAACATTTTTCTATTTAAGATTTTTATAATATTTTTATTATATTTTTCTTTTAAATTTTAAATTAATTTATATTAAGGTTATATCTTAAATATTTTATAACATAAAGAAATTATTATTTAGTTTTAAAAATATTAATTAAATAATTAATAAAACTTTTTTAAATAAAATTTAAAAATTATTTAATTTTAATTAAATA